TTGCTGTTGGCGCCGCGAGCACCAGAGCAAATTCGGTGGCCACAGGGACAGAGCGATTCTGTTCAAGCTTTGTCCCGATTTGTCTTTATTTTAACAATATGAACTTTGCTTCCTTGCCTGTGGGATGCAGTAAGAATCCCTAAAACGGGGCCCAGCGCCATGGCCTACCAGCTGAAGTCCTCGTTTTGAAAGTGCCAGGATCCCATATGGGCGCCAGTTCTAATCCTGGCTGCACCACTTCCCATCCAGCTCCCTGCCTGTGGCCTGGGAAAGCAGTGGAGGACAGCCCACAGCCTGGGGACCCTGCACCTGCGTGGGAGACCAGGAGGAGGCTCCTGGCTCCTGGTTTCCAAGAATGAATCAGTGGATGGAAGATCTTCCTCTCTGTCTGTATATTTGATTTTTCAGTAAAAATAAACAAGAGAAATGTTAGATGGATATTTCTTTGCTCCAATACCAGAGTCTGTGTGTGGAGAGAGAGGGGGGGGTGCTCCAAACATCCACCTTGCGCTCACACCCGGGGGCTGCTCACCGGGGCCGCTCACTGGGGGGCCGCTCACCGGACTGAGCGCAGCCCTGTCAGGGCCCTGCTTGTCATCTGCGGGAGGCAGCGTGCCACGTGTCCCCGCTAGAACAACCAGAAGGCTACGTCCAATGAACACACCGGGACTCGAGTCTGGCCGCGGGTGCTGAGAAGGAATCCCACCGGAGGAAGCAGAGGACTCGGCGCTGGAGCTGTGGCACAGCTGGCTCAGTTATCACTTCTTTTTTCCCAAGATGTATTTATTTTTATTAGAAAGGCAGATTTACAAAGAGACTGAAATGTCTTCTGTGCAATGGTTCACTCCCCAAGTGGCCACACGGCCGGAGCTGAGCCAGGAAGCCAGGAGCCAGGAGCCTACCCTGGGTCTCCCACATGGGTGCAGGGTCCCAAGGCTCTGGGCCGTCCTCCACTGCTTTCCCAGGCCACAGGCAGGGAGCTGGGTGGGAAATGGGGCTGCCGGGATTAGAACCGGCATCCATATGGGATGCCAGTGCCTGCAAGGTAACGATTTAGCCGCTGAATATTGTGCACCAGACCCAAATGAAATTTTCTGTTTCCAAAAGCAGGGCCATACTCCCACACCCCCAGCCCCCACCTGCATTCCCACCCCGTCTTCCCAGCCTGCCTCCCAGGAGCTGAGTCCACATTCAGCCATGCACCTGCAGGGTCCTGTGAGTGCCCGGTGGGTGCTGCCCAGGGGTCCCGGAGCCCCCCACGATAGCCCTGTCAGAGTTGTAGCAGTGTGAGTGGCACCTGAGGCCTTGGTCCACCGTCACCTCCCTGGCTTCTTGCACGGATCCAAAGCGACAGGATGGCCATCTCCCAGGGAGAAGCTGCAGCCTGACGGGCCCCAGGTCCAAACCGCGCAGGGCAGACCCTTCAACACACACCGCCTCTCCTGTGCATCCTCCTCACAACCCTTCCAGAACTTTCCGACCCACTTTGCCCTTCGGTGTAGTTAGGTGGCAAACACGTCCCTGCTTGCGTCAAACACACCAGTTACCCCATTCGACGGAGCGGACGTCGCCATGGCTGAGGCGCACACCCAGGACCAGAAAAGACACACTGCCCAGAGACTCCGGGTGTGTGGAGTGGGGGTCCTCCCCAGGAAAACCCCAAGCTTAGAAATCCAAGCCAGCATCTTCATTTCCCAAACACAGCAACCAGCCAAGTAGCAGTGGCTACCTGACCTTGCAGAACCTTCCAGAACAGCACCTCTTTACAAGTCTGCACTCACTGGTTCATCTATCCATCCGGCTCCAGAGCCACAGGGAGGTGCATGTCACATGTTCAACAAAGATGGCTTCCCTGAGATATGCGGCACCAGGAAGGGCGGCTCCACAGCCCTGAAGGAGGGATGAAGGGAGTGGCCCCGCTCGGACACCTGCGGGCGTAGGGGAGCTCTGGCAGCAGGCCCTTCCCAGGGACACGCGAAGGCCCCTGACCCTGACACCCAAGGCTTCCTTCCTTTCCCCCCCCCAGAACGGACCAGGAAGCAGCCTGGAGAGCAGGGCAGCCGCCTTCCTGACCTGGACCTCCCCTCCCCCACCCCGCCCCGCCCCCAGGGGGAGAGGGAGAGAGAGAGAGAGAGAGAACACGCGCCCAGGAATTTCTCCAAGAGCTTCTCCTCAGAAGAAAATAGCTCGAGTTGGGACTTGTGTCCACCGACGGATTTAGAACTCAAATTATAGTCTCGGCGGTTTGGGGAGTCTTCCACCAAGGACTCCAATTAAGCCAGCTCCAGAGATGGGGGCGTCCCGGGGTTGGAGGCGGGAGGGAAGGCCGGGGAGAGAGAGAGAGAGCGGGATGGGGGGGGGGGGGGGAGAGAGAGAGAGAGAGAGAGAGAGAGAGAGAGAGAGATTGCCTGCAGGCAAACTGTAAAACTCCAATGGGCAATTGTGGGCCCAAGGGGTCCCACGGTTGCCAGCTCTGGGAACCCTGGGAGGAGGGGGGTGCCCAGGACCCCAAGCGGGTCCAGGTGACTCCGATCTCCAACTGGCTCCTTGGGAGTTGTATGTGTGCAGGTATCTGCCCAGGCTCCCGAGCCTCCTGCCCCTGGCCAAAGCAGATACAATTAGCTCCTGAAGTGAACTTGGAATTCAGGGCTGGGCCATTAAAAAATAAATAAATAAACAGAAAGACAGGACACACAAGATTGGTAAGAGCCACATTCAGAAAACTTCCTTTGCCAGGGGCCAGCAGGCAACTGGGACTTTAAAAAAAAGCAACCAGGACCCGGTGATGACCCATTTCCGGTGCTGGGCCTGCCCCTCTGACCGGAGTGGCTCAGGAACTGGGGTCCCAGCGGTGGCAGGGAGCCAGGGGAGCCAGGGGAGCCAGGGGAGGCATCCTCTAGGGCTCCAGGGGGGTGACCAAGGCCCCCCAGGAGAGAAAAGCAGGAAGATCTGAAGGAACCCTTTCTTCTCCTTTTGTGGGGGCAAGGAGGGGGTGACCCTTGGCCGCGGGAGGACCAAGGGATGGGACAGGAAGTGCAGGTCGGTCCTGCAGCCTGACAGTGTTTACCTAGCAATGTTTCTATCCTGTCCCTGAAAGACACTGCCCGGGAGAGAAAGGAGTGGGGGACCCTGGCGCTGGGAAATGGAGCGAGCCCAGGGGCCATGTGGTAGCCCCCCCATAAATTAGCAGGTCCTAAAAGCATGTGGGAGAATGGCAATATCAGGACTCTCTCGCTTCCCCACAATTCCACAAAACCCTCCACTTGCAACAGTAACAACTCAGGTGTGAAAGTTACAGACAAGGCCGGGCTTGGCCAGGCTCCAGGTGCAATGGGGTGGGGGCATGGGGGGCGTGGGGGGCATGGGGGGCAGGGGCCGGCGTGGGAGGCAGCCACCAAGTCCATGGCCTCTGCCTCCCACGAGGGAGGGAAATCGATGCCACGCACGGGACCTTCCCAAGTCAGAGACCCCCCCAAGTCGGGGACCGCCCCCAAGAGGGTGGCTGCAGGTGCAAAGAAAGTTTCTGGCTTCCAGAAAAGCCAGTGACGGTGGGAAGCAAACTCTAGCATCCACCTATGAGGGACAGGACCGCGCATGGACAGGCCTCCCAAGCTGCAGGGGCAATGAAGGCAGTGTCCTCCCACAGTGGGGACAGAGAGACCCCCATGCAGGGTCAGGGCTTGGCTGCCCATCCCTCTGCCCGCCACCACCCCCGGATGCTAACACAGCTGGGCAGGCGGCGCCCAGCTCAGCAGGAGGACAGACAGCTCCAGTCCTGGGGCCTCTGCCACCCTCACCATGGGGAACCCAGATGGAGGCTTCCTGGCTTGGGGGGCTGGGGTGCAGCTCAGCCCCAGCTGCTGTGGGCATGGAGGGACTAAACCAGACCATTTCTGTGTCTCTCTTTCAAACCATGAAAAACAAACAAACAAAAAGCACATTCATAAAACTTAATACAAGTGAGGCTCACTGGGAAAAGTGAGGAATATTTCAGGCTGTAGCTGGAAGATGCGGGCACTCCAACAGGGATCCCCCCACAAAAAAAGACAAGCAGCTAGTGCGGAGGGACTGGCCAGAGAAGGGGGTAGGGGCGGGAGGAGAGCTGCTTGGAGATGTTGGGGTGCCTCGGAGAAGGGTTAGCCCCAACAAGGAGGTGTGCATCCCGGCTGGAGACAGAAGGGGTCCCCTCAGCCACCTTGGAGGTACAGGGGTCTCCTTAAGAGAAGCTAGGGACACTCTCCTACCCCTTGAGAAACGGGGGTCCCCCAGGCAAACTGGGCTGGGTAGCTTGGGGGGGCGGTTCCCAAGAAAGTTAAGTAGTTAGGACCTCAGCTTAAAAATATAAGGTTTCCTTCAGTAACTGGGGGTATGGTCTCAGCACACAATCAAGAAATTTCAAGAAAAGGTTCAACACCCCCTAATCTCAAACTCAGGACCCCCATCTCCCTTCACCTCAGGATCCCCAAACCAACCCCTCTCCACCTCCGGACCCCAAGCTTCCCTCCACCTCCGGGACCCCAATCTCTCGATCTCAGGACCCCCAAAGCCCCGACCTCTGGGCCCCTTCTCCTTTCCACGTCCGGACCCCCAAAGCCCCGACCTCCGGACCCCAAGCTTCCTTCCACCTCCGGGACCCCAATCCCTCGATCTCAGGACCCCCAAAGCCGCGACCTCCGGACCCCAAGCTTCCCTCCACCTCCGGGACCCCAATCCCTCGATCTCAGGACCCCCACAGCCCCGACCTCCGGGTCCCCACCCCTCTCCACGTGCGGACCCCCACCCCTCTCCACCTCCGGGACCCCAATCCCCGACCTCCGGCCCCCAAGTCCAAGGGGAGAAGCGGAAGCCCGAGCACCGGAAGCCGGGGCATGGCGATGGGGGGGGACCCCGGCGCCTCCCGCCCCTCAAGTGGCCCCCGAAGTTGCTGGGTGCGCGCCCGCCGGCCGACGGAGCCCCCCGACCTCAGGCCCGGTCCCACCCGCCCGCCCCCACACGCGTACCTCGGCCTCCGGCCCGGCGCGTCCCGCGGAGACGGCGGCTCCCTCCGGTGGCGCCCGCGGCGGCGGCGACAGGACGCCGGCCCGGCGAGCAGCGAGCCGGGGCGCGGGGGTGCGCGTGCGCGCGCGGGCCGGGAGCGGGGCCTCCGAGCCCCGGGAAGGAGCGGGAGCCGCGTCCGCCGCCGCCACCGCCGCTCGGGCTCGCGGGCCGCTCGCTTCTCACACTGAAATTGCCCGCTTCCCAGCCCGGCTTCCCCGGTTGCTAGGCAGATTTCGCCTCGCACGCTTCCGGGTTGAGGAGCGGTTCTCCGAGTGGCGGCGGGGCGGGCCAATGAGGTCAAGAGAAAAACTCTCTCCAGCGCCGGAGGGGTGGGGCCTGCCGCGTGATGGACGGCATGCGGCGGCCAATGAGCGCGCGGGCCGGCTGGTCGGGGAGGGTCCCGCCGGAGAGTCGTGGAGGGGCGGGGTGCGGAGGGCGGGACGTGGAAGACTGACAGGTTCCTGGACCTATAGAGAAAGCGAGCTGAAACGGAGGCCCAATGGGAACAGCGCGCAGGGGCGGGGCCTCGGCTCAGGGGCGGGAATCGGCGCCAGGCGGGGCGGAGGAGACGCCGACGGTCCGTGGCCGGCCGGCTCGGACTCGGGCTCTGGGCTGTCCGGCCGGGCCTCCCGGCGGCGGCGGCCGGGCCGTCGTCAGGGCACAGGGTTCCCCCGCAGTGCTCAGCAGGGGCGCCCCACCCACAATGCACCGGAGGCGGCCTGCGCCGGGCGGGCCGTGACGCAGGCGGGGCCGGGGAGGACATGGCTGGCCGCCGGGGAGCGGAGCGTGGCCCTTGTTCACCTCAGGGCCTTCGCTTGGCCTTTTGGGGGGTTGGATGTTGTTTTGTTTCTTTGTTTTCTCTTTGGCCCCAGACTTGCGACTTGGGCCCACTTCTGAGGACAATCTCGGAGACTCACAGTCCCCTGTCCACCCCACGTCCCGTTCTGAGGAGAATCTTCTAGAATTTTTCCTCACTTGCTGCCCCCCCCTCCCGTTCTGAGGCGAAGCTTCTGGAATCTTTCCTCACCTGGCTGCCCCGCTCCCGCGTTCTGGGGCGAATCTTTGGGATTCTTCCCTGGTCCACTTGCTCCTTCTGAGGAGAATCTTCTGGAATCTTTGCTCACCTGCCCCCCCCTCCTCCTGCGATGAAGCTTCTGGAATCTTTTACCTGGAAGGCGCACCCTCCCCAGCTCTGCGGAGAATCCAACCACCTGGCCGCGCCCCTCCCCTTGCTTAGCCGAGTTTGCGGGCCGGTTCACTTTTCTGAACAAAATGGCTCGGAGTCGGGCGATCCTGGTCATTTGAGACTCCGGTTTCTTGGGTTTCTGAGAAAACCTGCCGGCCGGGGAGGCAGCAGCTCCGTGAGGCCCTCCGTGTGAAGGGCAGGGCCCGAGGCACCTGCTGCCCGTGCGCACCCCGGGGACCCGAGCGCATCCTCTGCCCCCGGGAGAGAAGCCAGGGCCGCTGGGTGCTCGGCCCTCGCGCTGCAAGCAAGCTGCGACTGGGTCTTTCCCCAGCTGTTTGTTTGAAATTCCTGCCCTGAAAGAAGCTGACTTTTTTTTAGAGATTTATTTATTATTTTGATTGGAAAATCAGATAACCAGATCTACAGAGAGGAGATGTAGATCTTTGTCCGCTGGTTCATTCCCCAGTAAGCCACAATGGCTAGAGCTGAGCTGATCCGAAGCCAGGAGCCAGAAGCCTCTCCCGGGTCTCCCACGCGGGTGCAGGGTCCCAAGGCGCTGGGCCATCCTCCACTGCTTTCCCAGGCCACAGGCAGGGAGCTGGGTGGGAAGTGGAGCAGCCGGGATTAGAACTGGTGCCCCAATGGGATCCCAGCACATGCAAGATGGGAACTTGAGCCACTGTGCCATCCTGCCAGGGCCGTGACTTTAATCGTGCAGAGGCGTCACACGCAAGAGCTGAAGAAAGCTGGAAAACCCAGCAGGGAAAAGAAGAAAACGCCTCCACGGCAGAGAGGCAGTGTGGCCGGGTTTTATCGGGTTTTATGTCTGCACTTGGTCTCCACTGTGGAGGTCCCCAAGTTTGAGGGCAGAGTTTATGATCCAAGACGGATACAAGAAAGGGAAGAAAGAGAAACACGTGACCCTGGGAACAGGACACACAAAGTTCCATCCGAGAGATAACCACCAAGGAAGCAGTCCTGTCCTGAATGTGCAGGAGGACGCTGGCCTGTGAGATCCTTGATGGGAGAGCCCTCCGTGGTGAGCCGCACTGCGCCACGTGCAAAGGGCCTCGGTTATTGTAGCAAGTGGACGGATATTCCCAAAAGAGATACAAGGAGTTCCGAGGAAGGGAGTGGGGCAAGGCTGGCTTCCTGGAGCAAGGCTGGCTTCCCGGGGCAAGGCTGGCTTCCTGGGGCAAGGCTGGCTTCCTGGGGTGACCCGTGAGCTCCCCAGGCTAAGCAGGAAGGACCCGCATGGACACGGAGAGCACCAGCGTGTCATGCAAGCGAGGCCATGCAGCTGGACCACAGACACCTGCGCATGCTCGCTGTCCTGCACACTTGCTCACGGCTAGCACAGTCGGGCCAGGCACACTGTGTTACCACATGGGAGACCCAAGGGGGTTCCAGGCAGCTGGCCCAGATGTAAAGTTTTGGGGGACATGGCAGGGGGTCTGGGTAGGTTTGTGGTTTTTTTAGTGGTTTTAAGGATTTATTCTTTTTTTTAAGTTTTATTATTTTTATTGCTCCTGGCTTTGGACTGGCTCAGCCCCACCCATTGGGGCCACTTGGGGAGTGATTTTCCTCTTTGCCTCTCCTCTTCTCTGGATATCTAACTTTCCAATAAAAATAAATCTTTAAAAAAAAGAATTCAAAACAAATGGGCTAAATAAAAATGGACTTTGATTGGAGGGAGGGAATAAAATGTCCCCACCGTGATGAGCTTACTGATTTTTTCTGGTTATTTATTTATTTGAAAGGCAGGTGGGGCTGGGGTGTGACACAGTGGCTTAAGCTTCTGCCTCTCATTAACATCCAACATGCACAGCTCTTAGAGTCCTGCCTGCTCACCTGCCTAGGAAAGCAGAAGAAATGGTCCCAACCCTTGGCCCCCGTCACCCACCTAGGAGACTGGGATGATGTTTGAACCTCCCGGCTTTGACTCGGTCCAGGGACAGTTAATGCCAATGGAAGATCTCTACTTTTCAAATAAATCCATACACCTTTCAAAATGCTACAGAAGCCGAGCCCGGTGGCCTCATGGTTAAAGTCCTTGCTGTGCACAAGCTGGGATCCCAGATGGGTGCTAGTTCTAGTCCCAGCTGCTCCACTTCCCACCCAGCTCCCTGCCTGTGGCCTGGGAAAGCAGTGGAGGACGGCCCACAGCCCTGGGACCCTGCACCTGCATGGGAGACCCGGGAGAGGCTCCTGGCTCCCGGCTTCGGATCAGTGCAGCTCCATCCTTTGTGGCGCCTTGAGGAGTGAATCAGAGGGTGAAAAATCTTGCTCTCTGTCTCTCCTCCTCTCTGTATATCTGACTTTCCAATAAAAATAAATGTTTTTTTTTTTTTTTTAAGCCACGGAAAGAGACTGATTGTCCCCTTCCCCACGTGTTTGCCTGTAGCCACCACGGCGGGCAGGCCACTCCATGCAGGGCTGCAGTGGGTGGCAGGGGTCAGCCTAGGCTTGAGCCATCACCTGCCGCGTGCCAGGCTTTGCCTTCACCAAAAGGCGGGCTTGGAAGCAGACACAGATCTTCGCGTCTCGCGGCTATCTTGTTCCCTGTGTTCAGTGTGACTCCCGTCCCATCACAGTTTCTGATATTTAAAAAAAAAAAGAAGTGGAAAGGCCACGTGACAGCAGGGAGCGTATGTCTGATCCTTGCCACTAACAGCCTTTGCCATCTCCACACCAAGGCGTGTCCCCTCCCACCCTCCCAGGTCATGTGGGCAAACTGGCTTAGTGACATTCAGGTCCAAATAGGGAAATGGGAACACGGCCAGGATACTCCACAGCCAGGAGAGGCGGGGCTTCGTGGGAGCTAAGGGGAGAAGGCTGGGGGTGCCCGGCTGGGGGACAGTGCCAGGCTTGTGTCCACCATCGCTCATGGCAACGAGTAACAGCTGGTCAACCGCAGTGAGGCGGGTGCCAGGCAGAGCGTCCAGTGTCCCTCGGGGACTCCAAGTGCCCTGGATGCAGGGGGGTGCTGGACACAAGGGCCCCTTCTCTGGCCACCTCTTGCAAAGGGGGCACTGCCGCCAGCAGTGTTGCCAACCACCTGGGATGCCAAAATCCCAGCTCGAGCCTCAGCTGACCCACTTGCCATGCAGCTCCCTGCTGAAGTGCCAGGGAGAGAAGGCAGCCACGGGCTGGCCCGGGTGCTCACAGCCCCCTGCCGCCCACGCTGGAGGCCCGGATGTGGGATCTGTGGCACCTAGCTTCAGTAAGGCTCAAATCCAGACGGGACTCGGGGACACTTCCCGCCAGATCAAAGAGCCCAGCCGGCTGCCACAAGGAGAAAGGGGTTGGTGACAGAACCCTTTATCACCCAGAGAAAGGATGACTGACACCTCCACGTCCACGGCGTGGGAGACTAGCCCAAACAGGAAGGGTGGCGTGCATCTTGGATGCACGTGGCCACAGCGGGCTGGCTTGCAGGGAGGAGCCACCCCTGGGGGCAGAACGGAAGGAGAGCCGTGGGGCTGCTCCGCCCGGGGAGGACAGTGGACTCACTTCCAGTTGCTTGGGCACCTTGAAGGCCTTTTAGCATCACAGACCATCTGAGCTGAACTGGTATCTCAAAAAAAAAAATCAATCAAACGCCCTGGATAGGGATGGCATTTCCGGGCACAGGGGTAAAGCGACATGAGCAAGAGAACATGGACGCAGCCTTCCTGGCCCAGCGGCTCCACGTGCAAACCAGCTCCCTGCTGATGGGCCAGGCCGAGTAGAAGGTGGCCGGAGCCGTGGGTCCCTGCCACCCGTGTGGACATCCCGGAAGCAGCTTGCGGCTGTGGGCTCCTGGCTTCAGGCTAGCGCAGTGCCAGTGCAGCTACTTCTGTCTTCTGGGGAGTGAATCAGCGGGAGGAAGACAGCTCTTTTCTTTCTTTTAAAGTTTTATTTATTTTTATTGCAAAGTCAGATATACAGAGAGGAAGAGAGACAGTTTCCATCCACTGACTCACTCCCTAAGTAGCCACAAAGGATGGAGCTCAGCTGATCCAAAGCCAGGAGCCAGGAGCCTCTCCCGGGTCTCCCACGCAGGTGCAGGGTCCCCAGGCTGTGGGCCGTCCTCCACTGCTTTCCCAGGCCACAGGCAGGGAGCCGGGTGGGAAGTGGCGCAGCCGGGATTAGAACTGGCGCCCATATGGGTTCCAGCCTGTACAAGTGGAGGACTTTAGCCCCTAGGCTATTGCAGTGGGGCCCATTAACAAAAATCCTGGCATGTTAACCTAGTGCTTACATTCTTGTGTTGCCTGCAGCAGGGAGCTGGATGGGAAGTGCAGCAGCTGGGACGCTAGCCATTGTCCCTGTGGGATCCTAGCGGCTGTGAGGCCACGGCGGCACAGGGCTTGTCACTTTTTAAAACGAGCCTCGTCCGTGTCATGATTCTCATCTGGCTGCACTTCAGTCCTTGACCTTGAGAGCCCCATGCCCCTGCTGAAGGAAGGCCTGGCCACTTCCTGTCACACCTGTCTCCCCACCTCCCCGCCCCCAGCCTGCAGTCCAGGTCACAGGTCTCAGGCCTGCGCGGGGCCGGCCGCGCGCCCCGCAGGGCTCTCCCACCTTCTCGCTGTGCCCCATCAGCTGGTGGGACACCAGCCTTTCTCCCAGTGTGTGTGCATGGGGACACTGCCCAGGCTGCCCTGGAGGCAGCGTGTCACGCCCCCTGGTGGTTCCAGGGCAGAGCCAGCCAGGGCCCTGGGCCACAGCCTGGGCAGGCAGGGATGTGCAGATACGCTTCCGGGGAAGGACACTTAACCCTTTAGGGAAGATTTGTGGGGCCCGGCAGCATGGCCTAATAGCTAAAGTCCTCGCCTTGAATGCGCCAGGAGCCCATAAGGGCATCGGTTCTAATCCCGGCAGCCCCACTTCCCACCCAGCTCCCTGCCTGTGGCCTGGGAAAGCAGTGGAGGACGGCCCACAGCCTGGGGACCCTGCACCTGCTGGAGGAAGCTCCTGGTTTTGGATCGACTCAGCTCCAGCTGTTGCGACCACTTGGGGTCACTTCCTCTCTGTCTCTTGTATAACTCCTCTTTGTATAACTGATTTTCCAACGAAAATATATATCAAAGAATAAAATTAAATATTAAAGCCCCACACAGGGTTGTGGACTTGGGGTGCTCCCAGGTTCCTCGTGGGGTGCCACAGAATGCTGCCACCCTGGCACCACAGGCACACGTGACGTGGGGATTTGTCTCTGTGCCTGGGGGGACTGAAACATCAGCGTTCTGGGGGGTCCAAGAGCTCAGACTTCGCTGCATAGTTTTTTTTCATGATACGTGTTTCTTGAACTTTTTCATTATTTTATTTTTTATTATAAAGGCAGATATATAGAGAGAAGGAGAGGCAGAGAGGAAGATCTTTCCTCCATTGGTTCCCTCTGCAAGTGGCCATAACACCAGAGCTGAGCCGATCCGCAGCCAGGAGCCAGGAGCCTCTTCCGGGTCTCCCACCTGGGTGCAGGGTCCCAAGGCTTTGGGCCGTCCTCCACTGCTTTCCCAGGCCGCAGGCAGGGAGCTGGCTGGGAAGTGGAGCAGCCGGGACACTAGCCAGTGTCCAGTGGGATATTGGCGCTTGCAGGCTGAGGTTTAGCCCACTGAGCAACTGTGCCAGGCCCCAGTACTGCCCCGCTTTCGGCCTGGTTCCCTGCTGACACTCAGCCTGGCAGAGAGCAGGGCCCTTGCCACCCTCGTGGGACACCGCGTGGAGTTCCAAGCTTTGGGCACAGCCCAACCCCACTGTTGTGGCCATTGCGGCAATTGTAGGTGGTGCATCTTTCTGTCCACTCTTCCTGAATAAATACATTTTTCGAAAAAGTCTTTTTTAGCATTAAAAAATACATATTTTTGAAAGAATTTCCCATCTGCTGGTGTTCCATGTAACACTTGGGCCACTCCTGCTGCAGCCCCGATGTGGGGAACTGGAGGGAGAGTCCAGATTCGAACCCGGGCCCTTCGGTGCGCAGTGGAACTGCCGTGACAAGGGCATCAATGTCCACTCAGTGCACCGTCACAATTTTTAAAAAAAATCATTGGTTCATTTCCCAGGTGGACTTGGAGATGGTCCCTGCTGTGGTCAGCGCCTCCCCAGTGGCCGCGGCAGGAGCGCGAGCAGGCAGAGCAGGCCTCGGCCCCCGGGCTCCGTCCCGCCACGCCGGCCCAGAGGGTGACCTGTGCATGGAAGTGGGGGGCTTGGCTGGAGCGACGCACAGCCCCGAGCCTGGGGTCCTCTTGCCCCCAGCAGCTTTGGGAATAAAAAGGGGTGTCTGCGTGTCTGCACCCCCACACTGTGAGCCTTGGCTGCTGGAGGCAAGGGGAGTGGGGGTGTGGCTGACGGGAGATGGAGACACAGCAGGTGGTTCTTGCTAAGTTTTTACTTTGAATATATATATAATACATATATATATTTATCTTTTACATATATATAGGAAAAGAAACCCAAAGGAGAAGCTATGTTCAATGGTTATGTCTTTTAAACAAAGTTTTGTATTTACAAATCTTTGTTAAAAAAAAAAAAAAACAAACCTTTTTTTTCCTGATTAAAAAAGCACCAGGTGGAAAGTTAGCAGACTGCTGAAACTGTCAGCGAGAACAAACCCTCTTCAAACGAGACACTACTGCACCCGAAAACCTTGTGGAGCCACGGCACCCCATGCACCTCACCCATGGTACCACGCCGGCCCGAGGCCCTGGGTCCTCGGCCGGCCTCGAGCGCCAGGGCGGCCCGGGCCCACACAGCCCCGGGACCACAGGGGACCTCGTGTCCGGCGGGCGCCCTTGGACGTGGCGTCCTTGTCTGGTTTCCCAGCCCCAGCCGTGGGACTTGCTGGCTTTGGAGGCGGAGGATGGGAGGGCCTTCCGGGCGCTGTCCGGCGGGCCGAGGCTGCTGCGGAGGGAGGGTGGGGGCAGAGCCGCGGGCTGGCCCGCCACGCACACGCACACTTTGGTTTCCAGAAGGCTCCAGAACTCTGCGTACCCAGTACTGACCGACTGACCTGAACGCCACAGCCTTAAGGACACGCGCCTCGGGGTGCTTACTCGAAGCCCTCCAACAGCGGCATGGGTGCTAAAGTCCTGAGGTTCTATGTACAGAACACCCCAGAAGCAAAGGCAGGCTGAAATAAATAGGCAGGGACAAGCATGATACACGCGTGATCGCGGTGGGTGCGGGTCCGACCTCATGGCCAAGGGTCAGGCCTAGCTGTGTGGGGACAAGCCGCGCCCCTCGCAGCCCTTCCTGGCCCTGACCTCGGGAGGGACAGGGCAGCCAGGAGGCAGGCAGGTGGCTAAGGCACACCCGGGCCCCAGGGCCGTGAGCGGCTGAGCTGAGCCCCCCCGTCCGTTGCCCGTGGCGACACTGCCATGTGGGCCTTGGGCCACAGGCTGCCACACGACCTGAACCGGTCCAGCGCCCTGCCAAGCCACGCGATCTACCCACTCCCAAGCCAGCAGAGGGCTCAGCTCCATCTCTGCTGCCACTACTCGCACGGCGCCCCCTGCCCGACGGGCCAAGAGAAGAGCGTGAAAAGCCTAGTGTTGCCCAGTTCAGGAGGAGGTCTGGGGACCGCGGCCGGTGCGGGCAGACCGGGCAGCATCGGGGCGCAGGTGCGGGGGAGGGCCCCTCCACCCCAGATCTACGGGGCTGTGTGCTCTGTGCAGGCACTGGACTCGTGCGTGTCGGCCAGGACCCTCGGCCCGTTTGCTGTCCCACAGTAGTAACACGGTGGGCCTCACGGCCCGGCTGCCACCAGTGCCGCACTCGCACGTGTACAGGCTGGCACCGCCGGATGTCACTGCGCAGGCGCCTGGAGGCCGAGTCCCTGCGTGTCCCCTGGATCCCCGACCACAGGTCTGGCCAATGAAGAGGCTGGCGTGCCGGGAAAAGCACCATGAGCCCTGGCCCACCTGGGCGCCGGGGCCTCAGGGCCTTCCCTCTGGCTTCTGGACGCGGCCTGGAGCTGCTGCCTGCGGGCACGGGCCTGGGCGGTGGCATACAGGGCTAGCGTCTGGTCCAGACGCGCTCCCAGGCAGGCAGGCAGGTGTGGCCCATGGTGACAGCAGGGCCTGCAGCCCACGTCGCCCTGGAAGCACAGCCGTGTGGAGCTGGCACCCGGTGTGCCCAGAGCTGCTGTGCCAGGGCCGGCTCGCTCGCTCACTCGCACTTGGAAGCGCTGGACAGTCGGGAGAGGCCTGGGCGTGGCCAGCGAGCTGCAGGCACCTCTTGTGCTGCCTGCGTGAAAGCCAGGGACACGCAAGGGCCCCGAGGAGCTGGGCCCCACGCCGGGGGCTCACAGGAGGCTGGCCAGGCTGGTGGTGGGTCCATTCTGGGCCTGGAACTGCACGGGGGGCGGGCCGTCCGTCCACTGTGGGGGGGCACACACAGCGGTGAGGACTCCGTCCTGCCCGCTCCCCTCCCTGCGGCAGCCTGGGGTCCCCCGCTGACAGGGGTGCGGTGGCCACACAGCGCGCACGTACCGTGATGAGGTTGTGTTCCGGGAGGCTGCACGCCTCAATGTGGTCCTGCAGCAGCTGCTGGGAGAAGTTCTGGTGCATCTGGGCGGCCTCGTGGGCGTCCATGGCATTCCCGCAGGCCTTGTTCAGGTCTGAGGGCGACACGGGCACAGGGTCAGGCACTGGGGACTGAGGACCCCCCCATCTTAGTAATGGGGATGGAGGCCCATGCCAACCGACAGGGGCAGACATGGGTAGTGAGAACCTGAGGAGGGGGTTCCCCCTTGCCCTTCCAGCACCCAGCGCCCCGCTCTGACCGGCGGCCAGGGTGCGAGTGGGGCCCAAGGCCTGCCGGAGCCCAGGGCTCGGCACCGCTGCCCTCCACCAGGGCCGGAGGGGGGCTGACCGCTGGACTTACCCCGCAGCAGGGCCGACGACCAGAGCTGCACCGACATGTCTGGAATCTTGCTGGCCAGCTGCATGGCGGGTACCACCATGTTGTTACTTTCCTGCCGGGGGTGGGCAGCCAGTGGGGGGTGACTGAGGGGCCGGCGACGGGCCAGCCCGCACTGCCCTGCCCCTTCCCTCGGGGCCCACGCCGCACGGCCCTCTGTCCACCGCGGAGCTCCGGGTCACGTGTGTGGGTGTCACCCCATGGAAGGGGAACCTCGCGACCACACGGGGCAGCCCCCTGGCCCCGGGGGCCTCTGAGCGGCGACCCCTGCCTGTGCCCAGCGTCTGCCCGTGGGTGCCTGTCCGGACCTGCACGCCTACCCTGTGGTTGCCCAGGACATAGAAGATGTGGCCCAGGAGCACGAGCGAGCAGGCCGTGAGGCGGTTCAGGTCCTCCGCGTTGGACATCTTCAGGGTCTCCCGCAGGAACCGCCTATGCCAGGACACAGGGGGGGTGGATGCCCGGGGTGCGGGGGCAGGGGTGGTCCGGCCAGGGGCGCCGCCCACAATTGCATCTGGCCCTGGCACTCACTTGGCCTCGTTGTAGCGTCCCTGGAAGAAGGAGAACAGGCCCCGCACGTAGAAGGCCGCCGCCCGGAGGCAGTGGGAGCTGCGGGGGGGAGAGAGCGTGAGGCTGCGGAGGGGCACGGGGCCGGGTGAGAGGGCGGGCGTGGGGGGCGCCAGGGGCCGGGTGACAGGGCCGGGCGTGGGGGGCGCCAGGGGCCGGGTGACAGGGCGGGCGTGGGGGCGCCAGGGGCCGGGTGACAGGGCCGGGCATGGGGGGCGCCAGGGGCCGGGTGAGAGGGCGGGCGTGGGGGGCGCCAGGGGCCGGGTGACAGGGCGGGCGTGGGGGCGCCAGGGGCCGGGTGACAGGGCGGGCGTGGGGGGCGCCAGGGGTCGGGTGTGAGGGCCGGGCGTAGGGGGCGCCAGGGGCCGGGTGACAGGGCCGGGCATGGGGGGCGCCGGGGGCCGGGTGAGAGGGCCGGGCACGAGGGGCGCCGGGGGCCGGGTGAGAGGGCCGGGCACAAGGGGCGCGAAGGGCGCTAGGGGCGCCGGGGGCGGAAGCTCACCTGACGGGGAAGCTGTGGTCAGGGTTGATTCTTTCCAGCAGGCTGTACAGCTGCAGGGGAACACCAGGTTAGGGCTGTGGCGGGCAAGGGCACCCCAGACAGCAAGCACTGCCGGTGGCTCCCTTGACGGGTGCGGGGGTTGGGGATGGGGCTGTTCCGCTCCCTGCACCCAGCGCCGCTGCACCTCCGGGCCCTGGGAGCCGCACACGCCTCTTGGAAACTTGGCTGATGGGTATGAGCTAGGCCGGCGACCTGGGCTCGGCCACGGGGGGCCATCTGGGCCGGAGCTCGCGCGAGGCCGCCCCTCGGCTCTGGGCTGCGCCCCGCCCCCGCCCCGGCGAGGAGAAAGGATACCAGAGAAGCATGTCACCTACTACCTCTTGGTGTCTATTTCCTTCTCGAATATACACACTCGCCAGGTTGGTCACGATGAAGGCCCACAGCTCCTGGTGGTTGGTGAGCTGCAGCGGGAGGCAGGCGTGAGGGGCTGGCGGGGCAGGCCGCATCGCCCCGGGGCTAACTTGGGAAGCTGCCCGCTCCTTGTTTCTGAACCCCCTGCCGGCAATGACACCTTGCAAAGCCCCCATCCACAGCCCAGCACGGCCCGGTCTCGCCTGCGGAGGACGCTGTCTGGACTGGTGGCCCTTCCCACCCACACCCCAGAGGCATGCTCTGTCCTGAGGGGCACTCCCCTGCAGCGGGGAGCTGGGGCCCCAGGCCCTGCTGGAAACGGGGGTCAAACAGTGGAGGCGTGCAGCAACACCTGCAGGGCCTGGCAAGTGTGCACATGATGGTGGACCTGACTGTGGAAGTGATGGGCTGAGGGGGCCAGGGCCTCCTGGGGACTGAGAAAGGGGCAGACCCTGACATTGGGGTTGGGTTGTGATAACATCCTGGCTGGGCCACTTCCTGGGTGGCCAGCCCCTGGCAGGTGGTGGCTGGAGGCCCCAAGGGGCAGCAACAACCACCTGCCAGGAGGGGACAAAGACGGAGGGCCATGGTGGGAGGTGGCAGGGGCTTCCCAGCCGCTCTTGCTGCCCAGGGTGACAGCACCCGGACTGGTGGGGAAGGTAGGGCTGTCAGGGAGGGTGCACAGGGCTGCGGCCCCAGCAACACCTTGCCATTCTGACTCGGGGCCTTGCCAGAACCAGAGGAAGGCACACTGCAGCCTCCTTCTCTCACGAGGACCCAGAGGTTAAGGGGCTCACACCCGCACAGGTCTGGAGCGGGAAGGGCAAGGGCAGTGAGCTCTGGTGGGCTGCCCTACGGCATGGCATGAGACTTGGGGCAGGATCCTGGGCCACGGCCAGGGGCCTGGGCACTCACAGGGTAGAGCCTCCTGTGCCCCATAGCACCCGGTCAGGGCAAACCTGCCCCTGCATCTCACCCCCTGGCTACGGGGCAGCTTTAGAGCTCCAAGAGTGGGTGACCCCGTTTCCCGAGCAGGAATGGGGACCTGCGCCGGCATCTTAGGCATGGAAAGTGGCCCAGCATGCTGGCTCAAGGCTAAATCCTCGAATTCAACATGCCAGGATCCCCTGTGGGCACCGGTTCTAATCCCGGCAGCTCCACTTCCCACCCAGCTCCCTGCCTGTGGCCTGGGAAAGCAGTGGAGGACGGCCCACAGCCTTGGGACCCTGCACCCGCGTGGGAGACCCGAAAGAGGCTCCTGGCTCCTGGCTTTGGATTGGCACAGCTAGGCCACTGTGGCCACTTGGGGAGTGAATCAAATGACGAATCCTCTCTTCTCTAAATCTGATCTGCCTTTCCAATAAAAATAATTTTGGGAGGATAAAATAAATAAATCTTTTTTTAAAAAAGTGGTTGGCAAGGCTATGGTTTCGTGAGCTCTGGGCCTCTCTGCACCTCCGCCCTCAGCCACGGTGTGCAGGGGTGACAGCTGGCATGAGGCTGGCCTCACCACCTTAGAGACCACACCCGCCGCGAAGAGGGCAGGGGCCAGTGCCTTACCCGCAGGGCTGTGGTGAACTGGGCCTCCGCGTTGTCCATGCAGTTGACCGAGACACAGTAGAGGCCCTGGAAGAGGGGGTGTCAGCTGGGGGGCCCAGGGGACACCCACTGAGGGCTCCAACCAGCCACCCCCGATGAGGAGCCCAATGCAGTCAGCTCGAGCTTTCCTGCTGACGCCACTTGGGGCTCAGGGAGTGCCCGGCAGAACAGGGCCTGCTGAGAACATCCCGGCTTCTGCCTGCGGTGGCCACCGGGGGCCACTCTGGGAAGGTTCTGGAACCGGCCCTGGGGGTAGGGGGAGGCACACTCACCAGCAGCGTGTGCAGCTGAGCCGCGTGGTTGGAGAAGAGCCGGGGCGACTGCTGGCACAGCTGGCATACCTGGGAGATCTGGTGGAGGGAAAGAGGAGGGGGTAAGAGACCCCCGAACTTGAGGGGTGTGTCTGAGTCCCACTGACTCTGAGGGGTCCCTGGGTCCTGGCGGACGGCTGTGGTGGGCACCCTGCGGCCTTAATCACTGCAGGGACAAGTACCCTGGCCATTGGTCGCCTTGTGCTCCTTAAGGCACCTGTGCCTTGCTCTCCTCAGGGGAGGGAGTGTGTGGGCCTATGGCAGCAGAGGGCATGAGAGTCAAAGATACCAGGGCGCACGGGAAATCTGGAAAAAGCCTGCTGGTTGGGCACGGGAGACAGCAAGATATCAGGATATACAGCACCGTGCCCTGCACCCCACCCCACCCCGGCCCTACCTCCTGCAGCACTGTGGCCCTGTACCCCCACCCCACCCCACCCCAGCCCTACCTCCTGCAGCACTGTGGCCCTGTACCCCCACCCCACCCTGGCCCTACCTCCTGCAGCACTGTGGCCCGGTGCCCCCACCCCACCCCACCCCAGCCCTACCTCCTGCAGCACTGTGGCCCTGTACCCCCACCCCACCCCGGCCCTACCTCCTGCAGCACTGTGGCCCTGTACCCCCACCCCACCCTGGTCCTGTGTCCTGCAGAGCCCTGTGCCCCCACCCGACCCCAGCCCTACCTCCTGCAGCACTGTGGCCCTGTACCCCCACCCCACCCGACCCCAGCCCTACCTCCTGCAGCACTGTGGCCCTGTACCCCCACCCCACCCCACCCCGGCCCTACCTCCTGCAGCACTGTGGCCCTGTACCCCCACCCCACCCCGGCCTACCTCCTGCAGCACTGTGGCCCTGTACCCCACCCCACCCCACCCCGGCCCCACCTCCTGCAGCACTGTGGCCCTGTACCCCCACCCCACCCCGGCCCTACCTCCTGCAGCACTGTGGCCCGGTGCCCCCACCCCACCCTGGTCCTGTGTCCTGCAGAGCCCTGTGCCCCCACCCGACCCCGCCCAGGCCCTACCTCCTGCAGCGCCGTGGCCTTGTGCCCGGTGACGAGCCGGCACATAATGATGTGTTCCAGCAGGATGACTTGGAAGGAGGACAGGATGGGGCTGCAGTCGAGCACTGTGGGGGAATCGGGGGGAGAGTGTGTGTGTATGTGGGGGTCCTGCTGTTGGGCCCCGCCTCCTGCCAACCAGTCCTGGGCCGGCCCGCTCAGTAACCCTAACTCTAACCCTCCTCCATGGCCAGCTCACGTGAAGCTGACAGAGAGTGGGACCAGTGGCCTAAGCCTGGCCCCACTGACCCACAACCCACACGGGCCCAGTCCTCAATGGCGCTCTGGCCACAGCAGCTTCTACAAAGACGCAGCTCCAGCAGCAATGGGAGCCCTGGGTGGGAGCCCCAGCTCCTGACAGCCAGGGCCCTCTGAGGATGGTCCCAGTCCCCTGGGCTTTGCTGGTCCTGGACCACACGTCCACCTGCCGCCACGATGTGCCAGGACAGCCAGGCAGCAAAGCAGACTAGCAGAGGGGAGTGGGGCCTGCCGGGCACTGGGGGTCCGGGCGCCCCAGGGTGGAGAACATGGCCGAGTGCCCAGAAACGCCCTGTGTCGAGCAGCCCTCACCGCTGAGACCGCAGGGCCATGAGGTGGTGAGGCATGCTCACACCCGTGTCACGTGGGCAGCGTGGCTAACCCACAGTCCGGCTCTGCGGCAGGGAGCAATCAGAGAGACACCCAGGGGCCCGGCCCGACAGGGACCCCCGCCCCCAGACCCGGCGCCGTGGTCCTCGGGGCAGGGGGCGCTGGGGCCGCTCACTCTTGAGCTTCTCCAGCTGCATGAGGGCCTTGTCCGTGTACTTCTGCGCCTTCTCCAGGTAGCCAGCCTGCATGGAGTGCATGACGGTGACCTGGCAACGGGGAGGGCAGCCGTCAGCGGGCGCCTGCCCGGCGCGCGCCCTCCCGGGGCCCCGCACTCACCAGGTAGACGAGCACGCACATGTGCTCCTTGGGCAGCCAGTGGAAGAGGTCGGCGGGGTTGCTGGGCAGGATCTCGTCATCATGCAGCGTCGAGATGGTCTGGATGCACTGCTGCAGCTGCTTCAGGCACGGCTTCACGCTCTTCACCTGCGGGGCCACGCCCAGCGCCCGGCTCAGCGCCCGGCTCAGCGCCCGCCCCAGCGCCCACCTCAGCGCCCGCCCCAGCGCCCGCCTGCCCCCCAGCCCTGCCACGAACGCGGCCTTCCCCGAGACCTGAGGGCCCCTGAGCTCTTGGAGTCACGTGGGGCCGCTGGGCGCAGGCATGGGCAGCTGGCATGGGCAGCTCAGCCCCTGGGAGGATGGGGTGGGGCTGGGGAAGGGGTCCCTCTCCAAGGAGAGGACCCACTGCGTTGGCGTCCACCCGCCACTTCCCAGCATGGCACGGAGGCTCCGGGCCGGGCGGAGGGGCTGAAGTGCACGGGGCAGGGTACTAACACACAGCCACTCGGCGACACCGAGTGCCACCTGAACCCCACGAGGCTGTCAACAACTGGGAAGGGCGCGGACAGACACCACTTGGGCGCCTGTTGTGTCAGGCACCTGCCAGAGGCCTCCCAGGGGCTTCCCACAGGCTCCGAGACTGCCCGTGCCACACACCAACACACACCTGCTAGGTGAGGAGGCAGTGCCAGGGCCGCACGGGGGCCTGCGCCCTCCCCTCGGGTGGCCCTCCCCTCGGGCGCTGCGCCCTGCCGTGCCCCGGGCGAGGCAGCACGCACCTGCCCGGCGTCCAGGTAGTGGGTCACCTGCAGCACGAGGAAGAAGACGCGGAGTGACTCCTTCTGGATGGGGTTGCCTTGCCAGTTCTCCACGATCTGCCCGCAGAGCGTCAGCAGCGGGTGTACCTCCTGCAGCTTGCGTTCCATCAGCAGCAGCTGGCGGGGAGGGGCACAGGCCAGGTTGTGGGGGCTGCTTGTCCAAGGGCAGGGCAGGGCAGGGCCACGCCAACTGCTTGTGTTGCCATAGAGACCACGCCAAGGGGAGCAGACAGGCAGACCCTTCGTTTCTGAGACAGCTGCCACCCTGCCCAGCCTCGACTTACCATCCCCTTGCTGAGTAGGAACAACGCCCTGCAAAGAGACAAGAGCCAGGCCTGAGCCCAAGTGATGGCTCAGCGGCTAAATCCTCGCCTTACACATGCTGGGATCCCCTGTGGGCACCGATTCTAATCCCGGCAGCCCCACTTCCCACCCAGCTCCCTGCCTGTGGCCTGGGAAAGCAGTGGAGGACGGCCCAAAGCCTTGGGACCCTGCACCCACGTGGGAGACCTGGAGGAAGCTGCTGGCTTGGGGAGGGTCTGGCAGTGCAGCCCCGACTGTGGGCTCAACGCTCCCTCCATCCCCCCACCTCCTACACAGGTGTTCCAGGGCTGGCAATGGCTTTAGGGGGGCTGCCGTGAGTCCCGCAAGGGACTGGTGCATAGCTGAGGACTCGGGCCAGGAAGGTCCTGTAAGAGAATCTTCCAGAATTTCTAATATACATAGCTGCCTGCACAAAGCATAGGGAATGTTTCTACGTGGGGGAAGGGTGATGGGCAGCAAGTCCTCCCAGATGCTGCACAGGGGATGCCAGCGGCCCTTGACCCGTCTCTGCGGGCGGGACAGCTTCCTGTGCACGACAGCCTCCGTTCCCAGCTGCCTCTGCCCACTGGCCTGCTTCGACAGGCATCCCTTAGCAGGCGGGCACCTACACTCGCTGTGCACCCCTGGTGGGCAGACAGGAGATGAGCCCCCGGGGCCTCACCCTGCAGGGTGCTGACCCAGCCCAGCCTGACCGCCCTGTGCTGCTGCAATTCCTTTCTCTTCTAACTGACTCAGTCGAAAAACAGTGAGAGACAGACGTTCCACCCACTGGTCTATTCCCCAGATGCTGGGGCAGAGCAGGGCTGTGCTGGGCCGAAGCTGACTCCGAAAGCTGACCCAGGGCTCCCGGGGAGGAAGGTGGCAGGGGTGGCCTGGCCCAGGGTTCTCGGCTCTTGGGCAGGTGGCAGGGGGGTGGCCTGGCCGAGGGCTCCCGGACAGGTGGCAGGGGAGGCTGGCCCGGGGGTCTCAGCTCTAGGGCAGGTGGCAGGGGAGGCTGGCCCGGGGGTCTCAGCTCTAGGGCAGGTGGCAGGGGAGGCTGGCCCGGGGCTCTGGGGTGGGTGGCAGGGGAGGCTGGCCCGGGGCTCTGGGGTGGGTGGTAGGTGGTCAAGGCCCACCTCCTGGCAGCATGATCTCTCGCTCCCAAGCTGTGCACTGGCAGGGAGTTGGAAGTGGAGCCGGGCCTTGAACCCACACATCCTGAAGGGTGCCTTCACTGTCGGCAAAGCCCAGCCCCACCCATGCCCCCTGAACACCTCTGCCGACAGCTGTGGGGCGAGCAGACAAGCTCCTCGGAGGTCAGGAGGGACCTACCGTGTGTACTCGGATCCCACCACCCGGGCGTACTCGGCGCCCACGCCCAAGAGGTCGCAGGCAGACACCAGATCCTTCTCGAGCGTGTGCAGTTGCTGAAAACGAGAGACCTTCGCTGCCAGCCCTGTCCGAGTCACAGTCCCAGCCTGACTGCTGAATCAGCAGGTTCAAGTTCACGGGGACCAAGCTGCCTCGGCGTGAGCTCTGACATTCACCAGGCCACCTGCAGCTGACTCCACCTCCACGCCCGGGGCGCCGAGTGGGGGCCCAGGGCACAACGGGCTAGCTCAAAGCTTGACAGGCTGAAAGGGCCTCCTGACTCCACCTGAGCCCAGCAGGGCCACTGCAAGGCCTTGCCTGGGAGCTCCGGGGAGGAAGCACCCTGCGACCCCGCTGGGCTGGCGGGTTAGGGTCTCGGCAGGAGGGCGGGGGAACCCGGGAGCCCTCAGCCTTCAGTCACAGGGCCTGGGGGCAACCATGCAGCTGTGTCCTGGCAGTCCCCAGGAGCAGGGCTCCGGGCACGAGGTCTGTCTGACGTGGCCATCTGCTGCCCAAGAGGGAGCCCCACTGAATTTTAAGACCAGGGTTGGGGGGTGCCAGGCCGGATGGGCGCTCCCTCCCCACCTGATGGCAGGCTGCTGGGGGCAGGGGGATGGCCTCGTGCCCAGGCAGCGCGGTGTGCCTGGCCATGGGTACTCACGGCGAGCTGGAAAAGCAGGCGGCAGTGCCAGTACGGGGTCTGCTGCGAGATCTGGATCGCCTTGCGCAGGAGCGGCTTTGCCGCGTCGACGGAATTCTAAGGGAGTCAGGTTTGGGAGAGGAGAGACACGCTCAGCTGGCCAGCCAGCCGGGCTCCCCTGGGCAGCGGCTGAGGCCCGGGCAGGGTGTGCCAGCTTTTTTGGGGGGAGGCATTGATCATTTACTTTGCTAACAGGTTAAAATAAAAAGTCTCACCTCCTGGCAGTACAGCTCCGACAGCAGGCTCGCAGCTTCGAATTTCACGTCTTCAAACTGCGGGATCTAGTGACACGCAGTTAAGGGTCCACCTCCAAGAGCCCCGCCCGGGGACCCCACCTTCCTGGGCAGGTTCGCCCACGCCCTGTGCCACCCTGGAGCCCGGTTTGGGGCTGGTGGAGTGCAACTGGAGCAGAGAGCGGCCAGGGAGAAGCTGGCTCAAGGTGTAGCAGGAGCCCTGCATTGTGGGTTTTTTTTGAACGCACGCTCGGTACTTACAGGGTCAGCACCAACGAGCAAAGGATACCTGTTGCGATATCAGCCACTGGAAAGAGAAAAGCAGAATTAACGATTGGGCGAACAGACCCGGGCTGCCCAGGGGTCTGGGGGTGGCCAGCGTGCTTGGCCCGGCCCAGCGTCACACCCGACATCCCTCACAAGCTGAGCTGTTCTCTCTGGGCTCAGTCCTTCCTGGACAAGACATGTGAGTGCTCCTCATGGAATGGAGGGCAGCAGCCGGCACGCTCTGAGCAGATGGCCCTGGGCTGGCCTGCCCTGCGGGCCACCCTCCCACAGAGCACAAGGGGTGCCTCGTGGTGTGGGGCCACCCTCCCACAGAGCACAAGGGGTGCCTCGTGGAACTTCCGGCCCCCACTGCACCCACTGGTACAAAGCCTTTGCCAGTGTTCGCCCATCACTGTTTCCTCATAGCAACGGGCTTTTCTTTTGTCTTCCTTCAATCGGAAATGCACAAGGAAGGGAGGCAGATAGTTCATCTGTCAGCTCATTCCCCAGGGGCCATCCAACAGCAGGGCTAGGCCGGGGCTGCAGCTGGGCATCCACTCGGAGTCTCCTGTGGAGGTGTGGCCAGGGACTGCACCACCCAAGGCCTCAGCGTGCCTGCCGGGGGCAGGACTTGGGGCCAGGGTTCCAGCCAGGCACACCAACACAGGATGTGGGTGTCCCAACCTGTGTCTGCTTTCTGAGCCCTTTGAGTCTAACAGGTGGCTTCCCCTGCCACCTGCTGTCTTCTGACATGATGTGGGTGAGGTGCAGAAAGAGGGCCCTGTTCTAAGAACAGGAATTCACTACCCAGCAGGAGATCTGAGAGGCTGCTGGCTCCTGGCTCCAGGGGATCTTAGAGGTTTCTGGCTCCTGGCTCCAGGCTGCAGGAGATCTGAGAGGCTCCGGGCTGCAGTTTCAAGGCTTGACTTTTTCTCCTGGAAGGTTCTGTGTGCCACAGTGGCTACCAGGAGTGCTGGGTTCAAGGCAACGTGAGCGAGCGACGTGCTGGGTCTTGGAGCATCGGGCCCTGGTGGCTGCCACTATTTCCTCCTATGTGCACAGGCAGGTGACCCCGCACTGTTCTGAGAAACGTGTCCTTAGGGCATTGACCTTGAGTCCAATCGTGGGGGACAGCCACCACACATCCCTAGGCAGCATAACCTTGGGGGACCACAGCACTCGTGCCAGCGTGTCAACCAGCGGAAAGGCTGCTCCACGGCTCACAGGGGGCATCAGGGAAGGCCTTCTCCACGTACCATCATGGCCCATGCCGGGACCCCAGAGCCTGCAGCAGGCTGGCACCCAGGTGTACCAACAGCTTCTGCAGAAACACCAGGAACCGCAGGCCTGGGGCCTCTGCCCTTCAGCCACGACGCACTATGTCCACTCAGGAGGTGGAGGGGGCGAGCACGAGTGAGTTCTCTCCCCAACATGCTCACGATGGCCAGGGCTGAGTTAAGCCAGAGCTGGGAGCCAGGGCCTCATCCGTGTCTCCCAGGGGAGCAGCAGGGACCAGTGCATCCCAGGGAGGGAGCTGAGGAGCCAGAGGTGGGATGTGAACTCGGGCCCTCCAATGGAGAGCTTAGGGGTGGTCCTAACTGCCTGACCAGATTAAGCTTTGTAATCCAGCACCGTGTACGTGGCCGACCACTCCTCAGGGACAAGCACAGCCTTCCAGGGACCGTCTTACTCTGTCCTGCGGTGCGATGGGGCCGGCGTGTGGTCCCCCAACCAGCACCTGAGTGGGGCATCAGCAAGCCGGGAGGGAACCCCACTTGAGGGCTTGGCTAGGGTACAGTGTGCAGTACTGGGGGGCGGGCAGGACGGAGTGTGAGCCAGCAGAGAGCAGGAGACGCAGGCCAAGGCTCTCCAAGGACAGTCAGCCCGGCCGCGGCTTCCACACGGCTCGTGCCCCACTGCCTGGGCAGGGGTCCTGAGCAGGTGCGGTGCGGACCCCACACAGGAAGGTGGGACTCAGGCCTGAGCCTTGGGAGGACTTGAAGGGAGACGGAGCCAGCAGCCAACCGCCTGCTGGAACAGCAGAGCACGCAGCCTCAGCCTCATCCCGGGTACAGAAGTGCCAAGTGCTAGGCTGGCACAGTCTATGGGCCCTGCTTCAGACGGGCAGGCCCGGGGCGTCGGGTCTACGTGCATGCCGAATGCCGGGGTCTGTTAACCTGCTCTGCGCCTGGCAGACCCAGGGGGGCACTTCCTGGGTGGAGACCAGCCTGACAATCTCCGCCCAGGGTCCAGAGCTTCTGGAAGCATGGGGGGGGGGGGCAGAGCGGGAGGGGGCAATGAACTGGCACGTGCAAAGCCCAGGGGTGGTTCCCTTCCTCCCTGTGCATCTCAACTAAACAGGACCATTGTCCAAACAACCACTGTGTGTGTCACGGGCAGCGGCCAGCACCATGTTCTAGAGAATCCGGAACAATCACGCACTATCCAGACCAAGGGGTAGCCGGGGGCCAGGTGGTCACAAGGAAGCAGGTGGGAGGGGCACGGGCAGGCGGGAGGGGCACGGGCAGGCGGGAGGGGGGACACAGGCAGGCGGGAGGGACATGGGCAGGCGGGAGGGACACGGGCAGGCGGGAGGGACACGGGCAGGCGGGAGGGACATGGGCAGGTGGGAGGGGGGACACGGGCAAGCGGGAGGGACATGGGCAGGTGGGAGGGGGGACACGGGCAGGCGGGAGGGACATGGGCAGGTGGGAGGGGGGACACGGGCAGGCGGGAGGGGGGACACGGGCAGGCAGGAGGGACACGGGCAGGCGGGAGGGGGGACACGGGCAGGCGGGAGGGGGGACACGGGCAGGCAGGAGGGACACGGGCAGGCAGGAGGGACACGGGCAGGCGGGAGGGGGGACATGGGCAGGCGGGAGGGACATGGGCAGGTGGAGGGGCACGGGCAGGCGGGAGGGGGGACACGGGCAGGCGGGAGGGGGGACACGGGCAGGCAGGGGGGACACGGGCAGGCAGGAGGGACACGGGCAGGTGGAGGGGCACGGGCAGGCGGGAGGGACACGGGCAGGCGGGAGGGGCACGGGCAGGCGGGAGGGACACGAGCAGGCTACCACGCCGGGCCCAAGAGATTTTCTTCCCCAGGCTGAGCCATCGCCCACAGCACCAACATCCCATACGGCTCCTGGTTCGAGTTCAGTACATCAGCTTGAGTCCTGGTTGCCCCGCTTCCAATCTCACTGTACCCCTTCCAACCGCGACAGTGCACGCACAGGTGCCAGCGCGGCCAGGCCTGCACATGACACACCCACTGCACCCCTCCAACCACGACAGTGCCCGCTGGGTGCCAGCGCGGCCAGGCCTGCACATGACACACCCACTGTACCCCTCCAACCACGACAGTGCACGCTGGGTGCCAGTGCGGCCAGGCCTGCACATGACACACCCACTGCACCCCTCCAACCACGACAGTGCACGCACGGGTGCCAGCGCGGCCAGGCCTGCAGATACATAAGCAAACATAAAAGAGATACTTGACAAGAGTGCAACTTTCCCTTAAAGGAAAAGCGAACGGATCGATAAACCGGGGCCCACGCTCTGGCGCATGCAGTAGGGGAAGCCTCTGCATCCCACAGGGCTGCGGGTTCAAGTCCTGGCTGCTCCACTTCCCACCCAGCTCCATGCTTCCAGCCTGGAAAAGCAGTGGAGGATGGCCCAGGTGCTTGGCTGTGTGTGGCCACCACTGCAGGGACGTGAGCGCTGTGGTGTTGTGACAGCTGACCGGAGAGCCGAGCGCTAGGGGGCAGGTGCTGTGTGCCCAGGGTGAGGAGGGTAACCCACACTGCTGCCTCACCCCTCCACGGGCAGCGGAGCCCACCACCCCACTCATGAATTCTTTCTGCTTGCCCTTTGCTGGGGAGCGTGTCTGGCCGGGAGCTTGGATGGTGGCGGGAAGCGAATGCTGCCTGGCTAAGCTCCGACGCCGGGGAGGTGAGCCGAGGGGCTGGGGGGCCCAGGAAGGCAACAGGACGGCGGCCCCAAGTCCCGGGGTCGTGCACCTTCCAGAGGATTTGTTTTCTTTTGCTTCCTTCGCTCTTTAGGACCTAGACTGGGCAAACCCAGGAGAGCGGCAGGCCCTGACTCTTCTCCCAGTAGTTCTGGGGGAGGCAGCTGCGGGCCAGGCCGTGAGGCTGTCACCGCAGCCTGCTGGGCGTGGGGTCCAAAAGGAGCTCACCCTGCCTGAAGGGGAAGCAAGGCGGCTTCCCTGGAATCATACAACGCCCCGGCTGGGCTGGGGGCTGGGGGAGAGGCGTGGGCCCTGGTGTGTGTGGGGGTGCTGGCAGCTCCCTGCAGATCCAACAAGGACAGTCGCAGTCACACGAGGGACCAGGCCCTGCACACAGCCAGGGTACCACGACAGGGCCCAAAGCCACGTGGCTCGCAGGGAGCCATTTTCAGGCCTGACCACTTCCCAGAGGGGTGAGTGGGCCAGATGCCCCTGGCAGTGATTGGCAACCTGGCGGTGCCCCCGGCTGAGCGACCCTCCCCCTCCAGCACCCAGGAGGCCCGGGGGCAGGGGAACGGGGTGAGGAGGGAACCACAGATCGTGCCTGCAGCCCTGGGCTGCCAGGCCCCACACCAGGCCTCTCATTTCTCCACTGCTTCCTCCGTGCTCAGCAGACCCTGATGGCCCTGGGCCGGGGACCCTGAGGGGTTCTCCCGCCTTTTCAGCCCCCACGCCAGACTCAGGCCCACATCCACAGCGGCACCCCGCAACCCACCCTTCCTTTCAGGGCTCCATGGCTTCCACACTTCCCACCCTACACGAGACCACCGCCCTCCTGCCCCACACAGGAGCTGCCGCGGAGGGCAGGGACGGCTTTCCGGCACTGGCACCCCACGCGAGCTGACCAGATACGGGAATGAAGGAAACAAGGAAGGGTTCCTCGCCAGGCAGCTCCTAAGCACTGGGCCTGGGGTCTGAGCCCAGTTCTGCACACAACTGGCTGCGTGTCCTTGCCCAAGTCAGTTCCCCTTCCCCACCCCGGGCCCATCCTGCCTCCCACAGCAACAGGGCCGGCAGGGCTCCAGGGATGGCATCCAACTCTATGGTTGCTAGGGGACACGGGGGTGGGCTCCAACAGACCCTGCAGCACCAAAGCTGAACCCCAGGCTCCCGAAAAAGTTCCTCCGATCAAAACAGAGCCGGGGAAAGGTGCGTGGTCCACCTGGAGGCCACAGCACTGCTTGGGGTCGAGCTCTGGCTGTGCCCAGGTTCTGGCTCACGCTGACAGCACCCTGGGAGGCGAGCAGGGGACGGCTGGAGCCTTCGGGCCCTTGTCACTCCCATAGGGGAACCGGGAGGAGTCCCTGGCTGCCAGTTTCAGCCTGGGCCAGCCCCAATTGTGTGAACATTTGGGGAGGGAAGCCCTGGGAGGGCTTTCTGCTATCCTGCCTTTCAAATAAATAAATAAAGGGGCTGGCATCTGGCACATGGGACATCCCATATGGGTGCCAGTTCGTATCCCGGCAGCTCCACTTCCCATCCAGCGCCCTGCTTGTGGCCTGGGAAAGCAGTGGAGGACGGCCCACAGCCTGGGGACCCTGCACCCGCGTGGGAGACCCGGAAGAACCTCCTAGCTCCTGGCTTTGGCTCAGCTCCAGTAACTGTGGCTGCTTGGGAGTGAACCAACCCATGGAAGATACAGCTCTCTGTTAAGTCGGCTTTTTCAATCAAAATAAATCCTTAAAATAAACAAATAAAATGTTGGAAAAAAAAAAAAAGATGGGGAGACTCAAAAGCTAGACATGACAGGGACGCCTCGGCCAGAAAATTCATTTCCAGGGAGCACAGACACAGCTCCCGTCCCACCCCAACTCTATAGCGCACACAGACCTGTTGAAGCGTCTCTTGGACAATGCCAAGCATGGCATGAGCAGAGGAGAGGCGAGCGCTGGACACAAACGGGGCCCGGGGTGTAAGAGGTCCTTCTGGGAGGTTCAGGGGTGCAGTCGGATTTGCAAACCAGGCTCCCTCGCGCACCCACAACCCCAGGTCCCACATCCACCTGGATGGGGTGCCGGTCCGTCTGACTGCACTTCCGGGTGCAGGGAGGGCGGGTCTCCCCAGGTTAGCCTGCAGACGTCCAAGGGATGACCGGACCCTCCTTCCCCTTCGCCCCAAGTCCCCCCGTGTCCAGCTGGTGTGTGTGCGTTGGGGGTCTCCGTCCCGCGGAGAACACCTCTCCTTTCCGCTCCTCCCTGGCCACCCCGCGCTTGCCACTTCCCCAAACACCTGACCCTAGGGCGTCGCCATGCAAGCTGAGGAGCAGAGGTGAACGGAAAGGTGTGTCACCCCGAAAGAGGGAGAGAACGCAGCGCCCAGCCCGTCCCCACCCCTACTTCCAGGTCCCGGCGGGAGGAGGGGAAGCGGGGCACCCCCGGCCCAGGCTCCCCTCCCGGCCCCAGGGGAGCCGCTGGCTGGTGCTCACCGCCTTCTCCAGGTGGCTGCGCGCCTGCTCGCTGTTCTTGGTGTGATGGTACAGCACCGAGCCGAGCTGCAGGTGCGTGCGGGCCTCGATGCGCTGCGGCGGCTTGAAGGGGAACACGGCCTGCAGGCAGTGCACACACAGGCGGATCTTGGGCGGGCTGGACGTCCGGAAGTGCTCGGCGAAGCCCAGCAGGGCCAAGTACCACGACTCGGCTGCCTCGGCCTGCGCCGCCTGCGCCGCCGCCGCCGCCGCCTGCGCCGCCATTTTGGCCTCCACAACAACAAGCCGCCGCCACCGGGGAGGGCGGAAGGCCGGCGCGCCGCGGCTCTCGCGAGAGCTCCGTGCGCAACGCCTGCTGGGACGTGTAGTCCGCCTGGACCGTGGCCTCAGGCTCTGACCGGACACAGGCGACCACCGTCCGACCCTCGGTACGGACTCGGACATCGCCACCCCGCTAGCGTGTTAGGTGCATTCCTGTCGGGGGAAAGAGTCGCCACGTCCCTACAGGGAAGAGGCCTGTGGGGGCCGCAGCGGACTACAACCCCCAGCAGGCCACGCGCCCTATAAGAGGCCTCCCTCAGGTGGCGCCGGAGCATTGTGGGATTGGGTGAGTTCTCAAGATGGACAACCGGGATGTTGCAGGTAACAGCCCCCCGCCTGCCCTGCAGGCCGCTGCTTCGTGTTGTGGTCCTCGCCGCCGGCGCAGCGTCCAGCAGCTGACCCCCTGGCCTCGGGCCCTGTGCTGCCTGCGCTCCCCGAGCCCCCAGACCCAGGCTGCTGGCCGGCGCCCCCGTCCCACCCCACGCCCCGCCAGCCCAGGCCCCGCTGGCTTTGCTGGCTCGGAGGGGAGACATGCCTGGCTTTTCCAAGAAGGCCGCCCGGGCTCCAGCTCTGCATGCGGTTTCGGAAGCCGCAGCCCTGAGGGCTCCTGCAAGCCCCGCTTTCCCAGGCACCGGTCACCCTGGGCTGGGCTGTCCCCCCATCTCTCTGCTGGTGGCAACGACCTTCTCCCACCGTGTCCCGCGTTCTGGAAAAGCTGCTTTTCGGAGCGCCGGGCAAGTTAGTTCGTTTGTTCTGCACGCCTCCCTGCAGCGTGTATTCAGCCCATTCGGCAAGCACGCCCGGCCCGCTGGGAGGGGTCCGGGACCTGTGCACCCCACTCGCTAGGGTTTCCTGGGAGCAAGTTGAGGTGCTGTGAGGCGAGGTGGGTGTACAGGACGGGGTGCCTGCAGGGGGGCCAGTTACGGGAAAGCCTGGGAGGACGCCGCCTGCACCCCAAGGAATCTGGGTGAATGTCAAGGAATGGAATGAAAAACGGGGGCGACTTGCCAATTTTATTCTGAATCCTCTTGGGGGGGCACCTATATGCGTGTTGCATGTCCGCCACGACTAGCCCCCCGTGCCTGGGCAGAAGACACCGCCAGCTTTGGTTAACGCTGGCCAGCGGTCCCCTGTGGAGTCAGAGCGATGACTGAGTTACCACCAGGATGTTTGAAAGAAAACAAAACAGACGCATGGAGCGTTTTCTTTCCCCAGCTTAGGACTGGCAGGGCGCGTCTCCAAGCCCTCAAACAGAGAGCTCAAACTCCTGCTGCTGCTCGCTGCTGCAGGTCTGCCCAGGGCACCTGCTCCTCCTCAGGCACGCCGGGCTCCTTCCCTGGCCTGGCCCTCTCTTTGGATTTTCTTACGTTTTTAAGGTTTCTTTCTTTTGGTTGCAAAGGCAAATTTACAGAGCAAATGAGAGAAAGATCTTCCATCCACTGGTTCACTCCACAAATGGCCACAACGGCTGGAGCTGTGCTGATCTGAAGCCAGGAGCCAGGAGCCTCTTCTGGGTCTCCCACAGGGTCCCACGGCTGTGGGCCATCCTCCACTGCTTTCCCAGGCCACAGGCAGGGAGCTGGGTGGAAGTGGAGCAGTTAGGGCTCGAAGCAGCGCCCGTATGGGATGCTAGCACATACGAGGCATAGGCCGTGGCACCGTACCCAGGGCCACTACACGGGCATGGGCGGAGAAGGAAGAAGGTAGCAGAGGTCTTGCAGCTGTGGTTCACTGCCCAGATGCGTGCAGCGTTTGGCACTGCCCAGTCCGAGGCACTTTCTCTGGGTCTTCGTCCGTGTGAGGGCAGGGGGCCTAGGTAGCTGGGCCAGCTTCCTCCGCCTGCCACGCTGCGCGTCTGCAGGCACTGGTCGGGCAGCCCAGTGCCCGGCGCTCCTGTGTGTATGGGAGGAGCAATGTCCCAGGTGCCCCTTTCCGTCCTCTCCCTAGGAAAAGCTAACCGCTGGTTCGGGGTGGCTCCCCCCAAGAACGCCAAGATGAGCATGAACATCCTGCACCAGGAAGAGCTCATCGCGCAGAAGAAGCGGGAGATCGAAGCCAAGATGGAGCAGAAAGCCAAGCAGAACCAGATGGCCAGCCCGCAGCCTCCGCAGCCTGCCGAGTAAGGGTCCAGTGCGGGCTGCCCCGCCCCGGCGGAGGCCTGGCAAGATGGGAAGCGGGGCAGCCGGGGTTAGAACCGGGGCCCGTATGGAATATCTGGTGCATTGCAAAGCGAGGACTATAGCCGCCAGGCTACCACGCCTGACCCCTTAAGATTTCATTGAGCTTTGAAAGAGTTACAAAGGGAAAAACACACACGAATACAGAGACATGTTCTGTCGAGGGCTTCAGCCCCCCGGCAGCCACGCGGCCGGGGCTTCAGCCCCCCGACAGCCACACGGCCGGGGCTTCAGCCCCCGACAGCCACACGGCCAGAGCTGGGCCAGGCAGGATCCAGGAGTCAAAGCTTCATCCAGGTCTCCCACGTGAGGTGGCGGGGCCCAAGCACGGGGCCTTCCTCCCCTCTTGATTTCTGGGGCGCGTTAGCAGGAAGCCAGGTCAGAAGTGGAACATATCATTCGGTGGTGACGCTCTTGGTTTTTTTTGTTTTGTTTTGTTTTTTTAGCCTCTTCTCATATTGGCAGCTGGGTTTGTTCTTGTGTTCATTTGTTACAATTACTTGTTTTTTGTGGGTGCAGGGCCCCGAGTCGCTAGGACTGTCCCCCAGTGTGGCAGTTCATTAGCAGTGGTAGGTTTGAGCTCAATCAGAAACGGAACGGCCGAGACTCGAACCAGCAGCAGCCAGTGTGAGGTGTGGGCACCTCAGGCAGCGGCTTTTCGCACTGTGCCACCGTGTCAGCCCTGCACTCTGGCTCGTTGAATGCCTTTTTCTGTTTTGATTGGATCGCCTGGGTTGGAGTCCCGCCACACACACTGGGGGAGGAATCACCCAAGAACTTACTGGCAATAGGGCAGATGTCGCGTGCCAGAGTGGTGTTGGGGCCCCACTGTTCGTTGGGGGGCTGTTCCCATGAAGTGCGGGAGGGTCCGCCCTCTGCAGGCAGAGTCGGGGCGTGTCGGCGCCGTTCTCCAAACTGCACTGTCCCTGCTCCCCCAGACCAAAGCTTCCGGCTTCCAAGGAGTGCTCAACGCTTGCTCCCTGGCGTCTCGGGGGCTCGTTCTGGGTTCCCCCACCGCCCCCGCGAGCCCAGGGGGTCACAGCCTCTGCCCTCGGCTCGCACCTGCTCACACACCTCTTCCCCCACCCCGTCTCACGTCTGTAGAGCAGCAAGCTCACACAGCAGCTCTTCGTGCGCGTCCAACAAGTTCGCCAACGACGGCAGCTTCCTGCAGCAGTTCCTCAAACTACAGAAGGCCCAGACCCACACAGGTGAGCGCTGCCCGGGCCTGGGAGCGACCCCGCCGGTCCCTGCTGCGCCACGAAACAAGGGGGCAGTGCCTTGGCCTCCCAGAACCAGCAGGTGCTCGGGGCACAGGGCAGAAGCCCGCCTGGAGGCGGCGGGCGAGCAAGTGTCTGTCTGCTGGTGGCCACTAGAGTTCTCCCAGTGTTGGCAACGCGCCCAAGGGACGCTCGGGTGCCCAGTGGCACCTGACACAGAGGGCCGCACCCATCGCGTGCCCAAGAACGTCTAGCTGCAAGTGGCCGTGAGCTCCACTAACCCACAGGTGGCAAGGACGAAGCATGGCATGCAGGCTGGGCACACTCGGACCCCCACACCCACCCCATGCTTACAGCCCAAGCCGCACAGGGCACGAGCCTCGTGCTGGCTGCCACACGCCATCCACCAGGGACGGGGTCTGCGGGAGGGACACGTTCGCTCCCCACACGTGCATGGCCATCCCGCCCTTCTGCCCAGAACCCCCGTGGTATCTTTGGTGCTTCCGGAACCCCTGGGCGAGCACGCAGCTTGTGTAACCTTATTCATTTTAATCACAAGCAACAGCACAAGGAGTTAGCCACCCCACTCCTCCCTCTGCCTCCCGACAGGCTGGAACGTTCCTTCCAGCCCGACCCTATCGCCAGAGCCCTGCCTTTCACCCGGTCTAGCCCGTAGCTGGCTGCTTCTTCCGCTGGTTCATTCCCGCACGCCCACGGCAGCCAAGGGCCGGGCCAGACCCAAGCCAGGAGCCCGGAACCGCCATCTGGGTCTCCCGTGTGGGTGGCGAGTCTGCTGCTTTCCGTGGGTGGGCGGGCAGGGCGCCGGATCAAAAGTGGAGCGCCCGGAACGCGTGCCCGCGCTCACATCACATGCCTCCCCACCACCCTCGCCTTCCGTCCCTGACACTTTCTGTTGGGGAAACTGAGGCTTCGAAAAGCTGGGCTGTCCCCGAGCGACGCCTCCCTTCCCCAGTTTCACCGTTGGGGTAGGGGCCTGCCACGCCATGCCACCTGCTCCACCTGAGCTCGGCTCTGGCCCCTCCTTCCACCCCCCACCCCCGGGTGCCTTTCAGCAGCAGGTGGCAGTCTGAGTCAGAGGGGGAGGGGGTGTGGCACCTAGCCGGCAGGGATGGGTTAGGATGTACCCAGTGTGCATGTTAACCACACACAGGGAGCCCACCAGGATGGATGGTTGCTGGTGGGACAGCTGACCTTTGCCCCTTGCCATGGTCCCATCACACGCGTTCCCCGTAAAAGTTGGGATGCAGAGAGAAAGTCCCATCTGCCTGCATCCTACAGCCAGTCTGGTGGTTCCCGCCAGTCCGCCTCACTGTGGGGGACACCGGGGAAGGTTGTGCACACATCGGGGAGACCCGAGTCTCATCCAGCAGGAGTGAGCGCGTCCCCAAGGCTGGGCTGCAGGGTGGGGGGCTCACCTCCTACCTGCAGAGCCCTGGGCTGGGGACTCCTGGGGTGCATCCCTCCCTGGGCCTCAGGAGTGGCCTGTGTCCTGAGTCCCCAGCTCCTGGGTGGACCTCCAAGATGGCAGGACCACGGGGGGATGGTGCGTGCGTGTGTGCATGCGTGCCCCATGCCCTGGGCTCGCCTTTCCTGAGCGTCCCCTTTTCCCTTCCACGCACAGACGCACCCCCCAGCACGGCCGGCGCCCCTCCCAGCACGCCCACACCCACGCCGAGCACGGGCAAGAGGCCCTTGCTACTGACCAAGCGAGCGGGCCTGGGGCTGGGCAGCCCCCTGGGCCAGGGGCGCACCTACTCACACGCCAAGCGGCTGCCCGTGGCCCAGCGGCCCAGCGTCTTCCAGTCCCCCGACGAGGACGAGGACGAGGACGACGAGCAGTGGCTGGAGATCAAAGGTAACTCCCGGGACCCCCCCTCTCCGGTCCCTGTCCCCCGAGACGCGGTCCCCTCCCCGGGCTAGCTCCCTGTCCCCAGAGAAGGGGTCCCCTCTCCCTGCTAGGTCCCTGTCCACCCAAAAGGGGTGCGCTCCCGCAGCTGGGTGCCAGCCCTCAGGCAGTGTTAATCCCAGGTCCGCCGGGAGCCACCGCTGTGGGCTTGTTGCGAGCAGGGTCGGGCCTGTGGCCCCTGCAGCGCGGCCTTGACGTAAACCTTTTCTCTTTTGGTACAAATAGGGGACCTTCCAAGAGGATGGGGGCGCCCGGAGGAGGGCCTGAATGCCCTGGGCCCCCTGCAGGAGTCCTCCTGGGCACTCCAGGGCCCCAGCCACCAGCCCCTGGGCTTGGGCACCTTGCAAGCAGCATTAGCCATAGGTTTAGCCCCTCAGCCGGCTGCTGCACGTCTCGCATCCCCCACAGCAGGCCAGCGATAGCCAGTTCCCCAGGCCCAAGGCGGAAGCAGTCCTCTCTCATGGTTTAAGCCCGTGGGCCCAGCTGGTAGCCCGCAAACTGAAATGGGACTTAGAGACGTGGCTGGCTCTGGGCCTTGGGCAGGCGGCGCCCGGTCCCAGCCGCCACCAACAGCAAGGTCATTCCCAGTGGTCGCGTCCCAAGCTCCAAGGGGACCCCCTCCCGCCCCCCAGAGCTCCTGTGATGGCCTTCAAACACAGTGCTTTGAAACCCACCCGAGTGTGTTTGAATGCAATTTCTGTAATCCTAGGTTAAAAAAGAAAACGGGGCCACCTCTGGAAGATGAAAGAAATTATGAATGATACACCTGTGCCTCTGGGGGCCCCGCACTGCCCACCGTGCACGCTCAGCGGGGTGTTACCCACCGTCCAGCCTGGGGTGGATGGAGCCAGCAGCAGGGGGTGGGGAGGCTTGGGGTTCCGGGTGGAGGGGCTGCCGCCCATGCCCCGTGGCCTAGTGCCTGGGGTCCGGCCTGCCCTGGCCACCTGCCCCGCGGCTCACACCCTTCTCCCCACCCTCCCCTTCTGTCGTTGTGGTTCGTAGAGAGAGAGTGTGCCTGTTGACTGGAGTGTGTGAGTGAGACCCCAGTACTGATAGCCTGCTTAAAGTTTCACCCCCAGAGGGAACCGAGACCCGGACAGTGATCGAAAAGCTGGCCCGTTTTGTCGCCGAGGGAGGCCCCGAGTTAGAGAAAGTGGCCATGGAGGACTACAAGGAGAACCCGGCGTTTGCGTGAGTAACCTGGGGGGCACGGGGGGAGGGGCAGGGGCGCCTGCGCCGTCGGTCGCCTGACGGTGGGTTTGGCAGCTGCGTGCCGTTCGCCCGCAGAGACAGATCCTGTACCGGGTTGGCACAGTCCCCGGATGCCGTCAGCAGCCCCTCACAGGGATAGGGACTCTGGCACCCCTGAACCATCGCCCCATCCCTGCAGGGTCTAAGCAGGATGCTCGAGTCAAGAATGGACTTGGGCCCACAACGTCCATCCTCTCCCCTCCCCCCCGGGTCCCCAAGTGGGGTCCAACCCACCAGCAGCACCCATGCCTCATGGCACCGGGTGACCCCTGTGGGTCATGGGGGGACACCGCCTTGTGGCTTGAAGGCTGCCCCTCCCCGCCTCCCCTCGGCCTTCCTTGCGTGCGGGGGCTGCAGGATCTTCTCCACGGGCACCTGCTCAGCTTCCCATCGCCTCTCCCAAACTCCAGGTTTTTACACGATAAGAACAGCCGGGAATTCCTGTACTACAGAAAGAAAGTGGCAGAAACCAGGAAGGCAATGCAGAAGCCCCAGGGCACCACGCCAAGAGGTAAGGGGGTGTGGGGCGGAGCGGGGGCTGGGGGATCGTGACGGGGACGGGGCTCCGGGGGCAGCGGGGGCAGGGTCAGCAGGCAGACTGAACCCCACAGAGCACTGCTGGGGTCACCCTCGGGGTGGAATTAGTCTACCCTTCTCACCATTTTTGTGGGCCCGGGAGCCAGCCCCAGGCATGGCACGCAGCAGGCCCCAGGCGGGTCGGAGCCATGGGAGGGTGGAAGGCGGTAGGCTCTCCTAAGTGCTAAGGGGCCCTGGCCTCACGCAGACCCTGCGGGACACACGCACCAGGTGCGGCGCCTGCCGCTCGGGGAGGCCACAGGTGCACTGCAGAGGGTGGGCGACGGGATGACCACCGGCTGGCCAGATCCGCCTGCACCAGAGCCTCGCCCAGTACTGGGGGCGTTGGGGGCGTTGGGCCCAAACGTCGGCCGACGACACTTGTTCATTTTACACCCGCTCTCGCCCAACACGCCTTGGGTTTCGTGGGAGCGGGGAGACGATCTAGATGAAGTGTGTGGGTCATGCCTAACGCAGACCCACCGGCATGTTTCATCGTTTGTCTCAGAGCCACTCCACCTCTAGGGTCTGGCCTGGATGGGGCGGGCTGGCCTGGACAGGGGAGGGCCGGCCTGGATAGGGGAGGGCCGGCCTGGATGGGGGAGGGCCGGCCTGGACGGGGCAGGCCGGCCTGGACGGGGCGGGCTGTCCTGGACGGGGCGGGCTGTCCTGGACGGGGTGGGCCGGCCTGGACGGGGCGGGCTGGCCTGGACGGGGAGGGCTGTCCTGGACGGGGTGGGCTGTCCTGGACAGGGTGGGTGGGCCGGGGGTCTGATGTGTGTGGTGGTATTAACTCAGCTGTTCAATCCCAGTGCAGTAACCTGACTCCCATTTGCCTATTTCTTTTTGCATCGCTCCTAAAGTCACCCCCGCTCGTGGCCGTGGGGCTGTTAGCAGACATTAGGCTGTGGGGTGTGGTGAGTTGAGCTCAGTACTGACAGCCTGCTTAAAGTTTCACCCCCAGAGGACCAGGAGGCCAAGTCCCTTGCAGAAAAGTTGGCCAGGTTCATAGCAGACGGGGGTCCCGAAGTGGAGACCATCACCATCCAGAACAATCGCGAGAATCCGGCTTTCAGGTGAGGGCTGGGGCGCCTGCCTGGGCCAAGGAACCCTTCTCCCACCACTACCACATCAACCTAAGCACCCACCCATCCCATCCACCCATCCCTTCACCCACCCACCCATCCACCTCCACCAGTCCATCCAGATTCCCCAGGGCCGTGGTCATGTTCAGTGTGCCCGTGCCATGCCCTGGAGAAGCCCACGGCCCTGGGACACATGCCTCTCTGCCCTTCTGTACTGCCCAGCCCCAGGCAGGGGCCTCAGGCCTGGCTCCCAGCGCATCTGCCTTTCCCTTCTAGCTTTCTGTACGAACCTGACAGCCAAGCTTACAAGTACTACCGACAGAAGCTGGAGGAGTTCCGGAAAGCCAAGGCCGCCTCCCCGGCCGCCCTCACAGCCCCTGACCCCAGCCTGAAGCTCAAGAGCCCCCCAGAGGCTCCATCGGCCACCCCGGTTCCGGCCCTCACCTGCCCCGCCGTCCCCACGCCAGCCGCCCCCGGGAAACCGGCCTCCGCCACGGCCACGGGGAAGAGGAAGAGGAAGAGCAGGTGGGGGCCCGAGGAGGACAAGGTGGAGCTGCCGCCTGCCCCACCCGTGCAGGGGGACGTGGACGCCTCGCCGTCGCCGCTCTCAGGTGGGCCGTCCGTCCTCTGCCAGTCGGGGCTGGCTTCATGCATGTTGGCACGGGCCTGGCTAGGATGCCGTCCGCAGCCTCTCTGCGCACGGGGTGAATAGCCCCTGTCTGTACGGCGAAACGTATTTACTTATATGATTTATTATTTTTATTGGAAAGGCAGGTTGGCATAGAGAAAGGAGTGACAAAGATCTATCCGCTGGTTCACTCCCCAAGCGGCCACAGCGGCCAGAGCTGAGCCGATCCGAAGCCAGGAGCCAGGAGCCTCTTCCAGGTCTCCGTTGCGGATGCAGGGTCCCCAGGCTGTGGGCCGTCCTCTGCTGCTTTCCCAGGCCACAGAGGCTCCTGGCTTCGGCTCAGCTCGGTTCTGCTGTGGCCACTTGGGGAGTGAACCAGCGGACGGGGTATCTTTCTCATCTCTCCTCTCTGTAACTCTGCCTTTCCAATGAAAAGAAATAAACCTTAAAACAAAACCGAGAAGGTGTTGGACTTCCTCAAGTGACTTTTCTGCCTCCAGTAAAGCTTTGTCTCGTGTCGTCGGTTCCTCTCCTAGAGTGGGGGGCTGGTGGGGGGCTGCCTTCTTACTCTGCAGGTGACAGTCCATGGAGGCCGTGGATGCGTGCCTGGCCCTGGACGGGCTCTGGAGTTGGCCGGGGGGGTCTCGGCTGCTTCCCCCTGCGCCTGGGGCCGCTCTAACCTGGCTGCTTTCCCAGGGACGGCCCTTCTGTCCCCCGCCCCAACCATCCACCCACCACCTCCCAGACGGGGCCACCCCCGCGTCTCCCGGCCCCAGCCGACGCCAGAGGGAGCATCGCCTGGCCTGGCGCTGGCTCGGCAGCCTCCCTCCCTCCCGGGCCAGGCTCTGCTGCCCAGCTGTCTTCTGCACCCCCCGTGGGCGTGCACCCGGCTCTGCCTGCCAGCCGTGGGGCCCCGACCTGAGGGAGGCCCTGAGCCCTGGATTCCAGGCGTCAGCCCCTGTGGTGGGAGGACCCACGTACCCGGCAGCGTCTCACGGAATGGAGACGTGTGTGCCTCGTGGGCAGGCATGCTGGCTACCGGTTAAGTCGCGTGGCTGGCGCCCGCCTTGCTGCTCCACATCGCAGGGTCGAGGTTCCTCTGCTCGCCCGGGCCCGCTCCCGATCCGTGTCCCTGCTAATGTTCCCCACGGGCAGTCCGCCCACGGTGGCCCCAGTGCCCTGGTCTCTGCCACGCAGGCCTCGCCTGGCCCTGGGCCGGGGCGGCCACTGGGTAAATGAAGGGGCAGGTGGAATAGAGGATAGTTCATTGTGTGTGTGACTGCCTGGAATACATGAGAACACACTCCGACGCACCCCGAATCCGGGCCCCACACCAGGCCGGGAGCCCTGCGCCTGCCCCGCGCCTGTGACCCGCCCTCCCACCCCGTGTGTTGGGTTTTCCAGTTCAGGACCTCAAGGGGCTCGGCTACGAGAAGGGGAAGCCCGTGGGCCTGGTGGGCGTCACGGAGTTGTCCGACGCCCAGAAGAAGCAGCTGAAGGAGCAGCAGGAGGTTAGCGGCTGGCGGGGTGCCAGTGGGGTGCTGGGAGGGGTGCGCTGTCCCCCCCATGGAGGTGTGCCCGTTGGGGTCTCCTGTCGCACCCGGGAGGTGCCAGTGCCTCGGGTGGGGCCCGGCTGCCTGGCTGGACACCAGTGTGCCTGTCCCCGGGGGAGCCTGGCTGGGCCTGCCTGTGGCCGCCACCCTGGTCCTGCGGCCCCGCCCACTGCCCTGTGGTCCCGCCCCTGGCCCTGCGGCCCCGCCCTGACCCCGCCCACTGCCCACAGATGCAGCAGATGTATGACATGATAGTACAGCACAAGCGCGCCATGCAGGACATGCAGCTGCTGTGGGAGAAGGCGCTGCAGCAGCACCAGCACGGCTACGACAGCGACGAGGAGGTGGACAGCGAGCTGGGCACCTGGGAGCACCGGCTGCGGCGCATGGAGATGGACAAGACGCGGGGTGGGCCACCCTCGCTGCCGGGGGGTGGTCGGTGTCCTGCCAGCCTCGCTGCCGGGGGGTGGTCGGTGTCCTGCCGGGCCTCCAGGACCCGCTCGGCCCCGAGTCAGACAACCAGGCCCCCTCTGCCTCGGTTCCTCCCATGTGGAGGAGATCGTGGGCCCAGGGGCCACGCGGCTGGGTGTCCACTGGCACAGGGCACGTGGGTCCCGGGCCAGCACCGCGTTCCCCAGAGTCCCCCGCACATCCCGGGCCCCCTGCCGCCCCCCTGTGCGCCCACCCCACCTGCTCTCACCCGCCCCACCTGTCTGCGCAGAGTGGGCCGAGCAGCTGACCAAGATGGGCCGGGGCAAGCATTTCATCGGGGACTTCCTGCCGCCCGACGAGCTGGAGAAGTTCATGGAGACCTTCAAGGCGCTCAAGGTGAGGCGGGAGGAGGGCGGCGTGACACGCGGGCACACACACACACACCTACCCACCCACCGCCTGCCGGTCACACGCGGGCACACCGCAGTCACACCTACCCACCCACCGCCTGCCGGTCACACGCGGGCACACACACACACCTACCCACCCACCACCTGCCGCTGACTCGCCTGTCCGTGCAGGCCACCTCGGAGACTCCCCAGGCTGGCACTGGCCGGGAATGCCCCAGGCTTCCAGTGGCGCCAACCGCGTGCAGTTGACGGGCACAGCGTTTCTGGGGTGGGTGAGGGAGGGTCCTGCAACCCCCCTGGAGCACACGGAGCCGGGCGGGCGAGCTGCGGCTCAGCTGGCTCCATCCACGGTCCTTGCAGTTTGTTTTGTGTTAGGCAAATTGCTTCAGGCCCTCGCCCTGTGAGGGGGCGACCTTGAGGGGTCACAGCTTCTTGGCACGCTACATCAATCGTGTTCCTGAATTTTCTTTTATTTCAAAGGCAGACAGCCAGAACCGTCCCCGTTTGCCGCTGGCTCACCCTCCACGAGCCTGCATCAACTGGGCCCCCGCCAGTGCCAGGAGCCTGGCATCCCATGCTGGGGCAGCAGTGGGGAGTGGTGCCAGGGGCAACCCAGGCACGGGGCTGTGGGCATCCCACGTGGCGTGTCGGGCACCGGGCCGGACACCAGCAATAGAACATGCCCCTTTTGACTCGGCCACCTTGGGAACCCCCACACACACACCGCAGAGAAACGGAGAGCTGGGCCCGTGGGGAGGAGGTGGTCGGAGGCTGGGGCCGCGGTCCGCAGGGCCCCTGCTGGGTGGTGACAGCCGTCGCCCGCCTCGTCCCGCAGGAGGGCCGCGAACCCGACTACTCGGAGTACAAGGAGTTCAAACTGACCGTGGAGAACATCGGCTACCAGATGCTCATGAAGATGGGCTGGAAGGAGGGCGAGGGGCTGGGCTCCGAGGGCCAGGGCATCAAGAACCCCGTCAACAAGTGAGTGGGCCGGCCGGGGCCCCCGCGCCCGACACCGGGCAAAGCCAGGCCAGGGGAGCTTGTCGGGACCGGGTCCTGCCCCGTCCCCGTCCCCGGTCGCACACCTCCGGCCGCCCTCCCACCCGCTCCCCACGTGAGCTCGGCCCTGCCACAGCCAGGAGCTCGGGTCCCAGTACGTGTCTCCCGCGTGGGTGGCAGAGATACAGGTCCCCGGGGCCATCCTGGCCTGTGGCCCTGCACGGTGTGTGAGCAAGAAGCTGGAAGTGGGCGGGAGACAGGAGCAATAGAACTGTCCGCGCTCACGCGTGCCCGTCGCCTCCCCCAGGGGCACCACCACGGTGGACGGCGCCGGCTTCGGCATCGACCGGCCGGCCGAGCTCTCCAAGGAGGACGACGAGTACGAGGCCTTCCGGAAGAGGATGATGCTGGCTTACCGCTTCCGGCCCAACCCACTGGTGCGTGGGCTCGGGGGGCCTGGGGACGGGGGGTGGAAAAGGGGTCCTTCCCTCCTCCGGCGCGCCCCTCTACTCCTTGACCCATCTTCCCACCCAGATCCCCCTCCCGGAAGGTTCTAGAAGGTGGCTTCTGACTGACCTGTAAACTCCGCCCCTTTCCCCACCTCTTTCTCACGCTCAGAACAACCCACGACGGCCTTACTACTGAGCCCCCTGACCACCGAGCACGCCGGACACGCGCAGGCGACCCTCCTCGGCTCCTGTCCCGGCCCACTCCGCCCGGCCCGCTCCCGTCACCGCCGTGTCACGAGCCTGTCGTGTATTAAAGTGTCCGTGCTCTCCGCCACGGCCACGGCCGGGTCTGTCCCTCCGCGTGGGCCTCGGCGTGGTCAGGGAAGGGACAGGGCCCCAGGGACCCCTGGCTTCGGCCTGCAGCTGAGGCGCCAGGACGGGTCACGCAGGGCCCCCCGCCCCGGCTACCCCTACCCAAGTCCTGGGGTTCATGTCCGTGGGCGGGGGTGCCGTGTGGAAAGGCTGCTTGCCCCCCATCCCTCTGATGCCAGCGGACACCTCCCCCAAAGAGGACATGAGGACAAGGAGTGACGTGGGGTCCCCGGGGCGTGGGCGTACCCCATGGCCACCCCAGGCCGGCAGCTCGCACTCACAGATCCACTGCCCGAAGGCGGCCAGGGCCCCGGAATCTGCATTCCCAACACTGGGCATCGGAGCCCTCGCGCGCCCACCCAGTGTGGGATAAGCCCGTCGGGTGGAGCCCACCAGGGGCTCCCGGCCAGCCGTCGGTCAGTCACTCAGCAAACACTGAACTGTACTTCCTGCCAGCAGACACTGGGGGACAGGGGAGAGTCCAGAGGCAGGCTGGGGCGAGAGAGTCGGCCAGGGCAGGGCCCCAATGAGGGGGTCACTCCAGCCGCCAGCGCAGTGGGGTGACACTGCTGGGCTTGGCGCTGGGGCTCCAGTGCACAGGCAGCGGGCAGTGGACTGGGACCCCGAGTCTCATATAGTTCTGGGCAGCCAGACATTTGGGGGACAATGGACCCCACTGGCCAGGCCAGCTGCAGCCCCCCAGGAGAAGGGTGTGGACCTTGCACACCCAGGCAGGGGACCCGGAGGCCTCCTGCACCGGCCTGCTTGCAGGAACGAGGGGTGCAAGACCTGGTTCCCCTCCACAGGTACAGGAAGGACCCCCCCCACACCCGTAGGCCCAGGGCATGGCAGGGGTGGCCACTTTAGGAAGTGAGGATACAGGGGAGCCCCGGGACACGCGGGAAGGGAGGTTGTGGGCACTGCCACAGGCAGGGATCTGACTTTCACCCCAGGCAATGGGGCATCCGGGGAGAGAGGCCAGGCGGGACTGGGTGGTCCCCGGGACCTCAGGTGGCAGAACACTGGCCTGAGGAGGGTGACATGGGGCCTCTTGCTAACTCGTCCCCCCACGGCGTGTCGCTCCTGCCCACTGCCCTTTCATTGGCAGCTGCTTTCCTCCCCCCGACTCCAAGTCGCAGGGCCCCCACGCACCCAGCCGGCTCCATCAAGACCCCGCTCCCCGAGCCGGAGCCACTGCCTCCCCCCTCCCAGTCCCAGTTTGCTGTTTTCACACCTGTTTTATAAATATATGGCCACGAAGCAGAAGGGCATTTTGAAGCCAAGAGAAGGAGCTCGCCCAAGGGTCCCCGTTCCAGCTGAGGCTGCGACCAGCCGCCCACACACACATACCGGTACCCCCACCTCTGCCAGGACGCGCAGCACGAGAGCCGGGAGCGACCCCCAGGTGGAGTGTGGGCAGAGGCGCGATCTGTGGGGGACCCGTGGGGGTGCGCGCGGATGGGGCGTGGGGGGCCGAGGGGGACAGGGCAGCCGCCAGGGGGAGGGGCTCCGCAGGCTCTCGGAGCAGGCGCACGGCGGTCGCGGCTGCAGCGCGCCCAGGGCGCATCGGGGGCGACCTTTGTGCGGGGCGGGACTGCTGGCAAACCACCTCCCTCCATCCACGCGCGCGCGCCGCCGCCGCCGTGGAGCCGAGCGTCCCCCGCCGAGGCCGCGCCAGCCAGGGCCGAGCCGCCGCCATGGACATCCCGCCGCTGGCCGGCAGGATCGCGGCGCTGTCGCTCGGCGCCCTCCCGCTGTCCTACGTGCTCAACCAGGTCTCGGCGCTCTCGCAGTGCGTGCGGGCAGGGGCCGGGCTGGGCGGGGAAGGGGCAGGCCCGGGGCGCTGGAGGGAGGATGCGCCAGGGCGGGCTGGCGGGTGGAGGGCGGCTTGTCCCCCAGCGCGCCCTGCACCCCTCGGCTCCGGCTGCTGGCGAGGGGGGCTTGGGGAGCTGGGGCCGCACCCTGCTCCCGTCGCCGGGCTCCCCCACCGGAAGTCCCCTTCGCGCGCCAAGCGGAGGCTGGGGCTGTGGGGGATGGACCCCCCAGTCCCGGGGTTCAGTGAGGGTGAGAGCAGGCAGGCTTCTGGGGGGGCCTCCCAGGGATGTGCTACCCGGCAAGGGTTCCAGAGTTGTCAAAGGTCAAAGTTGTCCCAGATAAGGTCCTGATGACCCAGCTCTCGTTGCCACATATGCCTGCTCCGTCGCGCCCCACCCCCTTTAGATTGCAACTTTCTCGTCCACATTTGGGGGTGTCTGTCTCCAGGCTCTGCCCCTCCGACACACACACACACACACCCTGCTTGTCCTCACTGCATGTTCAGATGGGGCTCTCCATACCTGTGTGGGCAAGCTGGTCCCAAGCTATGGGACACAGAGAGAGGCTGCTTCTGGGGTCCCAGAGCCCCGTCTCCGATTCCCCGGGACCCTCGCTCAGCCTCGTGGTTGTCTGGAACCTTCAGTGTTCCAGCTGCGCGCTGGCCCTGCTCTGGGAACTGGTTACTCTAACTGGCTTAGGTGTGACCAGAGTGGGGGCGTGACAAGGCAAGGGGAGGCCGGGAGGGCGTGGGACCTGCTGGGCAGCACCCTGCTGTGCCACCCTAGCCGGCTCAGACTCCTGACACCCTCTGTGGGCCCTCCCAGGGTGGGATGTGGAGCAGCCAGTACACAAACCGGCACCCACATGGGATCCCAGTGCTTGAGGGGAGGATTGGCCCGTTGAGCCATCACCCTGGGCCCACATTAGCAGATCTTTTCTAAGAGACCAGCCTGGGGCCCAGCATGGTAGCCTAGCAGCTAAAGTCCTCTCCTTGCACGTGCTATGATCCCATATGGGCACCGGTTCTAATCCCAGCAGTCCCGCTTCCCATCCAGCTCCCTGCCTGTGGCCTGGGAAAGCAGTGGAGGACGGCCCAGAGCCTGGGGACCCTGCACCCGTGTGGGAGACCCAGGAGAGGCTCCTGGCTCCTGGCTGTGGACTGGCACAGTTCTGGCCGATGTGGCCACTTGGGGAGTGAATCATCAGATGGAAGAGCTTCCTCTCTGTCTCTCCTCCTCTATATATATCTGACTTTCAAAGTAAAAAGAAAATAATAAATCTAAAAAAAAAAAAAAGAGACCAGACTGGCATATGGCCATGCAACTGGTCGACCCATCTTTGCCAAGCCACCGTGGGAGGTGAGGGCAGATGTTGGGGTGCAGTGGGTGGAAGCGTTTGAACTTTAGCGGGGAGAAGCCAGGAGCCTCAGATAGGGACGCTGACCGAGTGGAGGACGGGAGCCTCACCCAGCCCCCACCTCCGCACCGCCCTCGGCCCGGGAACCAGGCCTGAGCACAGGCAACGGCTTGGCGGGACAGACGCACTGGCTTGGTGAGCGATGCCGAAAGAGCTGGCATCAGAGAGGATAAAGTTGGGTCATTGATTCTTTGGGGGAGCGGGACAAAGACTGCAGGAGGGCTTCCTGGAGGAGGACCAATACCCGTGGGCTGTAAAGGGGAAGCTTTTGCCTGATGGAAACTTCTGGAAGTAGATTCCTGAAGGGACAAAGCAGCGTGGCGATGCCAAGACAGAGGAGGCCGACAGTTGCATCAGCCTCCTTGCCCGGGCTCTCTGAGCCCCCCAGCACGCGGTCCCACCCCGCCCCTCCCCTCTGCAGGCCCCTGTGGGTGGCGCTAATGAGCGCCCTGATCCTGGGCCTACTGTTTGTGGCTGTCTACAGCTTGGCCCGTGGGGAAATCAACTACGACCCGCTCTACGCTGGTAAGTCAGACGGAACGCGCTGGGAGAGGCCTGGCTGGGCTAGTGCCCCCCACCCCACCTTCCGACCCCAGGGCCCACGGAGGGGTCTCCATCCAACTGGGAGAGATGAAGTCACAGGAGACCCCCCCACACACACTCACTTCCTATGGGGCCCCACAGACGTGGGGGACCCTCAGAGCAGGGATGGTAGCCCTGCTAAGGGACTTGGAACAGCCCATTTCTGCCAAACACGGAGCCTCCTCCAGCAGCTGTGCGGGCTGCGGTCGGGCTGCGGTCGGGCTGTGGGGCGGGCGGCCCTGTGGGGTGGGACAAGGACACAGCCCAGAATCCCATCCTTCCCTTGAACTGGCCTGAGCCCCTCTGCATGTTCAAACCCATACTCAGCTGTAACTGTGTCCTTGCCAGAGCCCCACCCTCGCGAGGTCGCCGCCCACCTACCCATCCTCCCACCCACCCTGTGGCCCTGCTCACCTCACCCCACCTATCCCATGGCCCACCCACCCATGGCCTGGCCCTCCCACTGTCACCCTGCCCACCCACCCGTGGCCTCCTCCATGCCAGATGCCCATACACTGTCGATCCCCACCCTCCCACGCAGTGGTCCCATCCATGGCCCCACACGTGCCAGATTCTCACCCACCCACCCCATGGTCCCACCTACCCCAGGACCCGCCCACTCCCTCTGTGACCCCGCCTGCACAGCCCAGGACCCGCCCACCCCCTCTGTGACCCCACCCGCACACCCAAGGCCCCGCCCACTCCCTCTGTGACCCCGCCTGCACAGCCCAGGACCCGCCCACCCCCTCTGTGACCCCGCCTGCACAGCCCAGGACCCGCCCACTCTCCCTGCAGTCTTTGCTGTCTTTGCCTTCACGTCTATGGTGGACCTCATCATCGCTTTGCAGGAAGATGGCTACGTGGTGGGTTTCATGGAGTTCTACACCAAGGAGGTACGTGGGGCGTGGGCCAGGCCTGCCTGCTGACCGCCACCGCCATCTGAGTCGCCCTTCCCCTGCAGGGTGACCCGTACCTGCGTACCGCCCATGGCATCTTCATCTGCTACTGGGATGGCACCGTCCACTACCTCCTGTACCTCGCCATGGCAGGTGCCATCCGCAGAAGGTACGGGCAGGCGGGCAGGGAGGGCCAGCAGGGGGCCCTCAGAGAGAGCCACTCTGGGCCCCGGTGCGATGGCTCTGCTGGCACTGAGAGTTAACCAGTGGGTGGAGAAGAAAAGGAGAGACAGAGAGTTCTGTCCGCTGGGTCACACCCCAAGCGGCAGCAACAGCCGGAGCCAAGCTCCCAAACCAGGAGCCAGGAGCTTCCTGCAGGTCTCCCACGCGGGTGCAGGGTCCCCAGGCTGTGGGCCGTCCTCCACTGCTTCCCCAGGCCATAGGCAGGGAGCTGGGTGGGAAGTGGAGCAGCCGGGACTGGAACCTGTGCCTCTGTGGGATGTTGGCTCTTGGAGGTGGAGGATTAGCCAGTTGAGCCCCAGGCCCAGCTCCGGGTCTTGGTTTTGTTCCACATGTGAACATTCTCGCTTCCATTCAGCTCCCTGGTGCCTCTCCCACGTTGGGGACAGCTGACCCAGAGCTGGTGGGGACAGGGGTGGCCTTGGGGGGTGTGTCACTCACCAATCCCCCTCTCTCCGCCATCCAGGAAGGGATATCGGAACCTGGGCCTGTACTGGCTGGGCTCTCTGGTCATGAGTATCTTGGTTTTCCTCCCAGGAAACATCCTTGGTAAGAATTCGGGGGAGCCCACTGTGCCGCACCCCAACCTGTGTGCCCTCCCCAACCACCTAGCCCCATTGAGGTCAAGCCAGGATGGATCAGTGCAGGCACCCCTTGGGGCACCCGAACATGTCTTCATGGAAAGTGGACACCCCCACACCCCACTCTGGCCCAGCAGGCCACGGGAGGCAGGCAGGCCATCAGCCCGTGGGCGCTGGGGGCCGTGGAGGGCGTGGGAGCTTGGGCAGGGCTCTGACGGCCCACTTCCCCTCCTCCTTCCCCCCACGGCAGGCAAGTATAGCTCCGAGCTCAGGCCCGCCTTCCTGCTGGCCATACCCTATATGCTCGTCCCATGCTGGGCTGGCATGAAGGTCTTCCAGCAGCCTCGGGTGCCCACCTGCTGCACCCCCGAAGCAGTGAGTCCCCCATTTCCGGCCCCCCGACTCCTGCCACCACCGTCTCCGGGATGCCGAATGCTCTCCCCGCCCCCCACCCCGTTGGAGTTGTTCTTGGCCGTGGGGAAAGGTGGGAGGCGTTTCCATGGTGCCCCGCCGGGGACTGCCTCCATGTGTCCCCCGTCCCACAGGTGCAACAAGAACAGCGGAAGGGGCTCCTGCAGCGGCCGGCTGACCTGGCCTTTGTCCTGTACCTCAGCCTGGCTGCCATCTTCACCTTCTTCCGGGGTCTGGTGCGTCCAGTCCCCCCGTCTCCCTGCCCCCTCCCCCAGCTCACCCATCCTGCAGTGGTTCCTTCATTCTCCCCCACCACCACCAAGCTCCCCCTTAGCCACCGCCCAGAGTCCCATGACCCCACTGCCTGGGACTTCCTCCTCAGCGCCACAGCTGGGCCTGGTGGTCGCTGGCCAGAGCACGGGGGCTGGGGCTGTGGAAGGAGACGCCCGGCAGGAGGCGTCTGAGCCAGTGCTCCTGGCCCTGTCTGGTCCTAGGTGGTCCTCGAATGCCCCACGGATGCCTGCTTTGAATACATCTACCAGTACGAGCCGTACCTGCGGGACCCTGTGGCTTACCCAAAGGTGCAGGTGAGTGGACAGGTGGGCGGGAGGCCGCTGGCGGAAACAAGCTGGGACTCGTAGGAAAGGTAGTGTCCTGTCCAAATAAGAGAGATGTGGCCTTCAGGTACTGCTGCCTCCAGGAGCGCCCAGACAGCTGCTGACGAGACTTGGTGGGGAGGTCGGAGGCGGGGACGGGACTTGGTGGGGCTGGGGGATCCCACCTGTTTCCCCTGGAGGGTTCTGATTGGCCAGGCTAGGGGATGTGTGTGGGGTGCCGTGGGGCGGGCATCATGGCCAAGGCCCCCACCTCGACGGCCGTGTCCCCTCCGCCATAGATGCTGACGTATCTGTTTTACGTCCTGCCCTTCTACGTCCTGGCCATCTACGCCCTCGTCTTCCCCGGGTGCTCCTGGCTGCCCGACTGGGCACTCGTGTTTGCTGGCGCCATCGGCCAGGTGAGACAGGGGAGCGGGTGGGGGGTGGACAGGCAGGCCGGCCAGCCGGGGAGCTCCCGGTGCAAAGATGGTGTCCCCTAACGGCGTCTGAGCCCTGGCAGGCCTAGTCCATGTTGGGGGCCTGTTTGGGGTTCTTGATGGGATGTGGCGAAGGCTGGATCCGCCAAGTGGGCACCTCACGGCCTCGTGGTTGACACACCAGTTAAGATGCCTGACTCTGAGACGGGCGTAGCGGTGTTGTGGGTTAAACCACTGCTCGCAGTGCCAGTGCTCCAGAGCTCTGTGTAGGCAGCCGGGCGAGGCTCACAGAGCAGGGGGATAGATGAGGACCCGCGGGCAGAGGAGGACAGGGAGTGGGGAGCTGCATGTCCGCCACGCCTGGAGCCTCACCTTCCTCCCCGGGCCTCGCACTCCGGGCCTCCAGGCACAGTTCTCCCACATGGGCGCGTCCACGCACCTCCGCACGGCCTTCACCTACCGCGTGCCCGAGGACGCCTGGGCCTGCTTCTTCACCTGCAACCTGCTCTACGCGCTGGGGCCCCACCTGCTGGCCTACCGCTGCCTGCGGCGGCCCTCCTTCTTCCTGCCCCCGCCGCCCCCCGGGGGGGCCCCGGACCCCCACAAGAAGAAGCTCTAAGTGGGGAGGGTGCTGGGGTGAACCCAGGGGGCTCCTCCAGGCTAAGGGGGCAGGGCGCGGGCAGGCCGCAGCCACCCCGACCCCGGGCTGCCGTCACGCGCCCTCCCGCTGGCCGCCCCCCGCAGCATGGCCGGTCATCCCCCCACCCGCGGCATCGCCGGTCGGCCCCCCACCCGCGGCATCGCCGGTCGGCCCCCCACCCGCGGCATCGCCCCCACCCGCGGCATCGCCGGTCGGCCCCCCACCCGCGGCATCGCCCCCACCCGCGGCATCGCCCCCACCCGCAGCATGGCCGGTCATCCCCCCACCCGCGGCATCGGCCCCCCACCCGCAGCATGGCCGGTCATCCCCCCACCCGCGGCATCGCCGGTCGGCCCCCCACCCGCGGCATCGCCGGTCGGCCCCCCACCCGCAGCATGGCCGGTCGGCCCCCCGTGGCTTCCTCTCAGTAAACGCCCTTTGGACGTCCACAGCGTTGGTGCCTGCGTGTTTCGGGGCTCCGGGGAAGCGGCAAGGGACCCTCTTCTTGGCTCCCCACGGTGGCTGGGACGACAAAAGTCAGCCCTACTCCTGCTGGGTGTGTCCAGTGCGTAGCCTGGCTGTTGACCCACCACGTGGGACACCCCTGCTGTCTCCTCCTCCCCTGAGTGCCTGGTTCAAGTCCCACCTCTGCTTCGCATTCCAGCTTCCTGCCCGCACACACGCCCACAGGCAGCAGGGAATGACACATTCTTGGGGCCCTGACACACAGCGGGGGCTCCTGGCTTCGGCAGGGCCCAGACCTGAATAAACCAGAAAATTTGGGCCCGGCGCCATGGCCTAGCAGCTAAAGCCCTTGCCCTGATCACACTGGAATCCCATAAGGGGCGCCGGTTCTAATCCTGGCAGCTCCACTTCCCACCCAGCTCCCTGCCTGTGGCCTGGGAAAGCAGTGGAGGACGGCCCAGAGCCTTGGGACCCTGCACCCGCGTGGGAGACCCGGGGGAGGCTCCTGGCTCCTGGCTTCGGATCAGCTCAGCTCCAGCTGTTGTGGCCGCTGGGGGAGTGAATCATCAGACAGAAGATCTTCCTCTCTGTCTCCTCTCTGTGGATCTGACTTTCCAACAGAAAATATGTAACCTTTAAGTAACAGTCATATTCCAGATGAAGAAGGAGGCTACGGGCGGTGAAGGTTTTCGGGGCGATCACACAGCCCGGCCAGGAATGTCCCACCTTGTCAGCCCGTTACAGTTCGGAGTGGCCTTTCTGCTGAGTTCATTTGGGTAGACTGAGGCAGGGGCGGGGAGAACCCAGACTGGGAGGTACACTCACCACTTCGGTTTATTATTGTTATTGAAGTTGGGTGCAGGATTCACGCAGGGCAGCCCCAGGAGGGCCGGGGCGGGGGGTAAAATCCGGACTCCCCCAGGCCTCTTCCTCCGTTCCAAAGATGGTAAAACCGAGACCCACAGATGGCAGCTAGCCGGGACGGGAGCCTGGCCCTGCGCCCCAGAGAACACGCCTTCTCCCTCCCCGCCCACCTGCCCGCCGCTAAGCACTGCGTCCCCTTTAACTGCTCCCCGCACCCCCAGCACACACACACACCCGTCCGGCTCCCTCCTCCCCTTGCAGGCAGACGCCAGGATTGCCTCCCGCAGGGACCTGCCCAGTGCTGGCTGGGTGCGCCGAGGAGCCAGGAGGCACCGGGCAGTGCTGCTGGTGCGGCAGGCTGGGGGCTGCGCCGGCAGGATGGTGAGGGCAAGTTGGCGGCAGGTGCCTCCGGGGTTTTGTCCCTCTGTCTCCTCTGTCATTCTCTGCCTCTTTTGGGGGGGACTGAGGTGGGGGTGGGGAGCCACCCCCTGCCCCGTCTTCTGCTCTTATCCCCCCCACTCTGTCTTCTCTATCCTTGCCTCCATCTCTCTGCCTCTCTCTCCATCTCCCTCTGTCCTCGCGGTGTCCCCAGCACACTCCCCGCTCCTCCCCTCAGCCGCTCACTGCAGTCTCATGGCGCAGGGCTAACCTTGCTCTACTTCCCACCCCACCCCCTTCACCGGAGCCACCGGAGCCACCGCGGCCGGGAAAGAGGAGGGGGCGGGCAGAGAGATGGGACAGGAGGAGCGGAACAGTGGGGTGTGTGTGTGGGAGGGTGGGATACCCAGGCAGGACCAGCTCAGGGCCATGTATGTGCCCAGCCTCCTCCTCGGCCCCTTGGCTGGCGTTGGGGTCCCAGGCGCAGGTACAGAGGGCCAGCAGCCGGGACTGGACATCCTGTGTCTCTCCCCCTCCAGGTGTGTGCTCGGGGAGCCCTAGGTCCCTGCCTGTTCTGGGCTGCAACGTGGGGTGCTGCATTGCTGCTGGCGGCCTCGGTGAACGCACAGCGTGGTCGCAAGAAGGTGGTGCACGTGCTTGGTGAGTTTGCCCCCCACCCCTGCCCAAGAAGGAACCCTGACAATAGACACAGCCCCTCCCGCGCGCCCCCAGGATGGTGGTCCCCCACAGCCGGGGTCCCCAGCCCCTGGACCCCCTGACCCCTAACCCTAACCCTGACCCCCAGCCATCCCTCCCTCTGAACCCACAGAGGGTGAGTCCGGCTCCGTGGTGGTGCAGACGGCGCCCGGGCAGGTGGTCAGCCATCGCGGTGGCACCATCGTCTTGCCATGCCGCTACCACTACGAGGCAGCCGGCCACGGCCACGACGGCGTCCGCCTCAAGTGGACCAAGGTGGTGGACCCGCTGGCCTTCGCCGATGTCTTTGTGGCCCTGGGCCCCCAGCACCGGGCCTTCGGTACCTACCGGGGCCGAGCAGAATTGCAGGACGACGGGCCCGGAGACGCCTCGCTCGTCCTCCGTAATGTCACCCTGCAGGATTACGGGCGCTATGAGTGCGAGGTGACCAACGAGCTGGAGGATGACGCCGGCATGGTCAAGCTGGACTTGGAAGGTGACCAGGAGCTCTTCCTGGGTAGCAGGGTGGAGGTGGGTGCGTGGGTGCGTAGGGGGAGCTCCCGGGGACAGAATGCGAGCTCTAGAGAGGCTTGGCCCGATAGCGCAAAGTTCCTTAAAACTGGTGATGATTGGAGAGGGGGGGAAAAAAATCCTGCAAGACGTGAGACAGCCGTTCCTCATCGCCAAAAGAACAGACGGTTCTGGAGCCTCAGGGAGAGCCGGGCAGTCACACCAGGTTCCTCAGCTGTCCCCCCGTCCCTGTTGCCTCAGCCAGATTCCCCAGTTTCTGTCCAAGATTCCTAAATGCCAAACTTCTCCCCGGTCCTTGCCTCCCCGCTTAGCAACCGATGACGCAAGAGCGGCAGCTAGAGTCCCTGGCTCGCCTCTCATTGGGCCAGCTGGGGTCACATGGCCTGTCTGCGAGCCAATCGGTGTGGCTGCGAGGGAGGATGCTCTCATTGACCGGTCGGGGAACTGGGCGCTTCGGCTCAACTTGGTAGTGATAACTAATAATTTATGGGGAGGAGCAGGCGAGACATTGGGATGAACTGCTCTCCCGAGGGTCTCCTGGAATTCCCACAGATATCCTGGAATTCCCACAGATATCCTGGAAGCAGTTAGGAGCAGCGGACAGAATGCTGTCCTGCCTCCTGCACCTGCTCCTGGGGGACCAAGCCGGGGTCCCTGTGCCTCCTGCTCCAGCTGAGCGCCACCCCCCTACACATCCCAAGCCCTGCCCCCTCCACACAAACACCCAAACGTGGCTTTTGGTCTTCCAGCCACTGGTCTCCTCCTCAGGGGGCCACGGTGGCTGATCTGCAGCCAGGAGCTTCCTCAGGGGTCTCCCACGTGGGTGCAGGGTCCCAAGGACTGGCTTATTATCCGCCGCTTTCCCAGGCCACATGCCCAGGGGAGCTGGCCAGGACGTGGTGCAGCAACTGGGACTGGTGCCCCTCTGAGGGAATGCTGGCATTGCAAGCGGTGGCTTTCCCCACTATGCCACAGTGCACTGTCCCCAGTCCAAAGCTTAGGGCAAAGATAGCCATAAGGAGTGTGGTCATGGGGGAGTTTCCAGTGAAGGATGGGCTGGCAGGGCCAGGAGGGGTGCACTGGGTGTGGGGGCTTGGAGAGGTGGTCTGACGGCCCGGGTGTCAGGGCTGGGAGGGTGCGCTGGAGACCCGGTTGTGGGGGCTGGGGAGGGTCGCTGGGGACCAGAGTTTCAGAGCTTAGGGGGGTGCGCTGGGGCTCCGGGCCTGATCCAATCTCCCTCCCCGGTGCGTTGCCCACCAGGCGTGGTCTTCCCCTACCACCCCCGCGGAGGCCGCTACAAGCTGACCTTCCTGGAGGCGCAGCGGGCCTGCGCAGAGCAGGACGGCATCCTGGCGTCCGCGGAGCAGCTGCACGCGGCCTGGCGCGATGGGCTGGACTGGTGCAACGCGGGCTGGCTGCGCGACGGCTCGGTGCAGTACCCGGTGAGCCAGCCCCGGGAGGCCTGCGGGGGCAGCTCGGCCAACGGTGGTGGCGTCCAGGGCGGCGGGGTGCGCAACTACGGCTACCGCCACAACGCCGGGGAACGCTACGACGCCTTCTGCTTCACGTCCAACCTGCCGGGTGCGTAGGCCCCACCCGGCTCCTGGCTCACTCGGGGTGGAGGTGCAGAGGCCCCACCCGGCTCCTGGCTCACTCGGGGTGGAGGTGCAGAAGCCCCACCCCCAGGTTCTAGAACCGCCCAGGAGCGAAGCCCCCCCCCCCCCAGGCGCTTGGGTGTTGGTCCACCGGTGCGTACACCCCGTCTTCAGCGGAAGGGTGCTGGAGCAGCCCTGGACTTGGGGTGTCCCTGCACCCCGAGACTCGGCGCCCCGGGAAGGGCCCCCCTAACAGCCCGCCTCTCCCCTTGCAGGGCGCGTGTTCTTTCTGAAGCCGCTGCGGCCCGTGCCCTTCGCGGGGGCGGCGCGTGCGTGCGCGGCGCGCGGTGCAGCCGTGGCCAAGGTCGGGCAGCTGTTCGCCGCGTGGAAGCTGCAGCTGCTGGACCGCTGCACGGCCGGCTGGCTGGCCGACGGCAGCGCCCGCTACCCCATCGTGAACCCGCGCGCGCGCTGCGGGGGCCCGAAGCCCGGTGTGCGCAGCCTCGGCTTCCCCGACGCCCAGCGACGCCTCTTCGGCGTCTACTGCTACCGTGCGCCCGGGGCGCCCGACCCTGCACCCGGCGGCTGGGGCTGGGGCTGGGCTGGCGGCGGGGGCTGGGCTGGGGGAGCGCGCGATCCCGCTGCGTGGACCCCACTGCGGGTCTAGCCCCCTGCCCTGCCTCCTGCCCCTCCACCTCCAGCTGGACCACAGTGGGGAGGGGGCGTCCTGGGCTTGGAGTGTCACGCCCCATCTGTGGTCCCCTGGACGGCAGGTTGAACAAGCGTGGACACTCACAGTGCCCCCCACCCCGGGGACACCTTGAGACTGAAGTTCCCCGGATTCTGGAGACACCCTACTTTCTTCCGGACCTCGCTCCTCAACTTGCTCCAGGACCAGACCCCTCTGGAGCGCCCGGCTGATCCCACACCTTGCAGCTCCGAGGAACCGTCCCCCACCCCTGCGGCCACCTGGGGGCGGGACCCCCAGGATTATCTGGAAACCATCCTGGCACCCCCCTCCCTGAGACTGGGGTCCCCCCCTTGGACACCAAATTCCCCCTCACCATCACCTGGAAAGACAGCAGTCACCCCAATGTGCGCCCTGTTGAGACCACAGGACGTCTCTGCCCCCCCCCCCGAATCCTAGCCAGCCCTCCCCTCGCTCTCTGATGGACCACCCCCCAGCTCCACCCCACACCCCAGTCTCGTGGGAGAGTTCCCTCATCCATGCCACAAAGGCGGGCGGGCATGTCTCCCCCTGCCCCCGCTGGCCCGCCTGGCAGGGGCAATGCCCCATCCTTTGAAGAAGAGTAATTTGTCACCAAAGAGACTACACAGCCCAGGCCCAGAGACTTGCGGGGTTCAGGAGCCATCGCTCCTGGGAGAGGAGGGGGCCCACCTCCTCCCGCTGGCAGCCTGAAAACCCCAGGTTGCCCATCTCACAGGCCCGCACCCCAGGCCCCTGCAAGTCCCGCTCTGCCTGGGCCCCGCTGACCGCCCACCACGGGGACCATGCTTCTTCCCCCGACCATCCCCGAGGGGGAACGCCCCCTTGGATTCTCCAGCTCTCACCATGGAAACCGGCCACCTCTTTTCCCAGGCTCACCCCAGCTCCTTGCCAAACCAGCGCCTGGGACCCCACAACCGTTGCCACGGCGACCAGAACACCTGTACCCCCTGATCAACAGGGTTCCCCACCCCATCAAGCCGTTGCCATAGAGACGTCTGTGTTGTTTCCATGACAACAAGCTTCGCATTTCTTAACGGCTTTTCCCTATGGGGCTGGGAGTCTCCCACCCACGGGGAGGATGTGGGGGGCAGCTGCCTGCTGCATCCCGTCAGGGGACTGGGGGGCTCGTCCAGGCAGCGTGGGACTCGGGCGCTCCCAGACACACTCAATTTGCACGCGAGCGATCTCATCTGACTAGCTCTGCATGACACACCCTTGCAACCCCCCGGGGGTGCGTTTTCCAGCTGGGCAGACCCTGACAGTCTGAAACCCCCTCCCCCACACTCTCCAAGCTCTCTCCTTCCTGGACCCTGGAAGATGGAATGCCTTTGCATTTGCAGCCCACCAGGCACGGTTCCCAGGCACGGTCTGTGCCACGCCGTTGGGAGCCAGCCCGACCCTCGCTCCGTCCTAGGCTTAAGGACCCGTCCAAGGGAGAGAAACGGCCGTGTCGCCCACGTCGGAGACCCCAGCTCTGCCGGAGTACGCCTCTGGCCTCTGGCTCTGTATTCGTCATGACCATCTCTTGAGTTTGGGAACCCCAGGTGGGCTACGGTTCGAATCGCACCTCTGACTCTTTGCTGCTCAACGTGTGACCAAATGACAAAACCCTTGGGAGCCCCGCGTGCTCTGGGGCTGTTGGAGGTCTTCCCTGGCATACAGCAGGCACTCAATAAATCTCCTGTGGTGAATGAGAACCAGGCAGCCAGTGAGCAGCGCCTGCTCAGTGTTCTTGGGGGGTTGGTGCTGGCTGCGTTCTGACTCCGCTGAAAGTCGCTTGGAGCCCCCCTCTCTCACTCCCTGCGTCCTGGCTTCCGGACCCTTCTCTTTCTCCCTCCCCTCCTCACTGCTCCCCCTGAGCCACCCCCCCCCCCAGGCCCCCAGATCTGCTCTGTATCAATGCCAACTTGGGAAGCTTCCAGGATGCAAACAAAAAGAAAATGAGAGGAAAAAAAAAAAAAAGGAAATTTTAAGAGGCCCGATTGGGTGCAGGGAGCTGAGCCCGGGCTGTGTGATTCAGCATCCCAAGCTAGATCTTTCCCCCAACACCTGCTCCCTGCTTGGAACTCCAGCATGCAGATTCCCCTTTTCTGGTGAAGGGCTGCCTCCACCTCCTTCCGGTCCAGCCAATAAATACTGTGATATATTGCCGTGGGCAATCCTGATTGGTCTAGAAGTTGGTGTGGCATCCCCTCAAAGCCAACCCATGAATGAGACTTCAGTCCTTGGGATGTGGGTTCAAGGCTGGCAACCAAGAGACCCTCCCTCTCCTGGGGTTCCTGTGCTGTTGGGGGGCTGAGGGAGGCGGAGCCACCTGCCTTCAAGTTCACATCTCAGAAGTCATTTTTTAGCTCAGCATGTCAGATCCGAATCCTAAATACAGGGTCGTATCTGCTGGAACCCACGCAACGCTCCCACACAGCGTGCAGCCTCTGGGTCCCACCTGATGTTGGGTGGCCGGCTAACATCGCATCGCGCCTGGTGTTGACACAGTTGTGGCACTGTTGGTAAAACCATGACAAGGAAAAGAGCCTGCGCTTGGAGGGTGAACCAGCAGATGGAGGATCTTCCTCTCTGTCTCTCCTCTCTGTGAATCTGCCTTTCCAATAAAAATCAAATAATTCAGAAAAAAAAAAAAGAGACAAAAGCCTGACTGGCAGCCGTTCACCCGCCTCTGGCCGCCGGCCTCTGACATTCTGCTCCAGCCACCACAGGCTGGTCGCCGTTGGCAAGCAGTTCATGCTCCCTCCTGCGGGAGGAACTGCAGTTCAGCCTGCCTAGCCAGTCTCTGCCAGCTGCAGGCTCGGCCCCTGCCCACACCTCCTCCATCAAGCCCTCCTTGATTGCCACCCCGACCCCGGGGCATCTACTTCCGCCTCCCAGCGCCACACACAGCTCCCCAACACTGCTCTGTGCTGATGCGCTGCAGGGACAGAAGGCTCAGGACTTCAACGGGCAAGTGGAACTGTTAAAAAAAAAAACACAAACTTTTATTCAAATGTCCGAGAAGTTCATGAATGTGCACAGTGTCAGACCCACAGCACGCTGCAGCTCACGGCGGAACCAACGGTTCCCGACACGGTGCCCACGCCCGCACCCACACGCGCCCCGCGGCTGGGCGCATGCCAACACGCACACGCACGCACAAGGAACACACATGGGCGCACACACGCACGCACGCACGCACACATGCTGGGTCCCCAGTCCCCACCCACCCCTATAACAAGGGAGAAGCTTTCATTTCGTGTGTCACGGGGGCACCCGAAAAGGTCTTGTTTTTCTTTCAACCCAACGGAGACTGAGGGGGACCCCCTCAAGGTTGGCGCCTGGCGTGTGGAACCCGAAGCCAGCAGCTCCTTGCTCGGTGACCACACTGGAGCCGCTTCCTTCATCATCCGCCTTGCTCTTTCTCTCATTTACAGATTTCTTTATTTAACCCAGCCTCAGGATCTTGAAAAGAGGGTGTGTGTCCACCAGAGGGCGTCCCCCTGCTTCCAGAAGGAGAGCTGGGTGCTGAGGTCCCTGAGAGATGGAGGGCTTGGAAGCTGGGCTCTCCCGGCCCCTACCCACGCCGCGTGCGCCATCCCTCTGCAGGTGCACAACCACAGCCTCTCCTTGCACTGCACCCCCCCAGCCTCCATACCCACATCTAACGCTGACATCTAACGCTGATGAAGTCTTCTACCACCCAGGACCCACGGAGACGGGTCCCCGGATTCCTCCCGAAAAGTCAGCGAGCACGCAGCACTTCCAGTCTTTGCTGAACTCCTACACGTCGTCACGTCCCACCAAGCCTCACTCGGCCAGCGATCGGTCGCTCCGGCTGGGAAGAGGCGCAGCCCGCCTTCTCTCCCTCACCGGCTTTCCGGAATGGGCACGTCGCAGCCCAGCCACGGGCGCGGTGGGGGACTGGGCGACCCGGGACCACATGTGTGAAAAAAAAAAGAGAGAGAAGAGAAAAAAGGGAATTTGTACAAAGGGGGATGTACGGTGAGCGGGGAGGGCCGTGTTTTGGGGTTCAGGGGCTCCCAGACTTTCTTGTTTTGCTCTCTGGGCGGTCTCCGCCCCCACGGGAAGAATCCAGAGGGGGCTGCGGGAGGGGGCTGTGCTTGCTCGCGTCTGTCTTGCTTGCTTCTCAGCACAGGGCGCCTTCGTCCCTCTCCCAGTCCTCCGCGGGGCGGCCCTTGTGTTTTCTGCGTTCCCTGTGGGTTCTGTGGCGGCGGTGGCGGTGGCGGTGGCGGTGCCGCCTCGTCCGGTGTGAGCGTCTAGCTGCAGGGGAGCGGGCATGGAAGGGGACAAGGAGAGGGAGGCGAAAAAAAGAGGTGGCTTGATGGGCTAATCCTCCACCCTCACGCGCCGACATCCAATAAGGGGCGCCGGTTCGTATCCTGGCAGCCCCACTTCCCACCCAGCTCCCTGCCTGTGGCCTGGGAAAGCAGTGGAGGACGGCCCACAGCCTGGGGACCCTACACCTGCGTGGGAGACCCGGAAGAAGCTCCTGGGTCCTGGCTTCAGATCGGCTCAGCTCTGGCCATTGCAGCCACTAGGGGAGTGAATCAACAGATGAAAGATCCTATTCTCTGTCAATCTTCCTTTCCAATAAAAACAAATACACCTTCAGAAACGAAGTGGGGAGGGTACAGGAGCAGAGGGGACCCCGCGCAGGCGCAGGCTGCTGCAAGGGGACTTCACCACAGGAGCAGCCGGGAGACGGCCCACCCCGCAGCACCCTCCCGCGGCGAGCGGGACGTGTGGATGGAGAGCTACGCGTGACTGGGGCCTGCGTCGGGGCCTTCAGCCAGAGCCGCGGTGTCAGCCACCTACCTTTGGTGCAGACGATCTGAGGCCTGTCCCACCTGCCGTCACTGCGGCAGCGGATGGTGGCCACGTGGTGCTGGGAGAAGCCCTCATCGCACTGGTAGCGGACGGTGGCGTGGACGTTGTACTTGGTCTTGCGGGAGCCGACCAGGGAGGCGTTCTCCACCATGGGAGGGGGCCCACACAGCACTGGGGGCACAAGAATCTCCAATTAGGGAGGAGGGGGCGGTCTCTGCAACAGCAGAAAGTGGGACAGGAACATGCCTAAAAAGGGTGTCCTCCCTATGTAAAAAGTTCTTAGAAATCAATAAGAACAGAGGCGCCAGCGCTGTGGCACAGCAGCTTAAGCCACCAGCGGCAGCACCAACATCCCACATCGACACAGGTTCGAGTCCCGGCTGCCCCACTTCCCATCCGACTCCCTGTTCATGCGCCTGGAAAAGCAGCAGCGGACAGCCCAAGTGCTTGGGGCCCACACCCCTCCACCCCCCGACATGAGAGACCTGGAAGAAACGGGTTCCCAGCTAAGGACCAGCTCCGCTGTGGCCACTGTGGCCGTTTGGGGAGGGCACCAGCGGATGGAGATCTCCGCAAACACATCCGAGAGTTTATGCATCCACAAACCGGATACAGGATAACAGGAAGTGTCCCAGAAGGGGCGGAGTCGTGAGACGGACAGAGGGTGGGCACCTGCCCATCACGGTGGTAAGGGGCGGCCCCGGAGGGGGCTGGGCTGAGCTCCGGGGAGATGGGGGAGCCGCACTGGGCGGGCGGGGTGGACTGGGTACCCGTGCCCTTCTTGCAGACGTAGGCGAGATTGTAATTGCAAGGGACGTCGTTCCAGCGGCCACTCTCATGCGCCACCATCACCACGCAGTCCTCCCCGCCCGCGAAGAAATTATCCGGCTGGTTCTCTCGCCAGTTCTCGTATTGCTGCAGGAGGGAGGAGAAGCCGCCGTGTCCTCGCAAGACCGGCGTGCCAGGCAAGCCAGGCTCAACCACCCGTCCCCTCTCTGTCCCGGTGAAGGGGGCGGTGCTGGGTCCCTCAGCCACATGGCCTGGGGGTCTCTTCTCTGGACCAAGCTCGGGAGACTCACCCTCACCCAGCCGTATGCTCCCCTTGGATGCCCACCCAGCGCCCGCGGGGGAAGGGAGTGTCTTTGGCATAAGACGATAAACTGAGGCCAGGCCGCTCACCAGCCCCGTGTTGTCAGTCCACTGAAAGTCTCTCTCCACGGTCCTGTCGTTCAGCCCCAGCCACGTGTTTTCATGCCCGAAGCCTACGGAGTGAGGGGTGGGAGAGGGGAGGGCTGTGAGGGCTGTGGACCCGTCCCTCCTGCACCCTGCACTTACAGGTGATGGATGGGGAGGAAGCGCGGGGGGCAGAGGTAGCAACGGGGAGGAGCCCCCTCCCAAGGCCCTTCCGTTTTCTGCGCATGCCCAGGCTGTCCTCAGGGAGGGAGGGGGCGCAGCAGCAGGTGCAGAGGGCAAGGGGGCATGGGGCATGCGGGGGACGTGGGTGCAGAGGGCGAGGGGCATGGGGTATGCGGGGGACGCGGGTGCAGAGGGCGAGGGGCATGGGGTATGCGGGCGACACGGGTGCAGAGGGCGAGGGGCATGGGGTATGCGGGGGACGCGGGTGCAGAGGGCGAGGGGCATGGGGTATCCGGAGGACGCGTCAGCCCAGGACTCCACGGGGCGAACGGGTGGCAGGAGGGAGGGCAGGACGCGCGGCCCCCGGCGGCTGAAAGGATGCCAGGCTCGGCTGCTGAATCCTCGCTTCAGCCCACGCTTCCCAGCTGCTCCCCGACCCCGTGCGCGCGCACATGGCCACAGTCCCCAGCACAGCCCACGTGCAGAAGGACGCCAGCCTTCCTCCCAGACGAGCTGTCTCATTACTAAACGCCCCAGCCCAGGCCGAGATGGCTCCCTCGGGTGGACACACGGGGATGTCTGCTTTTGCTCCCTGCTGTGTTCATTCATTCCTTTCTTCATCAAATTGCAAACATGGCGTCTTGCAAAGAGACCACCCCTACCCACCCCTGCCCCATGCTGGCTGGGAACTCTCGCCCTCCACGGCCACCCGGCCCCCCCGGCCCCCCACCAAGTCCTCACTGTTGACGAAGTTCTGTTCTTCCGCGGAGTGGACGCTGGTCAGGTGGCCGGCCCGGCGGCGGCAATCTCGCTCGGCATCCTCCCACGCCCGCCGGTGTGCGAAATAACGGTAGCAGTGGCCTTGGAACTTGTGCCAACCCCGGTCACAGCCCTCCGTGTCTGGGAACGGACACACATCGGTGACAGGCAGGGGCCGCCCAAGCCACTTCGCTAGACCCACAGGCATGCCTGTGACTGCTTCTCTCTTCTCTCTCTGTCATTTTGTGGCCGGCAGGCCCAGGAGAAGTGACGCCACACCGTCAGTCACGAGGGACACAGACCCAGGCGGCAGCACTTCACACCCACAAGGAGGATGAGGAGTTCAACAAAGGGGCAGAGAGTCAACGAATGTGGGCAGCGGGAACCCTTGGGCGTTGTGGATGGGAAGGGAGAACCATGCAGAAGCTTAAAAGGAATGTGGCTCAGGGAGTGAAGGAGAGGGGCTGGCATTGTGGCACTGGGGGTTAAACCCCTGCCTACTGTGCCAGCATCCCACATGGGCGTCAGTTCAGGTCCCAGCTGCTCCACTTCCCATCCAGCTCCCTGCCTGTGGCCTGGGAAAGCAGTGGAGGACGGCCCAGAGCCTTGGGATCCTGCACCCGTGTGGGAGCTGCTAACCTCCCACTTAAAAGTGGCAGCATCGCATAGGGGTGTTGGTTCCAGCCCAGGCTGCTGCGCCTCCCATCCAGCTCCCGGTCACACCTCTGCTGTCCTTGTCTCCGGCGTGGCCGGGCACACTCACCTTTCTCACACAGGCTGCCTCCATAGCTGGGCAGGCAGAGGCAGACGAAGCCGTTGACCTCATCAATGCAGGTTCCTCCGTTCTCACAGGGGCTGCACGCACAGTCGTCGATGTCTGGTGGAGGGGGCGGGTCGGGGAGAGGTGTCACCACGTCACAGGACAGCCCTGCCTCTGGCTCTGAGCCCCCGTGGGAGTCCACGGCTGAGACAGGGGCGCGATCCTCCCCCGTGGGCCTGCTCCTGTGTGTGGCACTGGTGCTCCAGGAAGATGCCCTGATTTACTCTGCAGGCCATGGTGGGTGGAACTTCCCATAAACCAGAGATGAATGCCCACAAGTGCTTCTGGTCCAGCCCCCAACTGGGGCTGGGGGTGAGGTGGGTTTTGCAGAATGGTGCACCTTCACATGGCTGTCTGGAGGTAGTGCCGGGTGTCTGGGGGAGCACTTCTGCCAGGCCCTGTGTGCTCAGCGCTGGCAGCATCCAACACTTCAGAGATGTTGTGACTCCGAGTGCTTCTTTGCTTGTGGTCGGTACAAAAGCTCAAAAAGCTGCACTCTTCCTATTGCATTGCCAGATCACTTAATAGCACAATAGCTGGCGTTTTAATTTCATGAGTCGGAGTAGGGCGGGAGCAAAGAGCTCAAGAAATTCAATCATTGATATTTATCGTTTTCCTAAGGGGTGCCAATGTGTGGTGCTCACTGCTAACGTCCTGCAGCTTCGACGGTGCGGCTGCTGCTCTATCCCTGCCCACGCTGGAAAACACGGAATTTCCCAAGGGTTTCCCGGCAGCAGTTGTAGTAGCACCATCCCCCCTCGATCCCGCTCTGGCAGTCCTGGAGGCTGTGACCCCCAAGCCTTGTCGGACTCCAGCCATAGGGGGCGGGGAGGGGCTGCTGGCGATCCCTAAGTGTCGGGGGGGACTTGGGCCACTGTGGTAAAACTCGGGGGGCACTCACCAATCTCACAGTTTTCCCCGGCAAAGCCTTGGTCGCAGCTACAGCCGTACATGGTGCCGTTGGCACGGCACGTGCCTCCGTGCAGGCAAGGGTTGTTTTCACAGGGATCCGAGGCGGCTGTGTCGGGGAGGGGAAACAGGCTCTCACATCACATGTCTTCCTGAGGATCCAGAACTCAGCCCCGTAGCCCGTCTCATCAACATCTTGTCTGTGAAGGGGACTGGTGCTACGGCATAGCGGGCTAAGCCTCTGCTTGCAATAGCCAGCGCCCACTATGGGTTCCAGTCCCAGCTGCCCTGTTTCCCATCCAGCTGCCTGCTCGTGCAGCTGGCAGAGCAGTGGAGCACGGCTCAAGTGCTTGGAACCCTGTGTAACAACAGCCACAGTGGCAACCAGGAGCCAGGAGCTGTTGTGGGTGGTGCCAGAGACCTGAGCACTCGGGCCATCTCCTGCTGCTGGATGGGAAGTAGGGCTGCCGGGACACAGACCAGTGCCCGCACGGGATGCTGGCATCGGCGGGTGGAGGATTAGCCAGTTGAGCCGTGTTGGCCAAGGTCATGTTGGACCCTGGAGACATCGTTAGCACCCCTGGGGGAGGTCTAGCCTGTGGCTCCACATTGTCCATCTTGGAGACAACTTGGTCTCCACGGGGGGGTGGCCTGGCACACAGCGGGTGCTGTGGCTGGTCCTCCCGCACTGGGGGTGGCGCGTGGCCTCTCTCCTTCTTTCAGGAAGAGCCCCTCCCCTTCCTCTGCCCTCCATGGGTGGGGAGGCCCCAGCACGGCCGTGTGCATATGCGTGGGGCTGCCGGGAGGCGGTGTGTCCCCGCCAGGTGCCCTCTGCTGCTGCTGCCAACAGCTGCCCACGGACTGGCGCTGACTCAGTCACTCACTGGTGCCGCGGTTTATTTTTGGTCTCATTAGCATTCCGGCTGCCGGCGGGGGGAGGCCAGGCGCCTGGGTTTCCCCCTCCCAGGGCCGCTGGTTTCAGCCTGGAGCCCAGAATCGGGGGGCGGGGAGGGGGTGAGCCTGAGGTAGCCCCAGCCCGGGGTACAGGTGCATCCGCCAGGGCAGTTCCCTTCTTCCCAACGCCCTGCTCCGACTGCCCCTTCTCCAATGCCTCCAGCAGCCCCTGCACCCCCTTCGAGGACACAGTGGCACGGACGGCCCCAGTCCGCATATGTATTTTTTTTTTACACCCACAAGCCAGTCTGGGCACAGCCCAGCTGTCAGGACACTGGTTTCGGATGGTCACGATTGGAACCCCCAGGGGCGGCATGCGCAACCTCCGTGAATAGCCTAGTCCCGGGACTCCGCGGGACTCGGGCTCCTCCACCTGACCGAGGCACGTCCTGCTTGTCCCACGCGGCTGTGAGATGATCCACCAAGTCAACCCCAGGAAAGGGCAAGCTTGGGGGAAGACAGACTCTCCCTCCCGCCACAGCCTCCTCAGACGGACCCGGCTGGACGTGGCGGCAGGGTGAGCGGCAAAGCCCCGCACCTGCCATCGCGCGCCGCTGCGCGGGGCCAAGGAGTCAGCAAAGCAGTTAGCGCACCTGCACACCAGATCAAGACGCCTGGCGTGCGCCGGCTCGCTGCGACCAGCGACCGCCTCATGTAGAAATCCTCTGCCCCCAAATAAGCTGCTTGTTTCAATTCCCCTTTCCATACACTTTAAAAAAAAGCAATGTGAGGGCCCGGTGCAGTAACCTAGTGGCTAAAGTTCTTGCCTTGCACATGCCAGCATCCCATAGGGGCACTGGTTCTAATCCCGGCAGCCCCACTTCCCCACTGGGGGAGGCAGGCACCCAGTCCCTGGAGCCTCCCAGAACCATGCGACTGCCATGAAAGCTGGCTGGTGTCCAAAGGGGCAGTTTCGCCCACTGCACCCCAGCACCTGCCCTCCACCAGGCCATGCGCTCAGCCCTGCGTCAATGTCTCCGGTGGCCTCGGAGTCTCGGTCTGCTGTCTGCACCCCGGCAGGGAAGGGAGCCACTCCTCCCCAGCCACGCCTTGCCTGTGGCTGGAGACTCATCCCCTCGGTCATCTACACTGCGGACTGCAAGCCGCAGGCCACGCCCACCCATGCCCTCCCTGTACCCTCTCTGGCCTAATGCACAGACTGCGGGGAGGCCCCCAACGCCACATCCACCCCGGGGCTCCCAGGGGGACCTGGACCGGAATTCTGCCCTAAACCCACCACGCAGAACCAATCCACTCCACGTCTGGTCACCCCTCAGCTGGCCCCTGGGACACACTCACCGTGCTCCAAACCCATCGGGCCCAGTTTTTTCATTCCATCTCACAAGCACCTGCCTCCCATGCCACACACACCCCTTTCTAGAAGCTTCCAGATTCCCAGGGCACTCTGTCCCCTGGTTCTCATGCTCCCCCAGGGTCATCCACAGCTGGGGGGCTGGAGTCTGACCTTACCCCCCATTGCACTCCCATTCCTGAGGGTTCCTGGTGGAGCCGGCTCTTCTCCACTCGCCACCTCCTCCCAGAAGCTGTCCAAGGCGGGGCCGCTTGCCAAGATCCCCAGCTCCAACTCCTCTGTGCCTCTGGAGACAGGTGGCGGGGTATTGGGGGCGTCCCATGGTCCTGCAGGCTCTCCTTCATCCACGCTGGCTGCAGGGGGCGCGTGAGGTGGAGCCACTGGCACTCCAGGTGTGGCCCCCTCGGCCAGCACCCCGCCCTCCGGTTCTGGCTGGGGTTGAGAGCTGGAGGAAGCTGGTATGCATGTAGCTAGGACGTCCGCCTTGGTCTCCAGGTCTGGAGGTGTGAGGGGCATTGCCAACGTTGCAGCTACTGTCACCCGAGGGTGCCCCGTGGGATGCTGGGTCCCCACCACCACGAGCGACCCAGAGTCCCAAGCGCCACCAGCGTCACTAGATTCCGGCGGGACAGTGGACTCCGTGCGACCCACCACGGTCCCTTGCTCCGTGGCAGCCCCAGGCCCCACAGTGGATGGGGCGATTCTAGCAGCCACGAAAACCCCAGGGTCCCCGGAGGGGGCGGCCGAGGGCACGGAGTCCACCTCATCCACAGTGGCCTGTAAGCTAGACAAGTCCGCCATGCTGAGAACTGCAGACTCGGGTCCCAAGACATTTCCTGAGCGTGTCGGCTCTGCCGGGGCGAGATCAGCTCTCACGGGCGTCCTGGGGCTGGGCCCCCCAGTTGTGTTGGGGGTCCTTGAACCAGCTCCAGTGCCCGTGTCCACAGCTGTCACCAGCCTGGCCTCTCCACTCCGTCCGGTGGGATCCCAGGAAGGGGACGGGGCAGACACTTCAGCGTCGGTCACCAGCGAGGGGGGAGCTGTGGCCGTGGCCTCACGGTGCCCATCGGTGGGGTCTAGTGTGAGCTGGAGCTTGGGGGCACGCAGCATGGCCACCACTGGGAAGTCTGGGGACCCTGTGTCCGTGCGGGGGTCCTCAGAGCCAGGGATGGGAGTGGTGACAGTGGCTTCCGGAAGGGACCAGGGCAGGACGGAGGTGGCTGGTTTTATGCTGGCGCCTGTAATTTCCTTTTGCATCATGGCAGGAGTCCGGCTGGGACCTGGGATACTGGCAGGGGCCCTGGTTGGGGACCGTGGAGGGCCACCATGGAAATCTGTAACGACACCCAGAGAGTCATCACAGTGGCTTCCCAGCAGTTCATCCCGGCCTGGGTATAATCCTCCAATCCCTGCCCATCCCGAAATGGACCCCACATATTCCCAGGCTGCCCCCTGGACCCCCACTCACCGGCATCAGACACACCCAGCTCATTGGTCAGCTCGCCCCAGGGACTCTGGTTCCAGCCAAGCCCCAGCCTGTCGGTGGCTGCCGTGGCCACGGGAGGCCCCACAGGACTTCCAGCAGCTTCTGGGATGAGAGGCTGCTGGGCGCTGGCTTCCGGTTCCAGTTCTTGTTGCTGAAAGTGACGCCCGTTTAGCCCTTTGAAGCGCCCTCTCCTTCGCGGTGGGGGGCTCACGGGGGCTCCATCCGTGGGTGTTGACGCCACAGAGCCTGAGCTGCTGCTGCTGCTGGACGCCACGCTGTCCAGCCACGCTTCCTCTGCCTTCGTGGGCCACGAAGCTGGAGTGGGGCCCCCTGAGGCAGGCCTGGGGGTGTCCGACAACGCCTGCTCCTCCATGACAATCAGGGGCGCCTGCTCTTCCCCACTGGACACCAGGGGCTCCTGGGACTCGGGTGTGACCACGTCCTCCGCCTCCCTCAGGCCGGGCTCCAGCTCCGGGCTCGGGGGGCCTTCTGCCGACAGCAGGTCCCCCTCGTCCCCGGAGGAGGGCATCTCCGGGTCTCCATGCGGGGTTGCGGTGTGATGAGCTGTGACAAGAGGTGTGGGGTCAGGTTCAGGGGCGGGCAGTGTCCCCAGGGACCTGACCCCGGTCCAGCATGCTGCAGGACAGACAGAGCCCTGCCTGGTGGAGGCTCCGAGCCCCAGCCCCCCGTGCGGGGTCGCTCCCTCGAGACAGGGGTGGGAGGCCGGATGACGCCTCAGCCCACTGGGTCGGGGGCAGGCTGCCTGGGTGGGCGCTGGAGGACCGGGTGCCCAGTGGCTGTCCCCTTCCTCATCACCCAGGACTGGGTGCAGCCCTCACCCGGTGCTGCGGCCATTGGGGTCCAAGTTGGTGGCAGTCCTGCAGGCTGAACGTCCATCAGCCCTGGCCCCGCCCCGGAAGCGACCCCGCCCCGGGGGGCACAGCCAATCGCATCAGCTCCTCCTCCACAGGAGGCGGGGCTAAAAGAGGACAAGCTCCACCCAGAGGGAGGCACGTCACTCAGAGTGACAGGGCTGGGACGAGACCCACCTCCAGGGGGCGTGGCCGTCATTCCCCGGGGCGTGGCCCCTCCCCGGGGGCGTGCCCTGCCGTGGCCCCGCCCCGCGCATGCGCACCTCGGAAGCAGTAGGCGTCGAAGCGCGCTGCGGGCGCAGGGAAGCCGGTGCGGTTGGCGAAGCGGTAGACGGTGCGCACGCCCGGGGTCGCGCCCCCGCAGCGCCGGCGGGGCGTCTGGATCGGGTAGCGCACGCTGCCGTCCGCCAGCCAGCCGGGGTCGCACTGGTCCAGGCCCTCGTGCCAGGCCAGGTGCAGCTGCCCCACCGAGGCCAGCCGGGCCCCCTGGCGCCGACACTGGGCGCGCGCCCCGGCCAGGGTCAGGCGGCGGGCGGGCCCCACGTAGAAGACCTCGCCTGAGGAGACGGGCGGGCGGTCAGGGGCAGGTGGGCGGTGGGACCCCAGGGAGCCCGAACCCCGCTGGGCTGGGTGATCACCCCTCAGGCCAGCAAGGAGAGGTGGGACCCCAGGGAGCCCGAATCCGGCCGGGCTGGGTGGTCCTCACCCCTCAGGCCAGCAAGGAGAGGGCAGGGGGCGGTGGGACCCCAGGGAGCCGAACCCGGCCGGGCTGGGTGGTCCTCACCCCTCAGGCCAGCAAGGAGAGGGCAGGGGGCGGTGGGACCCCAGGGAGCCGAACCCGGCCGGGCTGGGTGGTCCTCACCCCTCAGGCCAGCAAGGAGAGGGCAGGAGGCGGTGGGACCCCAAACATCCAAACCCGGCTGGATTTGCATGGCCCCCATTTGAGCCGGGGGCCGGGGGCCGGGGGCCGGGGGCGAAGGAGAGGCCCGTGACGATGCAGGGAGACCTGCTAGGCCCCTCCATGAACTCACCTCCCAGTTCCCGGGCAAAGCAGTACACGTCATAGAGCTCTTGCGGGTCACGCCTCCCATAGCTGCGAACACCCGGAAGGCTGCTCCGGTCGCCGTAGCAACCAGGTCGCGACTGAGTGATGGGGTACCTTGACAATCCGAGGTAACAGTTGTTCCCCTCAGATGCACGGTTCCAGGGGACTTCTGCACCCCCCCAGCCCCCCAGAGGCCAGCTCTCCCTGGAGGCACCCACTTACCGGACGGTGCGGTCCGAGAGCCAGCCAGCGTCACAGTTGTCAAAGCCGTCTTCGAAGGCAGCCTGCAGGTGCCGTGGGGCGGCAATGGTGGCTGAGCTCAGTCGGCAGGCCTCCTGGGCCTGGGCGAAAGTCAGGGCGTACCGGTCCTGGGCTGCCCGGTAGTGGAAGACCACGCCTGTTGGAGGGAGGGACGGTGTAGCCAGGATGGGGGTGCGATGGGGACCGGCCCTCCCCCTGCACCTCTGCAGGAGCCATGTCCACTTCCTCAACACTGGCTGCTGCGCACCCATTTCACAGATGGGCAGACTGACAACAGTGATGGTACTGGGAGATGCTGGCATTGTCCCACGATGGCCGCAAATGCCAGGGCTGGGCCCAGCGGAAGCCGGAAGCCAAGAGCTTCATCTGGGATTCCCAATGGGTCACAGAGGCCCAAGGCAGCACCAGTTCAAGTCCTGGCGGCCCCACTTCCCATCCAGCTCCCCGCTCGGGCACCTGAGAAAGCAGAGGAGGACGGCCCAAGGGCTTGGGTCCCTGCTGCCATGTGGGGAGCAAGGCAGCATATGGAAGCTCTCTCTCTGTAACTTGATCAAGTGAAGAAATAAAGCTTAGTATATATTTAAATTTTAAATAATGTTTAGTTACTAATTTGGAGTTAGAGAAACACACCCAGTGTCGGAAATATGGAGTCTTCGCCTATGCGAAGCCGACACAGACCTCGAATGTATCTCTTTTGTTTGTTTGTTTTAGAGATTTCTTTATTTTTATTGGAAAAAAGATATACAGAGAGGAGGAGAGACAGAAAGGAAGATCTTCCGTCTGATGATTCACTCCCCAAATGACCGCAATGGCTGGAGCCGATCTGATCCCAAGCCAGGAGCCAGGAGCCTCTTCTTGGTCTCCCACACGGGTGCAGGGTCCCAAGGCTTTGGGCCGTCCTCCACTGCTTTCCCAGGCCACAGGCAGGGAGCTGGATGGGAAGTGGACAGCAGGGACATGAACCGGTGACCCTATGGGGTCCTGGCGCTTGGAGGGGGAGGATTAGCCTGTTGAGCCATCACACTGGTCCCTAAGCTTCTTTTTAAAATTGCATTTTCTCATGACCTTTGGGAAGCCCTCTCCTGCTGGACTCTTTTCTCCAGGCTCCACCACCTTGATCACGTAGGAAAACAATGTACTTGCATTTCCTTGGCCGTGGGATTTGAGAAGGGAGTTGGCGCAGGAGGCGCTCAGTCCTGCTGCTTACTCAGGAGAGGTTTTTCATCGACTCACCTTTTAGAAACAGCCTCACTCGGAAGAAGTCTAATTGCACTTCTATTGGAAGGAAATCCACATTCTGATTCGAAGAGGAGGCCAATATTTTCTTACATAAAAATCAGGCAACCGGGCCCAGTGCGGTAGCCTAGTGGCTAACGTCCTGCCCAGGGAGAGTCTCTGTCCCTCCTCCCACCAGGCCTCAACCCCACCTGCCATCTCCAACTGACCCGTCACCTCCAGCGGCACGAGGTCCTGCTCGTCTTCAATGCCCCGGACCACCTGACAGCGATACAGCCCGGAGTCGCTGGCCCGGAGTGGCCCCAGCAGGAGCGTGGCGTTGGCCCGGTGCTGGGGGTAGGCGGGCAGCGACACTCGGCCCTGCCAGCCCTTGGCCACCCGCACCACGTTGTCCTTGGCCACCAGAATGGGCTCGTCCTGTCGCTGGCCGGACGCTGTCCGCACCTTGGTCCACTTGACGCGAGGGGCGTCTCGGGCGCTGGCGGTGCTGGCGGGCTGCCGTGGCTGCTGCAGGGTGAAGAGACACGGCAGGGCCACCAGTTCGGCCAGGGCGGCCCGCACGGCCCCAGAGCCCAGCTTGTGCATCCGGAGGCCCAGCTCCGGGGTGCTGTGGGCCGTGTCCTCCATGCCCGGGGTGCTGTGGGCCGTGTCCTCCATGCCTGGGGTGGAGGAGAGAGACAGGTTAGGGAGGAAGGCAGATGTGGCTACCCCCCCCCCCCCCACTTTCCTTTTGGAGACACGAAAGCCAAGGCTGGGCCAGCACAGGGTGCCACCCCCAATGCCGTAAAGCAACAGGCAGATCTGCAACCTGTGCCCAAGGTGAACCGAACCACCAGGAACGCAGCCAGCCAATCCCTTTGGAATTTCGCCTCCGCTGGGAGGGCTGCATCACGGGGCAGGCCACGGGCCGCCCCCCTTGCCGCGGGGCCTCGGGAAAGTTACAGCCCTTCCTACAGCCTTGCTCCCCTTCCTTGGCTCCACTCGGGGCGCTGCCAGCCCCCGGCGAAGGAGACACAGTGTTTGTAGCAGGTGCTTCGTGGTGGCAAGCAGGTGGGCCTTATTTGAAAAACACATGAGGCCAATAACATGGCATAGTCAGCTAAGCTTCCACCTACAGCACCAGATTTCCACAGGGACGCCGGTTCGAGTCCCGGCGGCTCCACTTTTGATCAGTTCTCTGCTTACGGCCTGGGAAAGCAGCAGAGGAGGGCGGCTCAAGTGCTTGGGACCCTGCACCTGCGTGGGAGAGCAGGAAGAGGCCCCGGCTCCTGGCTTCGGATCGGCGCAGCTCCGGCCACTGTGGCCGCTTGGGGAGTGAGTCATCGGATTCGCCTTAGCCTGCATCGCCACTCGACCTCAGCACTGCTCTCTCTCCTCCCCCACCTCCTCTCTCTTTTTCAGCTCATTTCAGCAGATGACTAAAAATAACCCCCCGGTATCTTGCTGGCTCTTTTGATGGTTCAAAGACCTTTTTCATCCGTTCTCACTCTTTTTGTTATCCTGGAGAAGTGGCCACCAGCGGGAAGAGAGGGACATGGCGGTTGTTGCCCCCATGCTGTCCAGCCGCCAAGACCCCCTCCTGAGGGACAGACTCACCCTCGTCCCCAGCCGCAAAAAGCAGCAGCGGAAGGAGCACCAGGGCTGAGGCCCCGACGGACGCCGTCCCCATCCTGGACCTGGAGCCGATGGCAGAGAGAAGGAGGGAGGGAGGGAGGAAGAGGGACTTGAACATTCTAGACGCACAGCAGCGACCACCCAAATCCACCGCTCACGTCACTCGCCCACATCCTGGGAAATCCAGCCATCGAGAGCTCAGCGAGGCCAGTGTCCCACGCCAAGGCTTGAGGGCAAGCAAGGAGGCAGAGCCGGGATTCGAACCCACGGGGTTCTCTCTGCCTAGCCCTTTGCTGTGTGATGGTGGGCAAGTGGCTTTGCCTCTCTGTGCCTGCATCACTTGTTTCCTGGATGAGCTGGAGTTAAGAGCAGGTGGCGAGAAGGAAGAGAGATGCTTCAAGCGCAGAGAGGAAATTGCTTGGCACAGCACAGGACCGCCATGTGCTGCTGAACTGTTGCTATTGTAACCAATTGACCTTAACGCAGGCAAGATGGAAAATTTATGCTTTTTTTTTTTCTTTGAAATAAGTGTGCCTCCGCCTTCAGACTAGGGGGTCACCAGAGATGACCATTCCTTGGGTCCCACTAACCCTGCTCGGATCCCCAGCCGGCCGGCCGCCAAACCAGCCTCAAAGCCGGCACAGACACGATTCTCGGCTTCGATTCCAGATCGGCTTGTCACCGAGTTTCTATTCTGGGTGTCTGGTGTGTGTGTGTGTGTGTGTGTGTGTGTGTGTGTAGGCACTGGCAAGTCCCAGCTGGAGCAAGCCCCCGTCCCCCCTGCTCACTGCATCCACCCTCCAGCTACGCGCCACCCCACCCTCACTCCACGGAAGACCCTAGCCCCATGCGTGGGTCAGGCAAATGAGGTCTGGTGGTGGCGGTGCTGATGGGGGTGGGGGAACCTAAGAGATGGCAATTATCAAGCGCCTGCTGCACAAGCCAAGGAACTGGGCAGGGCTGTCCCCAAGGCCTCCCACCTACACACACACACACACCCCTCTGGAACCTTCTAATCTGGAGGTGGTGGGGGCCGGCTGGCAAAGGAAGACACCTTTCCTTAACCCAGCCGGAGAGGACGGGGCAGCGTGAGGCAGGGGGTGTCGGAGTGGGTCCCGCAGTGGGAGGGTCCGGGGGACAGCAGGGGTCCCCTGCCCTGAGCACTTCCGGAGGCTGGCCGCGACCTGTCCGTGGTGCTGAAAGCTGAGGTTGGCCGGGGGTGGGCTGGGGGCTCTCACGGCAGCCCTGCCTGCCCCAGCTGCCCCTGCCTGCCCAGCCGACCCCTGCCTGCTGCTGACACAGCTCGTCTGGCGTCACAGTGGTCTGTGCCAAGCTTCAGAGATCAAGGTTAGGTCCCTGGCTTGTAAGCCTTTAAAAATAATAATAATAAAAAAAAGCCACTGCTGGTGTCAGAGATTCCTAATTTGTCACTGTGGGCATGGCTTTCGAGGCGTCCTCTCTCTCGACACACACGCATGCATGGTCACTTTCCTCTCCCTATGCTGGGTGACCCCAACAACGGTCTTCAAGTCTCTGAGCCGGTCTTCCCAGCAAGGACCCAACAAGCTGAGCTTTGGGAAGTCCTGGACACGCTCCATTTAAGAGTGGCTCTTTGTACCCCAAGCTCCCGGTCTGGCCCTCTCCTGTCTGCAGAGACAGCATCAGGTGCACCCACTCGCTCGCACCTTGCGCCCTCTTGGCTCCAAAAATAGCTCCTCCCCCTCCCCTTCCCACCCCCCCCACACACACACCCGGGGGCTCACAGAGGTCGAACGTTCACACAGCTGTCTGGAGCCCGTCCCCTGCTGAATAATGCATAAGCCTCATGCATAGGCAAGCAGGGGCCTGCCTGGCGTGGGGGAGGGGCGGCCCGGATCAGTGTGAGACTTTGTCCCCTCCCTGGTCCATCCCCTCCTCCCCACGTCTCCGTGGACATGCTGAGTGTGGCTGAGCTGGCCCGCGCGCGGTTTAGGGGCGTCTGTCCTGGGGGTGGCATGCGTGGCTCTGAGTGTCCCCCCCCCCCCACCGCTGGCAGAGGCCATGAGCACATGGTGTGTCTCGGGCACCAGCAGGTGCTGCAGCAATGTGTCTGGGACCAGGAGGAAAGCTGGGTTTAAAGAGGAACCCCCAAGGCCACCCACTGGAGGGGGTGCAGACTTCAGCCAACTCCACACACGAAGACCACCTTCCCGACCCCCCACCCAGGCTCGGTGTCCACGCATGGGGGAGGAGAAACACACACAAAGACAGCCTGAGTGGGCACTCCCACGGCAGGCAGCGTGTCTTCCACACAAAGACTCAGGCCTTTCTCCCTCCCCTAGGAAACCCAGCACCCCCAGACCCCGCCCCCAGCCCACCCCATCTTACACACTCCCCCAGAGCCAGCGCCTGGCGCCACACACACACAAGCCCCGGCGTTGTGGCATTGGCAACCGATGGGGACATATCTGCCACCTGGTGACGTGACCTCCAGCACAAGTTTGCTCACAAAGACACCGATCGCAGTCACATCAGACCCAAAGTCCGGACGCCCCCACGTCACGGACTCAAGATATCCTTGCATCCCAGCCCCAGGGCAGTGGAGCACACACAACCTCACAAGGCTCTCCCCTCCCCAATTCCCACTAGGCGACAGTCGGAGAGTCTACTGAGATTACTGCTGGGTTCTGGGGTTCCATGGTGTACCCCCTCTTCCCCGCCCCACCCCCATGCACCCTGTCCTGGCCCATCTTCTCTCCTGCCACCCACCCCCAATGGGAGAGACTCTTAGAAAAGAACAAAGCCCCCCGGCGGGAGGATGTGGGGGTCGCTCCCAACCAGGCTGACCCGGGGCCCTGGTCCTCCCACCTCCAAGGGCTTATGGCCCCCACACCCAGCCAGGGCTCCCACAGACACCCCCAAAGGCACAGATGGGAAAGGCAGTGAGGCAAGACGGGCTGGCACGGTCCCGGGAGGCGGCAGACGCGGAGGTGCCATGCGAAAGGGGGCTCCTCCTTTTTTGGAGCTGGGGTCCCTTGTGGGTTACGAGGGGCTCCCACAACGACCTCCCCCCACCCAGGCCGGATTCACCTGGGACAGCCAGAGTGTGGCGCGTGGGGGACAGCCGGGAGCACGTTGGGAAGGGGCCCCCCTTGTCGCGCCTTCTCAGAGTCGGAGCCTCTCACAGGGCAGGCGCCCCTTGCCCAGGACCCTCAGTCTCAGCGCAGACCCCCGCCTCCTCCCCATTACCCATGTTGGGCTCAAGCTCATGCAGGGAGACCCCTCCCACTGCAGCCCAGCTCAGATTCGTCCCTGCACCCCCAAATTGGGAACCCCCTCTTTCTTACAAGACTGGGGTGTCATGGTGGGGGTACCCCATCCGGGGGTCCCCGGTTCAGCACAACTGGGCATCTTTCAAACTCGGGGTGCCCTTATCCCAGACCCCAATCCCAGCGTACCTTGGCTCCCTGAAGAGCCCCAAGACACCCCTACCTCCCATGCCCAGCCCGACCCCTGCCCCTCAGTGGGGCTATCTCCTATTTCCTGCAAATCCGTGCCCCCCTGTTCCCCAACCCCCGCACCCCGGCCCAGCCGAGCCCCCTCCCAGCCGGGGCTCCTTGGCCCAAGCTGGGGCTCCCCTCCCCCATTCCGCCCCTTCCCCAGCAGGGAGTGGGGTGGCGTGGGGTAAGGGGGGTCTCCCTGCTCTCTGCCCCCGCCTTTCCCGCCACCTTCCCGATCCCGGCGAGGGGGTTCCAGCTCCAATCTCTTCTCCCCCCCCCCACCTCCCAGCACGGAGCCCCCCACCTCCCCATGACGGACCCCCGCCCCCACCTGGCTCCTAGCGCGGACGCATCCCGGGGTGGGGGCGCCCGCCCAGCACAAAGGACGCCCCGGCCCTGCCCGGCTGGCTCCCGGCTGGCTCCTCCGGCTCGCTCCAGCCCCTGCGCCCTGCGCTCCGCTCGCCCCGGCGCCGCTCGGCGCTTATAAAGGGGCCGCGGGGCCGCTCTACGCATGCGCGCCTCGGGCCGCGGGCGAGGGGCTCCCCGCTATCGGGGGTCTCCCCACCTTCCCTACACACACAATGCAAACCTCCCCCGGGGCCCCGTGCCCGGCTCGGCCGCCTCCCTGCACCCCGGGAACCTCACCGAATGACACACAGGCACTCCGCACGCCCCAACACGGGGCTCGCCCCATCCTCCAGCTGGGAAGACTGAGGCCCAGCAGGGCGGGGGCCACTGCCAGGGTCACGCCCAGGGCATGGGCGGAACTGGCGTTCCCCCACCGCGCCACACACACACACACACACACACACAGACACCACACGCTCAGCTACAGGAAACACAGCTGCAAATCCAGCTGTGACACCCCTGGCCCCAGACACTTTCCAACAGCTCCAGCCCCGACACATGTCAGTCACTCATTCATTCAACCTGAATTCAATCAACATTCACACAGCGGGTTCCATGGCTCTGGACTCAGCAAGTATATGTCCACCCTGGGAGGCCCCCAATCTTTGTTTTGAAAGATTTATTTATATGTATTGGAAAGGCAAATCTACAGAGAGGAGAGCCAAAGAGATCTTCCATATGCTGGTTCACGCCCCAAGTGACCGCAACAACCAGAGCTGAGCCGATCCAAAGCCAGGAGCCAGGAGCCTCCTCCAGGTCTCCCACGCGGGTGCAGGGTCCCAAGGCTGTGGGCCGTCCTCCACTGCTTTCCCAGGCCACAGGCAGGGAGCTGGGTGGGAAGCTGAGCAGCCAGGACTCGAACCGATGCCGAGATAGGAGCTCTTGGCACCCCATGCTTACCGTGTCATTCCACAACGCTGTCAGCCCCAGCCCCACCTGCGCGAAAGCACCCTGGTCCAACCATTTACAACACGGAGGCTCTGGGACTTGTAGACGCTGGAGCACACGGGGAACATGAGCAACTTCCTGCCGCGTGAGAGATGCCAGACACGAAAGACCGCACACACGGTGACTGCCCAGGGCCGAAAGCCCCAGCGGTGGCCAGAGGCCGAGGGAGGGGATGGGCAGTGATGCAGAGGAGGACCAGGGCAGGGGAGGAGAAGGGGCAGGCTGTTTGGGGCATCAAGTTAATAGAAGGTTGCTGTGATGGCTCCATTGGCTAATCCTCCACCAGCAAGTGCCAGCATCCCACAGGGGCGCCAGTTCAAGTCCCGGCTGCTCCGCTTTCCATCCAGCTCCCTGCTTGGTGCACACCCCGGGAGGCTCCAGTCCTCGGGCCCCTGTCACCCATGTGGGAGACTGCAATGAAGCCCTTGGCTCCTGGCTTGGGCGTGGCCCAGCGCGGGCCGGTGTGGCTGTGCAGGTGCCGAGCTCTGTGGGAGACCTACTCTGCCGTCCTCATCCTTGCTCACTCCTGTTCCTGCCTAGCGGGGGGCGGCTCGTGGGGGCGGGGAAGCCCTGGCCTGTGCCAAGGCTGGGCCGAGAGGGGCTGGCCGTGGTCCCAGGGCTGGTGGAAAGAAGGGAAGGGGCGCAGCCTGTTGCCAGGGGGGCCTTGAATGAAGCAGGCTTCCCTGGGAATCCGCCGGGGCTCAAAGAGCTATTTCTAGGTCTGAAGGAGGGCTGGCTGGCCAAGCCCCCGGTCCCAAGCCCTCAAGGCCTTCTCTTATCCCACCGCCCCCACCCCCACCCCATGCACTCACACTGGGGCCCTGGGCCAGTTGCTGGGAGCAGTGGGAACGGTGTGGGGAAGGGGGCTGGCGGTGGTGGGGAGGGATGGTGGAACAGAGTCAAAAAAAAAACCAGTGCAAGTACCCTCCCGGACCCGACCGACCGCTCCCGCAGCTCCAGCAAGTTCCCAAGGTGACCCAAGTCAGGCACAAGTCCCCCGGAACTCCCCACACACAGTGGCAGCCCAGCCCGGACCAGCTCTGGCGGCTCCCGTGCGAGGTGGCCAGGGTCCTTGCTGAAGTTCATGGAGCATGATCGAGGTCATCTCCAGGGCAAGGAAAGGTTTGACACCCACATGTGTGGACAGCGGTTCTGGCAAAGGCTTCTTACGGGGCAGCTCACCCAGCCGTTCAAAGCACTGCTTCCTCCAACATGTAGTGACAGGCAGGGAGGCACAAAGGAGAGAGAGAGAGGGAGAGAGAGCTGCCCATCTGCCGGCTAATTCCCCAAGTGAATTAATTAATTTATGTGCTGGAAAGGGAAAGACCATTAGAGATCTTTCGTCTAGCAGGAGCTGGGCCAAGGGAGAAGCCAGGAGCCAGGAGCCTCTTCCGGGTCTCCCACACAGGTGCAGGGTTCCAAGGCTTTGGGCCGTCCTCCACTGCTTTCCCAGGCCACAGCAGGGAGGGAGCTGGATGGGAAGTGGGGCAGCCGGGGGCACCCGTGTGGGATGGGCAGCAGGTGGTGGCTTAGCACGTGGTGCCAGCTTCTGTGCCCCCACCCACCTCAGCAAACCAGAGGCGCCACTCTTAGGCTTTCTGCAGCCGCCCTGGGATGGAGGCTGGGGAGGTGGGCGTTGTCTATACAGGCTCACATTAGGGGTAAATGCTCCACTCCTGGCAGCCGTGCTGGGAGCCACAGGAGGCTCTTTCAGGCCCAGGGCGCCAGTGAGGCGAGAGGGAAGGAGAGCCAGGAGTTGGCCAGGAGGCATGGCATGGAGTGTGCTGGGGCCAGGCACACCTCCCTGATTGGAGAGTGGGAGGGCCGTCCCTTGGCCCAGTGTCCGCTGTCAAACGGCATTGGAGTGGGTCGTGGGGGGAGTGTCCAAGTTCAGGCACAACAGGTGCCATGAGCTCACAGCGTCCCACCCAGCCAGACACCCTGCTGCAACTTCCTCCTTAATTAGGAAGGCAGAAAATGGGTCAAGCGGAGGCAGGGCACACTGGCCCAGCCTTCAGTGTGGGGCTGGGACTGGGGTGTTGGCAGAGCCGGATCTGGAAGGCAGCAGCTGGTCCAGGAAGCAGCTCCTTTGGCCAGTGACCCAGTTTCCAGCCCCCTGTCGCCAGGAGGGACTCCCGTCCTTCTCACTCCCAGCCCTTTGAGAAAGGACCTGGACCACGCACCATTCAGCTGCAGCCGGGAGCCGCATCCTGCCGGCAGCCACTGTCTGAGAACTTTGTAGTCACACAGCAGGATCGGACGGAGCCGGGTCCTGTCTCAAACGCCTCCCTGGGATGCAGCCACACACACACACACACACACACACACACACACACACGGTTCCTTGGAATGCAGCATGGCTCACCCACCCACAGGTCCCCTTCCACACCTGTCACCCTGTCCCCCACTTAGGCAGCTGCAGGTGCCACACTGCCCCCCGGGTCAGTTCTCCCAGCCTTCTGCTGGCCCTCGGCCCTGGCGCCATGGGGCTGGGACTGTCCGCCTGGTCCCATGCCTGAACCATCTGTATGGGATTGCTCGGGTCTCCTGGGACACCTCGCAGCATGGAGGCCTGCCTCCTCCTCCCCAGTCGGCTTCTTTGGCCGCTGTGGGAGTTCCTGAGCTAGGAGTCCAGACAGCCAGGGGTCAGGGCGCCTGGAGCACGCCCGGGAGGCTCCAGCACGGGCCCTTTAAGAAGCCGGCGCGGGGGGCGGGCACACGCGCAGGCCCCGCCCCAGAGGCGGGCACACACCCAAGCCCCGCCCAGGGCCGGGCGGTGGGCGGAGCCGGGGAGGGCCCTGTGCGCAGGCGCGGCTTCCACGCGGTTCCGGGTTCCAGATCCGAACCGACATTGTTGTTTGTTTTTTTCCCTCCTTCTTTCTGGATCCGCGGGAAAGGGCAGTTTTTCTTCCTACTTTTCTCCCTCCCAACGCCTTCGGGAGGTGGTCGGTGGACACGGTGACCGGACGGCGGGGCTCGAACTCCGGGCTTGGGGAGCCGAGATGAATCCCCAGTCTCTGGTTTGCGCCCAGACTGTGAGCAGGTGAGAGGGGCAGGGGAGAGGGGGCAGGGGAGAGGGGCAGGGGGAGAGGGGCGGGGGGAGAGGGGCAGGGGGAGAGGGACAGGGGGAGGGGGAGAGGGGCGGGGGGAGAGGGGCAGGGGAGAGGGGCAGGGGGAGCAGGAGAGAAGTGTCCGGTGTGTGTGGAGGCACGCAGAGAAGGGTTGTGGGGTGCACCACAAGAACGGGTGTGGGGGTGTCCAGGGAAGGGATGGGGGCGTACCCAGGGAAGGGGAGTATGGAGGGAAACCCCGGGGAGGGGTGGGGATGTGGGGCGCTCAGGGAGGGGTGTGGGGGTGTGGGGCATTCAGGGAGGGGTGAGGGGCGCTCAGGGAGGGGTGTGGGGGTGTGGGGCGCTCAGGGAGGGGTGTGGGGCGCTCAGGGAGGGGTGTGGGGGACGGTGCTGGGCTCAGCCGCCCCCTGCTCCTCCCGTGGCGTCCCTGCAGGGTGAGCTCGGTGCTGAATCGTGACACGCGGCAGTTTGGAAAGAAACACCTGTTTGACCAGGACGAGGAGACGTGCTGGAACTCCGACCAGGTGGGGCGCCCCGACGTGAAGGAGACGGGGGTGGCGAGTGACTGGGGGCGCCCTGACGTGAAGGAGACGGGGGTGGCGTGTGACTGGGGCGCCCCAACGTGAAGGAGACGGGGTGGCGGGTGACTGGGGCGCCCTGACGTGAAGGAGACGGGGGTGGCGTGTGACTGGTCGCCCCGACGTGAAGGAGACGGGGGTGGCGAGTGACTGGGGGCCCTGACGTGAAGGAGACAGGGTGGCGAGTGACGGGGCGCCCCGACCCCAGGGATGTGGATGGCCGGCCGTCGCCCGCATGGCTGGGCCCGCCGCGTAAGGGCCTTTGAAACCCCCCCAGGGTCCCTGCCAGTGGGTGACGCTCGAGTTCCCGCAGCGCAGCCGGATCCTCCAGCTGCAGATCCAGTTCCAGGGGGGCTTCGCCAGTCGTCGCGTGCGCCTGGAAGGTACTGGAAGGTTCCGGGAGGAGAGGGGGTGGGCTGCACCCCAGGCCCTGCCCTGTGTGTGTCTCCTTCTGTCGCAGCTTCCCAAGGGCAGGATGCCCTCCGCAAGGTCACAGAGTTCTTCCCCGAGGACAGTAACTCCCTCCAGATATCCTGGCTCTGGGGGGCACGACTCAGGGTCGGGGAGCGGGTGGGGAGCGCCAGGCCCTGCCGGCTACTGTCCTTGACCGCCCAGCTCCACAGCTTCCCCGTGCCGGCAGCCGAGGCCGACCGGCTCAAGGTGACCTTCGAGGAGGCCACGGACTTTTTCGGCCGCGTCGTCGTCTACCACCTACGGGTGCTGGGGGAGAAGGTGGCGTGAGATCGCAAGGGAAGGTGGCGGTGGTCGGGTGGCAGCCGCCTCCTCCTGGGAGCCCTCCTCCGGCCCCGGCAAGTCAGCTTGTATGTGCGGAACGTTTTATTGGCCGCTGTGGGGAAGGCCCCGCTCCCCTCCCGTCCTCCCCGCGTCTGTCCAGGAGCTGCCGCAATGCCAGCCAGTCCCGGGTTGCGCCCCGGTCCCGGGTGGGCCGCTTGAATTCCCTGAGTGTTGGAGTCGCCCGGCCTGCGCCCAGCCGCGCGTGGGGTCCCTGGCGGTCACTCGGGGTCGCACTGGAAGAGTTTCAGGATGTGGTTCTCCATCGCCTGTTGCACTGTCCGGTTGAGGGCAGAGGGGAGGAGAAAGAAAGGCATCCGTGAGGTTGGACACGCTGCCCTGGCCAAGCTAGACTTACCCAGTCCTGGGGGCCTGCCTGGAGGAAGCCACCCACCGCGTCCCAGCCCGTAAAAGTCCTGAAGACTATTTTCAGAGTTCTATAAAGTATCTTCTGAGGTTGCAGTGGGTTAAGCTGCTACCTGCAGCGCTGGTGGCTGTGTGAGGCCCCGCTTCCCACCCAGCTCCCTGCCTGTGGCCTGGGAAAGCAGTGGAGGACGGCCCACAGCCTTGGGACCCTGCACCCGTGTGGGAGACCCTGGAGAGGCTCCTGGCTCCTGGCTGTGGATGCGCTCAGCTCTGGCTGTTGCAGCCACTTGGGGAGTGAGCCAGCGGTGGAAGACCTTTGTTCTGTCCCTGTCACTTGGTCTTTCAATGAAATAAATGACATAAATCTTAAAAAAAAAATCGCAGTGTTGGGCGGGAGCTGCCTCATTCAGTGTCCAGGGAAGAGTGGGCCACGCAGCCCGCCGTGCCCGTGCAGCCCGCTGTGCCCGTGCAGCCTGCCGTGCCCGCCCCCTCTGCCCACTGCGTCCATCCCCGGCTGACCTCTGCGGTAACCCAAGGCCACGGCCAGGTCCATCGGAGTGTAGCCAGAGTCGGCTTCGGTGGTCAGGTCAGCGCCTCGGGCTGAGACAGCAGGTGCGGGGAGCTCTCGGGGTACAGCCTGGGTGACCCCTCCATCCCTCCAGCCTGGTCTGCACTCAACAAAGAGCTCCGGGGTCCCCAAGACCTGAGGCCCAGGGCCAGGACATGACCCGCCCTCCCACGCCCAGCTCCTCCCGTGGGCAGTGCAGGCAGTGTGACCTCCCGTGGGCAGGACCAGCTGGGGGGCTCGGGGACCCCACCCTCACTCACCCAGCAAGGCCTCAACGCACTTCACGTGGTTCCCACGCACGGCGTACAGCAGAGGTGTTCCTCCATTCTGTCCGGCGGGGGTGGTGGTGATGGGGGGGGGACTGAAGCTTTGGCTCCAGCCCCGCCTCCTGCTGCCCCAGACCCCCTGATTTAAAGGGGATCCCCTTCCTCCCTCCCTGCTCACCCCCTCTTGGCATGTCTTTCTCCTCCCTAGGATCTCAGTACTTGACGCCTGCTCCCCTCACAGCTGCCTGTGCACCTGCCATCACATCCCCACCCCGACCGGGAGGGGGCGGTGCCTGGGCCTGACATTCCTACAGGTTGGGGTGACCGTGGATGGAGGAGGGGCCGCTCACCCAGTCGTAGATGTTGATGTCCACGTCCCGTTCCAAGAGCAGCCCCACGATGTCCGTGTAGCCGCCCATGCTGGCCAGCGACAGGGCACTCTCCCGCTCCTTGGCCAGGATGTGGGGGTCAGCCCCCTGGAGACGAGCCAGGGCGGGCGGTGACGGGAGGGCAGGAGGCGGCTGTCCGCTTGGACCCCCCTCCCCGCGGCCGCCCCATGCTGCTGCCCGGGCGCACGGCCGCGGGCGGGCAGCCACGTACCCAGTCCAGCAGAAAGCGGACCGTCTCGATCTCCCCGAACGCCGAGGCCCAGATGAGCGGGGTGAAGCCGCGTTCGTCTGGCTTGTTGACGAGGTTGTCGCCTGCCGGGCGGGCAGAGGGGGCACAGTGCCACGGGGGCATGACGGGCTGTGTGTGCCCCGCGCCCGCGCATCCCCGACAGAAAACACACCTTTGCGAAGATACTCCTTCAGCTGGCTCAGTTCGCCCTGCGCTGCGAGCTGATGGATGGACAGGGCTGGGGGCGGGAGGCAGAGTTCGCGCCGTGCCTCAGTTTACCCTCTGCAGCTCAGCCCCCTGCCTCCTCCCTCCCTCCGCACCCCGGGGTGCTCTCACTCACAGTCCAGGGTGGCAGGCAGCGCCGACACCTCGTTCCCCCGCTGCCGGTTAGTGAGCGTAGTGGAGTGTTTCAGGGAATTGCCTGCAAGCGGGGGAAGAGGGTGCGGGGCTGGCATCTCCCACCATGCCCAGCCCGGGACACCCTGCTGTGTTGCCGGGCGCCCTGTGCGGGTCTCCCAGGTCGCTGGCAGGTGCCCAGGTCCTTGAGCTGGTCCTTACTGCCCCCAGGGTGCCCAGCAGCAAGGAGCTGGACTGGAAAATGGAGCAGACAGGAACCAGCGGATAGGGGCTCCCTCCCTTTCTCCCTCTCTCTCTCTCTCTCTCTCCCCCCCAGGTCCAGGCACTCACCTTGCAGCGGGGAGACGCTTGCCTCCGGCTCAGGGTTGCCCGGCTCCGGGGTGCAGGGGAACAGGCTGAGAACCACCGTGTCCGAGCCATCGGCGGCGTCCTCTTCGGGGTCCCCGGGGCCCGGGCCGGGGGCCAGCTGCTGGCCCAGCCCCAGCTCCTGCGCAGGCTGTGTGAGCTCCATGGGTGGAGGAGCCGGCAGAGGGGCGTGCACGGCGTGACAACTCCGGGTTCTTGTTGTTTTCAATATTGATTTCGAAACAGAGATCTCCCACCCCTAGACGCCCACGACGGGTGGGTGTTGGGGCTGGCAGGTGCCCGGGCGCCGCGGCCCATACACAAGGGAACTGGAACAAAACGCAAAGACCTGGCACCCCGACACCAAGCCCTCCAACACTGCATCTGTGCCTCGTGGGGCGCGCTCACGGCTGCACCCCCAAATGCTCGCCCCTGTATACATGGCTGGAACTGCGAGCTGAAAAATCCCCGACTCCACCAGCCCACCCGCATCCCTAAACCTGCAGCTTGCACCCCCTTTCAAAGCTGGGGTGCTGTGGCCAGCCTGTCGGGGGGGTCGGGGGTGCATTCCACCCTCCAGCCCGGGAGAAGTGACTTAGAACTCTGAGCCGTGAGACAATGGGGTCAGGAGGCGTCCAGGCCAGCATGTCCCCCGACAGGCGCTGGGCAGGGGCGCCTGTCCACAGCAGGGGCTTCTCTGGGGTTCGGGGGTCCCCAGAGCTGGTGTGCGCCTCCCTTCCCTCCCCGGCACGACCGACCCCCCGCCCAGGGCTCCACTCACCTCCCCCTCGAGCGGTCTCCGGCCCTCCGCACCGCAAGCCGGGGTCCCCCCGCAAAAGTTGGGGGTGCAATTCACAAAGTTTTCCCTTTTTTCCGATCTAGCTGGGCACAAGGCGGCAGGCCGGACCCTCAGGGCACCGCCGGCCGCTGCTGGGACAGAAAGCAACTTGAAACGCACCTCGGCTGGCTCCCCACCCCCAGCGCTCCCCGCCCAGCGCGCCTGCGCACCCCAACACCCAGGCTGTCTGGCTCTTTAAGAACAGGGAGGGCGTGGCTTCCGCCGGACTCAAGCGCCTGCGCATTCTTTCTTCCCGAAGCTGAAGAAGCGACGGGCGGGAGGGGGTGGAAACGCTGCCTGTGCGGCTCCGCCCACAAGGGAGGAGCGTTCGAGGACGAACCAATCCGCTTTCTGCTTAGGGCGGGGCATCGCCCGGGAAAGTGGGCGGGGCGTCCTGTCTTTAAAGGGGGACGTGCCATGGTTGGGTCTGCGTAGGAGGGCAGGTCGGCGGCCCCTTCCTCTCCTCACCCGCTTCCGGGCTGCTCCCCTCCGCAGCCCCCCGACTCTCCACCTCGGGGACCCCGAGACCAGGCCCGGCGACACCCGGAACTGCCGCCGCGCGCCGTCCCGACTTCCGGTTCCGGTGCTGGCTGTCCCGAGTCCGGGATCCGCCATGGAGGAGGCGGAGATGCAGATCAAGGGGAAGAAAGGTGGTCGGGGCGGCGGGCCGGGGCTGCGCGCGGGGAGGCCGGTTCGAGCCCCGCCGGGTCCCCTACGCGGGCCCAGGGTGCTCGGGCCACGGGCCCGGAGCTGCGGCAGCCGGGACTCGAACCGGCGCCTGACGGGGCCGAGGGGAGAGCAGTCCAGGCTCTAACGTTTGGTCTTCTTGTCTCCGTCCCCGGGGTGGGCGTTCAGTCACGGACAAGTTCACCGAGAGCGTGTACGTGCTGGCCAACGAGCCGTCCGTGGCCCTGTACCGCCTGCAGGAGCATGTGCGCCGCTCCCTGCCCGAGCTGGCCCAGCACAAGGTGAGCAGGGGGCTGCGGGAGGGTCCTGCCGTGTGGGGATGGGGGCTGCAGGAGGGTCCTGCCGTGTGGGGACGGGGGCTGCAGGAGGGTCCTGCCGTGTGGGGACGGGGGCTGCGGGAGGGTCCTGCCGTGTGGGGACGGGGCAGGGGGCTGCAGGAGGGTCCTGCCGTGTGGGGACGGGGGCTGCGGGAGGGTCCTGCCGTGTGGGGACGGGGCAGGGGGCTGCAGGAGGGTCCTGCCGTGTGGGGACGGGGCAGGGGGCTGCAGGAGGGTCCTGCCGTGTGGGGACGGACAGGGCAGGGGGCTGCAGGAGGGTCCTGCCGTGTGGGGACAGGGGAGGGGGCTGCAGGAGGGTCCTGCCGTGTGGGGACGGGGGCAAGGGGCTGCAGGAGGGTCCTGTCATCAGGGGCAGGGGGCTGCAGGAGGGTCCTGCCGTGTGGGGACGGGGCAGGGGGCTGCAGGAGGGTCCTGCCGTGTGGGGACGGGGGCTGCAGGAGGGTCCTGCCGTGTGGGGACGGGGGCTGCAGGAGGGTCCTGCCGTGTGGGGACGGGGCAGGGGGCTGCAGGAGGGTCCTGCCGTGTGGGGACGGGGCAGGGGTCAGGAGGGTCCTGTCATCAGGGGCAGGGGGCTGCAGGACCCTCCTCCTGTGTGGGAGGCAGGCCAGCCCCTCCCCGTGGCAGGTTAGGGTGGACAGTGCGGGGATGCTGTCCACACCCCGGCTGACAGCCCCGCCTGCCCGCCCCTACCTGCAGGCCGACATGCAGCGCTGGGAGGAGCAGAGCCAGGGAGCAATCTACACGGTGGAGTATGCCTGCAGGTGCGCGCATGCCCCAGGCCTGTGCCCCCTGCCCAGCCCCTGGCCTGCCCGTGCACCCTGCCCCGGCCCCTTGGCCACCCCTGCCGTCTGTCGCAGAGGAGGAGGGATGGGTCGCCCAGCAGGTGTGTGCCACAGCCCCTCGGTGGGCTCACTGCCCCGCTCCCGCCCCCACTTTGGCAGCGCGGTGAAGAGCCTGGTGGACAGCAGCGTGTATTTCCACAGCGTCGAGGGACTGCTCAGGCAGGCCATCAGCATCCGCGACCACATGAACGCGGCCGCCCAGGGCCACAGGTAGCCATCCTGCAGCCGCGCCCACGCACCTGCCGGCCCAGCGTCTCCTGGGGGGTGGGTTCTGGCGACTCCCCTCCACCTCTGGCGCCTGACTGTGCTGTGGACCTGGGCGCTGGGCGGGAGAACAGCAACGCGATGCATTCAGGCGGCCACGCCTCTGCCCCTGGTCGCCAGCTCACCCTGCAGTCCACGGACAGAGGGCAGCAGGGGCCCAGGAGGTGGCTGGTCTGACGGACTGGGCGGGGAGGAGTGGCCGGTCTGTGGAACCCCGGCTAGTGGAGCCTGGGGGGGGGGGTGTGCGTGCACGGGGGGGCTTGGAGCAGGGCAGCGGGCAGGTGAGACCCTTGGGGTGAAGCCCTTGTGGGTGCAGGGCCTCACCCCGGGAGCTGTTCTCGGCAACCCTTTCGTTTTCCCTGTAATTTAATAAACGCGCGGTGTGAGAGCGGCTGGAAGACCTAGAGCTTCCATGACAAGGGGCGGGAAAGGGGTGCCCTCCCCTGGCAGGGCTGCGGGCTCCTGCAGGCAGTCACAGCCCACGGGGGACACTCCACCCACATCCCTCCTGCCCGGGTGGACGCTGGCTGGCTGTCCCCATCCGTCCTCTCCAGCGCCCCCTTGTGCCTGCTGTGGACTCCCTGAACATTGAACTCGAAATGCAGTTCAGAATTATCTAACCCGTGCGGTTAAGTCACCCAGATGCCCACGGCGCCCGGGCTGGACCAGGCAGGAGCTCCATCCGGGTCTCCCGCACAGCTGGCAGGGCTTCAAACACTTGGACCATGCTCCACTACCTTCACAGGTCCAAGGTAGCTGGGACTGGAGCTGGCGCTCCAATGGCAGGCTAACGCGCTGCACCACGGTGCCTGGCCCGAGCTGGGTCCTGGTTTGGAAGGGGGAACGCAATGACCCGGTATGACCCAGTCCCCCTTCCCTGCTTCCCTCAGCCTGATCCCAGGAGAGACTGGGGCCTCCCGCACCCCAACCCAGCTCAGTCCCACCCTGCCCTCCCCACTCAACTCCACTTCCCAGAGGGCACCTGCTGTCTGCACTCACGGGCTCTCCAGGTGATCTGGGGCTTGGCCTCGCCATCTTTCTCACCCGCCTGGCCGGGGCTGCCGCCTGCTGTCCACTCCCCCAGCCAGCTCAGAGCCCGTGGGCTCACACACTGTCCCCGCTGGCCACTTGACAACGGCTGGGGGGGCCTCCTTCCCACCCACCCCGTGCTCCCCTTGACCTTGACCTGCGGGTCACAGTCCCCTCTCCTGGGCACCCAGGAAGTACCCCCTCTCACTGGGCCGGACTTGGGGTCGCGTGGCTGTGTGCCGGTCATGGGCAGACCGGAGGTGCCCACATCTCATCTCCGTGGTCCCCACCCTGCACAGCGTCACCGCAGCCCGGGACAGAACCCAGCTTCCCAAGGGCAGGAGCCGGGAGCTGTGTCCTGGTCTCACACAGGTGCAGGGCCCCAGGCACCGGGCTGCTCCCCCTGGGCACATGAGCAAGGGGGCTGGACCAGAGTGTCCAGGCCGAGGCTTTGCCCAGCCCCAGCAGGTGCACAGTTAACGCGTCTGCTCTGGGGATCCTCGGGGTCCACCCCCAGCTCCAGGAGTGGGTATGGTGGCCTGGCCAGCCACATCCCCCATCTCCTTGGTCAAGGTGACTGGCCTGAGCCGAGCTCACGACCCAGAGAGGTGGGAGGCAGAGGGAGGGCGGTCAGCGGGGAGCGGGCCTGGGTCCCACCGCACCTGTCACCCACAGGAAAAACTCAACTCGGCATGCGTTTGCTCTGGGCTGCCAGCCTCTCTCCTGCCCTGGGGTGCTCGGAGTCTGGGGGGGCTCAGGGAGTGTCTCCGTCCCCCAAAGGCTTTGGGGTGCCAGTGTCTTCCCTCCAAGGAGACCCGAGCGTGACCCCTCCCTCCCTTGTCCCACCAGGGTTCCGGGGTGTTGAAGGTGGGTGGGATCGGTTTTGGCGGGGTGCATTTGCATCTCATTTGCATGGCTCTCACCGGGTGGGCCACCAGCGGGAGAGGCCGAGCCTTCGGTCTCCCGGTGGGTTTCCTGGGTGGGGAAGGGCACTTGGGGACGGACCTTCTGCCTGTGCCCCATCGCACACAGGAGCTCGCAGGCTCCCGGGGGGGGGGGTCCTCCCAGGCTGGGAACCCCCACAAAGTGCGAGAGGGGAAGGTACAGGAAGGTCCCCCCCATACACAAACACCCCTCCATGCAAGGGGCATTCCTAGTGCCTCCCAGAAGAGGAAGTGGCCTGGAGGTGGTCCTCCCCAGCCCCCTTCATTCCAGGTGTCTGGGACAGTGGTTATACATCAGCTGCTCGCTCCCCACCCATCGGTCCACACTGCCCTTGATGTGTGAGGACCTTCAAGGCCTCGGCCACTGACTGGTCACGCGGTAGGGGCACGGAGGGAGGGCCTCTCCAGCCCACTGCCCGCCCCGCACTGGGGTCCTAGCCCCTTCTCTCTCCCACCCCAGCAACTCAGGCAACTGCCCCCTCCCATCCTGGGGGTGGGGGCACCTCACAGAGGACACGGCGGGCTGCCTGGAGGAGGAGGGTGAGCCCTGGCACTAGGGGAGAAGCTGGGATGAGGAGGGGGCTGCAGCTCACCGCAGGGGCGGCCCCCCAGCTGGCCATCCCCTCTCCTGCTCCCTGGCTCACTCAGTCACTGGCTTGGGCCACATCCCAGCTGTTCCCAGAGCCACGCTCATGTAACAAGAGCCTGCCTGTTGCATCAGAAGCAGAGCTGGAGGCGGGTAAACAGCGGCCCCCCGGGGGGCGGGGGTGGCCTGGGGCTCCCCAGCCTCTGCCTGGCTCCGTCGATCCCCCCACCCTCTCGACTCCCATCCGGGCCCTTGGGACACGGCGTGGGTCCCGGGGACAGACTCACAGCAGCAGGACAGTAAACTGAGGCACGGGGAGGGCGACGAGCCGTCACCTTCACACCCCCTACTGCACAGACCCCACCTCCCTCAGCCACTTTCTCCTCGTCCCCAAGGAGGCGCACACCAGCGGGCGGCTACTTCCAAGTCGCTGGCCTCGGCCTCCTCCGCTCACCCCGCCACAGCCACCCCAGCCCTCAGCTCCTGCCTCCCTCTCTGGGTGACCAACTTCTGCCCCTATGAAATGTCCCCTCTTCTGAGAGCAGCCGAGCCCTGCCCCCCGAAACACACACACACACCCAGTTCGGGTCTGTCTGGCCATCCTCCCACCCGGGCATCCCATTACTAGCCTGCAAGTTGGGGCGGGGGCCTGTCCTAACCCCCCAACCTACAATCTATAGGGTTCCTCACCCTGTAGCTTTTTGTTTTTAATTAGTCCTTTGAGACTGTGACAAGACGGCTCCGTCAGCCCAGCTGGCTCTCTCCCCCCACAGCCCCACTGCAAGGGCCAGGGCTGGGCTAGGCTGCAGCCTGGGGCGCCATCTGGGTCTCCCACGTGGGTGGCGGGGGGCCCCCACAGGCCCTGTCACCTGCTGCCTGCCTCCCCCCCCCGGGGTGTGCATGTCAGGAGAACTGGGCCCCCCCAAAGCCGACTACTGTTTTGGGTCACTGACCTCTGAACCAGTGGGTGTCTTAACCGCTAGGCCAGACACCTGCTGGTGTTGTCGGTCATGAATTCTTTCCGCATCCCTCAGCTCACCAACGCGGCTCTGACCGTCCCTCGCCAGCCCCGAGGCCCCTGTGCTGAGAAGTGTCGCTGCCTGCGAGGAAAGGGTGGGTGGGTGTGTGGGGGGCCGGAGGGTGCTGGGCTGGGGGCTTGGGGTCCAATTCTGGAACAGCACAGGACGGGGAGGTAGGGGGGCATGGCTGGGGGTGACAGCGGGCTTCTCGCGTGCCCCTGCACATGCCTGCTCCCAGGAGGCCAAATCCGTGAGTCCCTTGCAAACCGAGCAAGTTTCGGTGGGAACCGGACACAGCTGGATTTACCTCCGGAAGGGAGAGTCCAGGGTTGGGGGTCCTGAAGCGGTGAAGCCTGGTGCAGCACCCCCTCCTCCAGAGACCCCCTAACCCAGCCTGCTTGCCCAAATACCCCCTGCACACCCCAGGGAGAGGCCACGCCCACCCCGCCAGAGCCCGCCCACAGCGACGCCCTCTATGCAAACGGACCCGCCGCTGGCCAGTCCACTCCCGGGGGCGGGGCCGGCCTCTGCAAGGCACCTGCGGCCGTGGGGCGAGCTCGGAGCATCCGACGGAGGTGGCGAGCCGAGCAGGTGCGTGTCGGGCCGGCGGGAGGGCCTCTGTGGGCGGGGGCCTTGTCTGCGAGGTGTGGGGGGCTCAGGGATGCGTCGGTCCGTCCGAGGGAGTGTGGATCCCAGGGGAACTTGTCTGCGAGGTGTGGGGGGCGTTGAGTCCCAGCGGAGTAAGGGTGTGAGGCCGCAGGTGGCATGTGTGGGTGTGTGTGTGAGCATGAAGCGCTGTCTGATGGGGGTCCAGCGTCTGGGGGTGCTGTAGGAGTCGTGTGTGTTTAAGGAGGTGTGCCTGGCAGCTTTAACCGCAGGCAGGGGGAGTGAGGTGGGGGAGCAGTTTTGAGCCCTAGCCTGTGATGCCTTCCCCCGCCCCGGAGATAGCAGCCACGGAACCATAAAGTTTAGCAGCTCTGTGTGCCTCAGTGTCCCCATCTGGGAAATGGGTACAGGGACAAACTCATCCACACCACTCCAGGAGTGTCCATTCCAATCTCAGCCATGTTTCCCCCCCCCCCAACCACCTCAGGGCCCAGCGCTGCCGACGGTTGGCAACCTGGGCCAGTGGCCACCACCCCTGTCCCCCGCCAAGCTCCAAGTCCCAGCTCCCCCAGCTGCAGAATAGAGAAGTGTGGGGAAGGTGTGAGGCCACACTCCTGCCGGGCCCGTTGCGAGTCCTCAGAGGGACTTTGGATCCATGGACTGTTTGCAGCGACGAGAGGAATTAGATGTGGAAGGACCCGAGTGTGCCAGGTTCAAATCCAGGGCCCAAGGGTTCCCTGGAAAGCCGGCCTTCCCTTACCACGGCTTTCTGAAGCTGGGAGCGCACCTCGACTCCCAGGGGAGAGAATTTCAGGATTTGAGGAGACAGCAAGTTCATGTGCAGCAGACACAGGTGCTGGGTTTTTTAAGATTTATTTTATTGGAAAGAGAGATATGCAGAGAAGAGAGACCAAGAGAAAGATGTTCTGTCCGCTGGCTCACTCTCCAAGCGGACAACACTCTCTGGCCGCAACAGCCAGAGCTGAGCCGATCTGATCCAAAGCCAGGAGCCAGGAGCCTCCTCCAGGTCTCCCACGCGGGTGCAGGGTCCCAAGGCTCTGGGCCGTCCTCCACTGCTTTCCCGGACCACAGACAGGGAGCTGGATGGGAGGTGGAGCTGCCGGAATTTTAGAGCCGGCGCCCATCTGGGATCCTGGTGCATATAAAATAAGGACTTTAGCCGCTAAGGTCCGGTGCCAGGAAAGAC